CTTCCGAAACACACAGATGCAGTCCTGTCCTGCACCGTGTTGTTGCAGGTGAGTTTGGCGTGCTTGTGGACACATCGATGCATGAAAGTGGCGTGTTTTCGCGATAGATACGAGGTAGAGGATAGCTCTGCGCTCCAAGTGCAAGCTTCTGAACGCGCGGCTTCCATCGCAAGTAGTCGCATCATTCTGGCCTCCGTGTTTTCTCACACACAAGCTCCCCGTTGCCTATAATGAAGGCTGCATCCGTGATTGATGTCAACGACAAAGGCAGCTCAAAATCCCGCAACAATTCAAGATTTTGGGAATCCAGTGGCAGGTTGGATGCACCATGATAGCAAGAACGCGTCCTTCGGCGGCACAGTCCACGGTAGTGGAGGACTGTCTGCTCTGGGTAAGCATGAGTACGAAAATTTCATGGAGTGGTGACATGGTTTCAAGGTGGTCAGTACGACTCCCTGCGAGGATCCCACCATCCGCCGGATGGAAGCTCTTTACACTGTGCACGGAAGGATTCATCTGGCAAAGTGATAGGCCCACAGATCCGAATCCGCAAGGAAATCCACAAAACGAATCTTGGATGCAAGCATGTTGAGCATGGGCCGTGCCATCAACTCAGTGTCAGGAGTGAGGAGGTTGGCTCTGTGTCCCATGCTTGTCTGAGGACGGATGCGGAGTTCTCCAAGTTTGCAAACTGTGTCCGTAAGCTGAAGGAAGTGAAGTCATCATGCAATGGAAAATACAGGTGTGACGGCCTTATGCATTCTGCAACAAGTTCCCGGTCGGACATGAGTGGTAGTCCTGCCGAGACACACCTGTTGCCCAGGTATTCAAGACTACCCAAACAGCTGGGACTCGTTCTTGGCATTTCACATGTGCCGTCTCTGCACTTGTGCTAGTGGCCAGTTCCAGTTTGTACAGACCATTACATTGAGCCGCGTTGGCGATTTTGGGGAGAGAAGGAATTACAGTGCGGCAATCAAAACAAAATACAAGCTTGCAGAGCGAGAATGTATCCACAATCAGTCTAGCTAGACTGATCTAGACAGTTTTTTGCATCTCGGTTTATGCTTGGCCAGCAAGGAATTGCCATCGACGGGAAGACGAGTTCTGGGTGTGTCATCGTCATATGATGTATGATCTGGAAACAGCCCTTCAAAAGACACTTGGCAGCATTCCAGAAACAATCTTAGGTTCCACCTGGTCAGTAAAACTGCAGGAGTTTCCTCGTGATTTGCTCTGCAGGATTTGCAACGACTGTGACGTCTTCCTGCCGTACTGGAACTCTTTCCGAGAATCTGGAGACATTTGGGGTTCTTTGGCGTACGTCGCGTGGAAGTGCTGTTCGGTCCTTTGCTGGCCGGCCCGAGCCGAGGTTCCGTGACGTGGGGGAGCAACCGCTATGGGAATCCATTTGGTCTTCCCAGAGACCAAGCCTGGTGGTGCTATGACCACGGCTGGAGCCAGTGTGTTTCAAGCCTGCATAAGACTCTGCACAGCGCTTCCCAGCAAAGCTTCCAATTACTACCTGCGGCATCAAACTCTTGACGCCACGCCGACTAGACTGACTAGACCTCACTTGGAGTCTTAGAGCCGCTGAAAAGCACCAGACACCGAAGCAAGGTCATGGAGGGCATCGGAAAGGAATTCCTTATGGATCCACATGCTGACAAGTCAAGCTGCTGCTCGCCTGTACTTGTATTCTGAAGTCCACATGCATCTGTGTCCTGCAGCAATGCTGCAAGTTGAGGCTGCTGATTGTGATAGGTCACGGTAGGTCGGCCAAAAGATGTGTAAATAGCTTGTGACGGATGTAGCCTTGTCAACACGTCTACTGGCAGCGGCGAATTGCAGCTTTTCGTGCTATATCAAAGATGGCCATCTGACGTAGATCCCGGTGTGGATTCACAAACTGTTTCTTCCAACCAAGTCTACAGAGAAGGTGACGGTAGCCGGGCAGCCATTGTTCGTGCCACGGCTGTGCTCTTTTATTCTTTGCTGAGGTAGCGCTTGCCTCAGCCGACAGCCTTATCGCTGGGCCCATGTGACAGCTCTGCCTGTCGTTATGGCTCCTCAGATGAATTCCGGAAGTTTGTAGGGTTACCTGCTGTTGTCACACAATGCCACGCTTGAGCATGGCTGACGTGCATCCATGAGCTTTGCATTGACCGGAATTCTGTATCGAGGCTGTGCTGACAAGCAAGGACAGCTTCGAGACGATCCAAGCCAAATTTGAAGCATTCCACGTGGATGTCCACACAAACGTAGGCTCCATTTTTTTTAGCATGGAGTGAAGTTTTGTTGGGGTGGACCAACAGTGTTGAGGGATACCGCCAATGAGAGATCAGAGCCCTCTGGTTTCACGAGGCGGAAACATGGCAAATCTCCCAGACTCGACTCTGGACCCAGTTTTCTGGTTACACCATGGTGTTGTGGACTTCATGTTCACTTTTTGGCAGGCTGGAACACTTGCACATCGGAAGCTTTGGGTTGACAAGTCTCAATCGACATCAGGCATGGCAGTACAACAATGAGAAGGAACATCCGACCTGTCGCAGCTGCAAGACTTGTACCTTGTCGGAACCATGCTATGTAGTTGCACATGTTTGCATAGGCCGTAGTGCCAAGGCAACAGTCCGATGACCCACTACAGGGTCAGGAGAAAGGAGTGGATGGGCCGCTGGAACCCTGAGCACAAGTGTGTTGAGGCGCTTGTTGTCTTTAAGTCTTATGTTGCAATGGCTGTGCTTGTTTTGGGCACACTTCGTCGCCAGCTTCCGTGCTCGAATCCGGTCGTCTGCATTGGCTACGATGGGTACATTGAGCCAGGACGAGCCCAGCTGACAATCCAGTCATTGTCGCATCAAAAAAGCCATATTGCTGGCAGGAATCTGGACTCCACCTGCGCCCCCACCTCCATCGCCCCACAAAGGTTGGGGTAGGTGGGGGTGGAGACGATGGCTCCTCCTGCAGAATGAGTCCTTGCAGGACTTCGATGGGTCAGGCCATTTTGCATTGACATTGAGCTGTAGGGACTGTAGGGCCGTATCAGGTGAGCCGCCCCTTGAAGGCGAGTCTGGGTATGTTCACGATCCGCAAGAGCTCCCTGTGGTTCTGGAAGACCCAGATGGGTCGGAAATCGTGGACTCTGCGAGTCCTTGCCTTGGCTCAGTTTCCGAATGTGCCACAACGAAAGAGTGAAGCAAGTGGGAGCCGGGAAGATTCCGTGTCATCGCTTCCTTGGAGCACCAAAAGCGATCGAAAGAGCACTGAATGCAGCACCGCCGATTCGATCAATGCACTGGAATCAAGATGAAAGCAAAAGGCTGTGACCCGCTAGATTTGCCCACCTCGCTCAACTCTAATTTGCGCGCACTCCAAACTTTTGGCGCTCTCCTGAGGGTGTTGTGAGCATGGTTGGGCTCGCTGTAGATATTTCCACATCTGCCCAGTGGCAGTGATGAGCAACTGTGAGTGACAAAGATGCGAATGACACCACCAGTGCCGCCAAAAGCTTTATGCAGGGATTGGCTGCGACAACCTTTCAGCACGCGTGGCAAACGAGGTGCATCAGGAAACAAGGCTTGCAACAAGTAGCAGCATTTGTAGTATGAGTACCTCCATCGAAAATTCATCTGGCCTGCCGCTCTCGACGGAGTCACCTCGCATTGGACAGCGTGCATTCACAACGGGTAAAAACTCGAGAATCTGTTCAAAACACCCAACGCCACTCCTGGGAGCGACACCGAAAAGGAAGAGTGCAAACTTCCTCTGACAGATTTAATCACCAGAAGCGGTCCCGATGGCAGCCACGGCGGGAAGACCCTCAATGAGGACCAGGCGATAGCTTGCAACAGCGGGAGAGCGGGATCCCTAGGTCCCCTCCTGGGTGCGGACGACTTCATGGAGAAGATGCAATGTGCCTTGGGTCATTGCTCTTTCAGTGAAGCTTTGCCTGTTCAGGGAACCCTGCTACTGAGGCGAGGAGACCATTAACAAGATCCAAAAGGGATCTTGTTCCATAGATGAGATTGCGAAGCATGTGGTGCTGACAACGAAAAGGGACATGCACCTGAGTGGCATTGAACTGTTTGTCTGGTGTGCTGGCTTTCTTCTTGCTTCTTACTTAACACCTGAGTCTCAGGACACAGTTGCGCTCGCAGTGTGCGGAGTTCTGGGGCACTCTCCGGCTCCCCGGCATGGAATAAGACGTGCTATGTCTGCTATGTACGTCTGATGTATAGGAGAAGCAGGATCTGCTTAGCCTTGAGTTGCCATGCGAGGGGCATGGTATCTGAAGAAGGCGTGGAAGAGAGGACTGTGCCAAATTTGCTGTAGGATTGGTTTTGGTACACGTTCCTGGCTTTGATGGGTGTAACGTCAGGATCAATACTTGTTGGACAGCGTTGCAATCAATCGAGAAGGTCCAAGAAACATTCAGGCACCCTGTTTGGCAGCTGCATGTTATCGGCTCTGAAACCGTGGGTGCTTGTGGCGAGCATGGCAGGTTTAAGGAGCCAACAACGGTCGCCGAGAAGTTGTGAAAGGCTCAGGATGACTCGCACAGACAGAGAGTGCCATGCCCCTGCAATTGAAGCCGAGGTATGGCATCCAGTGCAATACTGAAAATTTACACTGCTAGCCTTCGGGCTGCTTTCAAGATACACCCCGCGTACCCTAAGCGGACGCTGTGTTCCTGCAACGGATGTTCTGGCAACACCAAGCGCTTGAATGCTTGTTTCTTGACAGCCGGGAGTTTTGGCACTGAGGAGCCCAGTCTCTGTCTAGCTGTGTCCAGAAGAGATGCAGACTGGAGCAGGTGCGATCAGGAAAGGCTGACGGGTGGCAAATGCGTATTGCCACGTGGTGCTGCTTTACATCTTCTTCGTGCAGTTAGCGAGCTTCAGTGAAGTATGAAGTGCCGGTGTTTCGTGCTTTTTACTTGTAGCGTGGGCTCATGGCCGACGACTTGCCCCAGGGTCATCCGACAATGTAGCTTGGAGATGACAGCTTGGAGCCATGAGACACGGGAGCGCACTTTCCAGTATGTCTCTGTTCTGGTTTGCCTGGCAATCGCAGTTGTATCAGCTGTGCTGGTGACGCTTGGTGTATTATTGTCAACACGGTTCAAGAGTTTCTTTTCTCTTGTCACGCGTGTCTCGCAAGACATCGGGGAACGGGATACACCCCTTGCATGAGTCATGAGTCGTGCTGTTGCAGAGACGAGCAGTAAGCAGGCAGTCTGTGCCCGGCCCAGATGAGGATCCCATGAATAAGGGTGATGAAGGTGCAGAATCCCTGTTATTTTTGGCTGAATAGCCTTGTCCGGCGAACGCGAGGTATTGGATCGGGCCCACGCACCTGATTGGAGAAGTCCTGTTGCTTCTGCCAGATAAGCCTGGCTGCGGCTGGTTTGCGGCATGGGCTTTCCTACTATTGGCAACGGTGGTGTTTATGGTCCCTCTCTGGCAGGCCATGCATTAGGAACTATCTGAGTCCAAACGTGTTGCAGAGCCGGTGGAGGCCATCTGTGTGGCCTCTGGCCTCATGTTCGGTCGCGGGCTAAGCTAGAGGTCCCTGTCCTCTCACTGTTGTTGCCATGTGAACCAGAAGTGGTTCGATTCTAGCATCAAGCTGAGGCCTTTGTGGCGGAACGGCTCTGAATTTCTTGGCCTTGTACGCGGCGGCCGTGATTTGCGCGCTGCTGGGACGCTTCTTGCACCTCGTCAATGGCCAGTGCTTCTTAGCGAAGCTTTTGATGCGACAGAAAAGCCCATGTCCAGTTGCCAAGGTTGCAGGAGCCAATTCGAGGCTGGCTCGACGAAGGGAATTTTCCGACCGCCAAGAAGGCTTTGCAAGTGCTAGAGGAAGCAGATGATTCTGTGGAATTTCAGATACTCTTTCGGTTTTTGTTCATTCCCATATGGCTTCGGAACTACGGGCCTGCAACCCTCCACATACCTCTGTGGAAGCTACTTCTGGCTGCCGTCCCTCACACGCTTTGGGTCTCCTTCATCATGGCATCACTTGGGGTATCTCTGCAAGATGCAAATGATTTGGTGAACGAGGGTGAGGAGCTGAAGATCTGGGATGCGAAATGGCAGCACCTCCTGATGTTTGTGGTTTCCTGCGTGATGTCGTTGCTGTTGTCCTGGTACTCTTATCGGAAATATACCGATATAATGAATGGCGAAGGAAAGCCCTTCAGCCAGACCCCGTGACGAGAGCATTTGCTGTTTCACCCATGGGTTATGCAAACATGTGCGTGCGGAGGCGACCTTGATGTCAAGCTTGGAGTGTTGCTTTAGGCCAAACCCTACTTCTTTTTCGCATGTCTCTTCGTCGAGGAATTGGTAAGATCATGGATTTGCCGCACTTCCCAGAATTCGCCTGTGTCTGTGTGCAGGTACGGTTTAGATGAATCAGGGACTCACGGGACAGGGATGATGCATTTGCAGTGTTTTGCTCGCTTCGACCCGGTGATGTGCACAAAGTGAGGACAACAGAACGGCTCAAGCACCTGGGCCGAGTAAAGATTGTCTGCCCTGTGCAGTTCCATGTAGAGCCCGATGCCTGATGGGCACCGTGCAGGAAAGCCGTTCCTGCATGTCCTGGCAATCATAGCGGCCACATGCCGGTGTGCCAAAGCCAACAATGCAGAAGCTGTCGGAGGAGGCTTCGGTAACTCCATTGAAGAGAGCATCGCTTCCGGTCCAGATGTGGACGACCAGCCCGTTGCCACAATCTTCAGCCCGAAGAGTTTTGGCGCGACAGATCTACTGAACTTGGATTCGGACGAGCTAGCTGCCGACGGTGACGAGACATGGAGTTGCTAGTCAAAACTTTTGCTCGTTGTCCTCCTGTCCTGCAGTTGAAAGTACGGAAACCACTAAGGATCACAACCCAGAGCCAACACTGGCACAATTGATCCGTTCTCTTGTGTTGACACCTCTCGGCGGTCTGTCATTGCAGCGAGGTCGCAGTGAGCATTCGTGAGAGTGTCGCCCAAGTGGGGGCTTAGGCCTTTTTTCAGTACCACCTCAGGACATCAACACTTGACCCTGTCAGTCGGCCTGCATGCTCACTCGAATCTTGTAGATGATCTGTGGGTAACAGCTTCCAAGCATTGGTAGACGGTATTAAGCTTCTGCGGCTTCGCAGTAAGCCTTTGCTTGGAGCATGAGTGACCCAAGTAGTCGCGCCCCCAGCCTTAGATACTGGTTGTGTGGGCCAAGCTACCCATGAAGATGCGGACCGCAGGAACTGTTAACGCGCCTAGCACCTTAGCACCCTAGCACCCTAGCACGTCATCGGAACCTGGACATCCTGCTCGCCCGGGCCAGGCATTCGGACATGTGGGCCAATGCCTCGCTCAGGCTTGCTTCGATTTTTCGACGGCAAGCTGCACGGCGTTCTTGGAGAGACCGTGTGATTGCAGCACGGCCAAACATGACGTCCTGTGCTTGTCGCTTGCGATGGTTTTCGGAAGAGCTCAGCTCTCGACAAGGTGCATCGTCGAGACCAATCTGTGTTACACAATCTGGCAGGAAAGCCTCACCTGCTTCCACCGACCGCCCGGACAGCGATGACTGTTGAAGCTTCAGTTTGTTGTCATTCTGGAAGCACAAGAGACTTGGATGGCATCATTATGTTCCGCAATGCACTGCTTCGCATGGGAGGAGCTTTATTCTTGCTGCTCGAGGATCTCGACTGAATTCGGGCAAGAAGTGGAGTGTTCGGGAGGCTTCGGAGCCCGCAGTGTCTTGCCGAGGCCTGGGACTGCCTCAGAGGGGATGTTGCTCGGCAAAGCCAGGGAGGCTCGGCCTGGAGTAGCCCTCGGCCTCGGCCCTGCACTCTGAAGAGCTTGGAAGCCCTGAGAGAAGCGAGCAGCCCAGGAAAGCAGTCCTTTCGCGAAGAAGATCATGGAGAAAGCCCTGTCCTCCTGGGACACCAGGGAGAAGACCAAGTGTATCAGTGCGGCAAGATCCGCGAGAGGCTATCGCTTGCCAGTCATGTGTGGATGTACTTGAAAACAAATCCAGCCTTGAAGGCACCATTTCCCTTACAGATTGCAAGACAAAGTGCTTCTCGGCCGGTTTGCTCCGACAGCAGCTGTGCAACGACAGAAAGTCGCCCAGTCACAGATCTGCACCTCTAGGGATTCCTCCAGGTTTAGAAGAGAAGCGCGAGGTCGAACCGAAGGCGGCTGGGAGAGTTGGGGCGTGTAACGCGGGGTGTGCGGGCGACAACCAGGCTTGCGAGAGATGCGGTGTGTGTGTGTGTGTCTCAATATGAAGCCGGACACTCCTGGGAGGAGTGCGACGCCATCCTCTACAAGGAGAAGGGCAATGGATGCATTGCTTGCAGAAAGCCGGTGCATCGAAGACTCGAGAAAACATGACGGCCCGTGATGAGTTTAGAGCATAAAATTGCAACATTATTCCGTTGTGAATCCTAGGAAAAGGCCTCTGCTTTGTGCTTTTCGGCTTGGATGAGCCTTCGTGCTACTTGACCCAACAGAGCAGCTTCGTCTTTTCAGTTTTTGTGTTGTGCGTCGCTGTGCATCTTAGGTGCAGAGAGCGACACCTGGAAAACCTTGGTTTACAAAAAGAAGTCTCCTGGTGCAATAGACTCAATAGACATGAAAAGCTGACAGCATGAGCTGCTCTGACAGCGTTGCATGTTTAAGGCTTGCTTAGCAGCTGCTGCAGGTAGATGGAGCTGGATCCGCTGGACCGCTTGAAGGGCGAAGGTTGACTTTGGCGGGCCGCTGCAAACGTCGGCTGTAGCGATTACGAGCTACATCGCGTGCTGTTGCAAAGAGGGTGCTGGACCGCAACACTAGATAGGACAAGGGGTAACCATTTCATGAGCAACCATGGTCAAGCGCTGGTTTTGCCGAGCTCTGACGTGTGCGCTTCGTGCTCACTGTCGAAAGGTACAGTAGAACCGCAAGTGCTGCCATAAATACAACCAATGCGCAGCCCAAGCATCACCTTAGCTCCCCAACCTGCTTCAGCATTTTGCCATTTGCTTGACACGCCTCATCCCGAATCAGACACACATCAGAAACGAAACGTGGAAGAGCTTGCAATGGACAACCAGTGTAAGCTTCGCCACGACCTTGTATGCTTGCACATGCAGAAATTTGAGAGCTGGCGCATGGCTCCAGGATGCGCAGGTGGGTCCGTTAGCTGCTCATCGCTCTTGTTCTGGTGAATGCTTAAAGTCCGGCTGGTCCGACGTACATGTGGAAGGCGAAGAAAGCTCTCGGGTGCTGATGGTGGAGGGAAACGAGGCAAGATGCAAGTGCAATGGGGCGTTTCAGGCTCAGGGCTTAGGCTCGTGTCAGGCACATCAACGATCACAGCTCCTTGACAATTTGCAGACTGCAATGGGGGAATCACTCTGACTCGCAATCCATTTCACTCCAGCTGCCGCAAAACAACGGTCAACGACCCACACTCTTGTTGGGGTCATGGTCAAATGCATGGTGGGTAGGGATGTAATCTGATTTACGGGTCCCACCTTACGTTCTTCTTGTACCACCAGAATAAGAGACGCAGAGTGGGGGTGGCCGCGTCGAGTCTATTCTTGGCGGTCCTGTCTGGAATTGGAAGCTTGGCCACAAATTCGTGGGCCCTCCTGGTTACCATGTGCAGCCCTGCCCCGAGTAGCCTCAAAAGCAGCTGCAGCAGGCTTGCAGGTGGAAAGCTCCAACGCTTTGAAGCAAGTGCCTGAGTCTTTTGGTCGTTTCCTGGGCGTAGGATTTTCGATTCCACATTAGAACAAAGGTCCCTGGTGCTTGATGCAACCGACAACGAGCAGGCCCTTTGGAAATCTCCGCGCCAGTGTAGCTCGTTGCAGCATTCGTGCTAGGGGAACAATAGTAGTGGTATGCCAGGGAGTGCAATTGACAGGCAGACCTATCCGGTGTGAACTGGGATGCGCCGGCAGATGCGGTTGCTTGCCTGATGTCCTGGAGAGTTCAGGTTGGATCCGTGCTGCACTGCCACACAAAACTGTGCTTCTGGTTGAGGTCAGGTGTCGGCATGGAGTCCGCTTTAAGGCTCACGGAATCGAAGCTACAGAACAGGCTGCCCACGATGTCCCTGTCAGCATGTGAAAGCCATAGGTGGTCAATCCTGACGTTTCTCAGCGTCTTCCCTTTGTCTCCACTGCCCCTGCGTCGCAGGACAGGGCAGGGATAGTCGCCACGTTGAGAAATTCAGTGATTCAGTTCATTCGCAGTTCGCCCTGGCTTTTCAGACCATGCATCTGATCGTTTCTGGGACGACACGCGAGGCGATGCGGCAGCTTTTGCTCGCCATAGGCATGGAAGTGGGCTCCAAAATGCCTTCAACTTTCTCCGCGGGGCATGAGCTTCAACGAGCTGACGTCGGGTTTCTAGATCCTTTCATAGAGACCTACAGTACCCTTTTGCATGCACTGGTTTGTTAGAGGTCGGAGGAAGCACAAGCTCATCATGCCATATTGGGTTTATAGGTCGAGGTGTTTAGGCCATGGTCAAGAGCCAGCTGCGGTTCAAGTACACGTGAGTCGAGTATGATTCATACACAATGTCGATTCGAATACTGTCGATTGGAGCCAAAGTTAGATTGAAGAACTGGTGACTCAAGCGTGCAAGGGATTTGTGAAGAGTTTCTTGGATGTTATGTTCGTAAGATTTTTAGGTTTGTCGTGCTTTGCTGTAGGGTTGATAGGATCTTCAGATTGTAAGGGTTCGCCTAACGTAGGTCTGAGGTTTCAGGGTCTGAGGTTGCTAAGAAATTTCATTTAGGATCATGCTCATTAGATCCTGAAGGACCTTGAACCAGCTGTGCATTCTTTCTCTTGCTGTCCATAGAGACAGCCGGAAAGAAGGATAGATGGATAGTGGAGGATAGTAGAGGGAGGCATGCGGAATTTGCACTTACGGTAGCATACGCTTTTTGTAAGGGGCTCTTGTCAGGCACTGGGAGTCCGGTGCTGGTGGGTGGCCCTTCTGGAGTGGGGAAGACCGCCTTCGTGAGGAGGGCTGCCACGCACTCAGCCTGGCTTTGTACTTGAGCCACTCACGTTGGATTCTGGTAAAAGGAAGGGCAAGTCTTTGTGTTGGAGCTCGCTTTAGGCAGAGTTGATGGGGCAGCTGGAGCCTGCTGCCTGCTGAGCTTCTTCCGGGTTGTACTTGCGAGAGTCTGGAAAGCAGATTCCTATCATGCCTAAGGTCTTTCTGTTCTGTGATGAGCAGTGGAAGCCAAAGTCAAATACTCTGATAGACAGTGTGCGTGTCCAGCGGCAGATGTTAAGGACTGACATCAAAATGCTGCTCGGTGCATATGTTTGTGGTGAGACTGCCCGGGACCTGTTCGCCTCCTGTCCTTGAGTCACGCGCAACTTGCCGCTGTAACAGGTAGGAGAGTTTGTGTGGCGGCCTGGCGTTGTGACAGAAGCTCTTCAAAAGGGCAGGCCGCGTGGAGTGTGATAAACTCTGGCTTTGGGGGTTTTGGAACATAGAGTTTAGAGGTTCGCGGGCATCGTCAGTTTTCAGGCTTAACTAGGGATTGCAGCCATCGTTCCGTACCGCTCCTCAGCGTTTGTGCTGGCCCGGCCTCGTTTTCTGTGCGAGCATCGGGTTTTCCAAGCATCGGTCCTTCCGGAGTTTCGAGCTTGTCCTTCGAGGTTTTTGACTCTGCCAGATTTTCGCTAGCCGTCCACTCAGTTTCCATGTCTTTTTCACTTTCAGGGTCTGTAGGCTGGCAGTCCGTGAGCCTTTCGATGGTCTTGCCGTCGGTCTTTACGGGTTTGGGCTCGTTCGGGTTTACATTTGCATGCCGTTAGATCTTTCCGATGGGCTTTCTGGAATCCCGTTGTGTGACTTTGACCAGACACATACGTTTACACTGTTGGACTCTCGTTCGTGCTAATGTCAATGTCTTTGCTAAGTTGGCCTGTGAGCCGGAATAGCCGCTGAATAACTGCAGCTCTACACTGCAAAGTTTCCCATTCCACAGATATACAGCCGCTTCCGGGTGCAAAGGACAGCTGGAAGTTAGCACCACAACACTTGCTGATGTGCAAATCCATAGTCGGCAGGTGGCTGGTGTTGGAAGATGTGGACAGAGTCCCCTCAGAGGCCTGCAGCAAGTAACGTAAGTAAGTGGACTGGATTGACGAGGTGCAGCGTGCCTGGCCCCAAGGTTTTGGCTGCGTTGCTGCCTCTTTCAGACTCTCGTCGCCTGGTTCCTTGCCCAGCTGCTGGCTGTGACAGTGGCTGCTCTTGTCACAGCTCTGCCTTCAGTCAGGTTATACCCGATCGGAACCAGTGTCTTTCGGCACACGAGGCCAGTGCGCGAGCAGGGCACAAGCCACAGAGAAGAGATCGGGATAGCGTGGTATTCACCGACGCGGCAGGACTTTCGACTTTTCGGTACACTGTCCTGTGGCTCGGAACCAGTGCTGATGACTGAGTTGCTGATTGCATGAGACTTGTTTGCCAGCAGTTCGGCACTTAGGCGCTGGTCCTCGCACGCGACAAAAGATGGTGTCCAAGAGGAGGTGCCTGCTGCATAGTCCGTGAAGGTGCCAGTAGGTGCTTGCTAGCACGAGGCTACAGTGGCCGCTGAGGAAGGCGGGCCATGCCTGAAAAGGTTGGGGCATGTTGTCGAAGCGTGCCAAAGAAGCTTGTTTTCGAATCTTGTGACTGCTTCCTTCTCGGTCTTTCCTCGGACAAACCAATCCCGAATTCAACATCGTCGCACTGCCAGAACACGACTTGGCTCTTCTCCCGACTTCTCAGCTTGTGTGAGTTTTCGTGATTCAGTGATCACGCTGTCCGAGTGTCTCTGGCAGGGCAAAATGGTGGTGAAGACGAGGAAGACGAGTCTGACACTCTACTTGCAGGAGATCCTGGAGCACGGGGCCGTGTGATCGCCTTAATTGCCTTTGCACTCCGGCTCTGTCTGCGCTGGGGTAGGTCTGGCTACTGGCCAGCGCATACAGCAAACCCTCACCCTAGTCTACGTAGCATGTCTCCTTGGCTGTGTGTGTGAGACTATGTGACTTGCCGCTTGCCTTGTTGCTTCAGGCCAGAGCTCGTGTGTTCAGGTACCCGGGATTTGCCGGTTGATCCACGACTTCGTCTTCGAGTCTTCCTTGTGCCCTGCTTTCTTCTTGTTGCCCAAATGCTTCGGTCGGCGCCCTACTCTTTGAAGGATGTCGGGGGTGACCTCCCCCGGCTGCGACGAAGGTGCATCGCACAGAGGTAAGTGCGGGGCTTGACCGCCCTCGCCCGGGAGTCAAGAAGTTAGGTCAGCTCCCGCCTTTGTCCTCTATTCAACCGGCTTTCCATGCCGCGACGCCTGCGGATGTGGAGCCCAGATTGCCAATAACTGCAGTGGCCGCTGCGCGTCCCCTGCCCTCTGCGACTCTTCCTGGGTGTAGCCTAGCGGCAGCTGAGTCGGAGGAGCGTAAGCGTCTGGCCACTGTTTGGTTAGGCTTTGCAGACGTTGTGCGAGAGGATAGCAGACTGTTCATTGACCTGGGGCCTTGTCATACTGCGCGTCTCTTGCCCCTCTTTGTAGAGAGGGCACCAGCAACTTTGCCGCGCAATTTATCAGGTTGGCGTGCGTGGCTTTCATTCTGCGCGAGCTCAGCCTGGCCGGCATGTCGACCAAGCCTGTCGCAGATGCTGGACTTCCTGGCCAGCCTGTCAGAGGGCTCTATTACAGATCGCGGCCGCCGTCGTCGCAAGACAGCGCTTGGCGTACTTTCAGCGTTAAAGTTTGCGGCTTACAAGATCCAAGTGGAGCAGCTTCAGAGTGTGTTAGAGAACCCCTTAGTGGCAGCGTGGCAGGAGTCCGCTGAGTGGACGCGGCAGCGAGTTAAGGAGGCGCTGCTGCTTCCTCTGGTTGTTCTGTTTCGCTTTGAGGAGGCGTTGGTCAAAGAGGCCGGTGAGGACTGCCTCCTCTTATTATCCGTACTGTTGGTACTGGCCTGGGCGAGCCTACGCTGGTCCGACATGCAGCGATTGGATTTGGCCTCTGTTGTGCTGGGTAGCGATCATCTAGCAGGCTAGTGTTGTAGAACTAAGTCAAGTACGCGAGGGATGCCTTGGGGCTGCCTCTCTTGCGGCCTCTTGAATCGGGGCTGGGCCTCGATTTTGTTCAGAGAGATTTGCAGCTTGCGTGATGTGTACCCAGAGCGTGATTATGTGCTGGACTGCAAGGGAAAAGCACTTGGCTGTTCTGGCATGCTGGCACAGTTCCGGCGCTGCCTCGTCGTGTATGCTGGCCTGTCGACAGGCCAGCGTGGCAAGTCGGTTCACCTTGCACTCGCTGAAGACCACGCTCCTGGCCTGGTCATCCCAGATAGAAGTTCCGGAGGTGCTCCGGGAGGCACAGGGACATCACAGATCGGCAGCCGTCTCTACTTGTGTGAAGCGTTACTCTCGCGATGACATCAACCCTCAGTTGCCAACGGAAGGTGGTTGCCGAACTGCGTGACGGTTGGTGCCCTTATGTGCCGGTGGACAGAGGCCTCGGCCGTGTGGATGCCGCGGCTTTTGAGGCGCACGTGCTCGCATCTCCGCAAGTGGAAGAGGTTACAGAGCCTGGCCAGCTGCCGTCCGACACTGAGGCGGAGTCCGTGGATGCCGAAGCTGCCGTCGACCCCGTAAGTGATTCTGGTTCGGAGTTTGAGAGCGAGACTGAAGCTAGTGTGGCCAGCATGGCCCCTTCTCTCGAAGATCTGGCTGACCTGGAAAGTAGCTGGCTTCTGAATACAGTTTCCGGTTGCGCTCATAAGTCCATGTGGTGCAGCGAGTTTGAGACATGCGCCCCGGCGTGCCGGCCAAGTTTACAGCTCGGAAAGCAATATGAGCACTGGACGTGCAACCCCTGCTTTCATGGCCTCAGGTCATGCGGCCATTCTGGCTGTTGGAGCTCTTGCTGAGACAGCCCAAGCGCTGGTTTCGGGTCCTTTGGGGATCATGACTGCGCATGTGCCCTGGGGTTGGCATGACAAACTTCTGTTTGCGCACGCGTGCATTGCCCTTTGGGGGCCTGTCACTTCGCAGGGGCTTTGGGCCTTTCTGCTATGCTTGTCAATCGACTGTTTGTAACATTGCGGGGTCTGTCATTTGGCAGGGGCTTTGGGCCTTTCTGCTGCGTTATCTTGTTTGCGCTTTGGGCTCTTGTTTGGTGATCAGTACCTTCGCAGGGGACTTTGCAGCATCTGTGTGCCTTGCATGTCATAGCCAAGCCCGATAATCGCGTCAGCAATAGACTCCTGCACCCCGTTCTGGCTCCGGGCATGGGCTCCTGGCTGCGGCGTTGCTCTGGTGATTTCAGGGATTTGGGACGGAGGGAGGCCCCTCCTGCCCCTTCAACTTGCTCAGAATGTGCAGCCAAAACACGTGTCCGCCCATGCCCTCTTCATGCGTAGTTGGGTAGGCACTGAGGGTTGGTCTGTCTGCGCTGGGGTAGGTCTGGCTACTGGCCAGCGCATACAGCAAACCCTCACCCTAGTCTACGTAGCATGTCTCCTTGGCTGTGTGTGTGAGACTATGTGACTTGCCGCTTGCCTTGTTGCTTCAGGCCAGAGCTCGCGTGTTCAGGTACCCGGGATTTGCCGGTTGATCCACGACTTCGTCTTCGAGTCTCCCGCCCGCCCGCCCCAGATGGGGAAGTGGGCTGCGGCGCTTTGCTAACCATCGGCCCAGCGGCCCGGTGATTTCAGGGATTTGGGGAGGAGGGAAGCCCCGCCTTCCCTGTCAACTTACTCAGAATGTGCAGCCAAAACACGTGTCCGCCCATGCCGTCTTCATGCGTAGTTGGGTAGGCACTGAGGGTTTGTTCGTCCTTCTCCATCGCAGAAATGCAGTGTTAGCAAGCCTGCAGAGAGTCGTGCCGTGCCGAATTGAGCTTTGCAGCAGAGGTTCCAGCCCTGGTAAGCGCTTGGGCGCGAGCTGAATTCTCGGAGGATGCGCATGTTCAATTTATGAGTGCTGGACCAATCAACCACAGGTCTGGCTGGCACCGCTTCAAGAGCTTCACCTAGCCGAAGTGATCACCGGTGCGCTGGGCAATGTTGAGCGGCTCAGTAGCGGCTCTGTGTGTTGGTGGCCTCTCGGCCGGCAGAGTGACAGGCTTGTTCCCGGAGCTTGAGCCCATCCAGGGGCAGCTGCTGGACTCTGCTTCGGCTCTGTCCGAGCTCGAGATCTGTTGCCGTTTGTTGCGGCACCTACGTGTCCCCAGAGACTTGAGGCGGCTTGCCACAGAGGAGGCAGGGCCGCGGGCCATGCTTGGTGGCTTGCCGGCGACCGGACCGTGTGGATACCAAGTGAAGTCGGCGCAGGGCTGCAGCAGCGGCTGCAGTCGAGATCTCTGCTGAGCTTAGAGCGGTGCCTCCCAGGCGAGATCTGCTGCGCTGGTGTTCGCGGCTGCGCCTGGCGAAACTCGTGCTAAGCCTGGCGCCGAGCTGCCCGTTGTTGATAGCGCACACCGTGCTTGCAAATCGTACGTTGCATGACTTTCCCGTGCCACTGTAGCATTGCTCAGTTCAATGCAGTGCACCACTCTCAGTGGCGAGCTGGGGGCTGGACTCATACTTGCTTGCAATGAAAAGATGACGTGAACTTCGTTGAGCCTGATTGTAGACCCTTCGCGTCGTCCGCCTCGGCCCGGGTGAACAGCAGTCTGCACATGAGCGCACAAGGCGACGAACGTGGGCCGCCGGAAAGGGGGAGGGGCGGGAGGGTGGAGGGATTTTCGAGGTCAGAATCGGGGGCCTTTAAGCAGGGGCTGGGTGCCCGCTTAGGGGGGTCACTGTGGAGGGGATTAAGAGGAGGGGAAAGAGGTTCTCAGAGGGAAAATAGAGAAGGGCTGACCGCTTCGAGGCGAATTGCAAGAACAGCATACGCCGTGACATAGGATCCGCACTGCTGCATTTGTGCAGCATTGCTCTCTCGTCGTTGCTCTTGCATTCCTCAACTTTGCCGCTTCGCGTCGACTTCTTGTCCTTGGTCTTGAGGTTGGGGTTGCCAGGGGTTCAAAGTTGCTTTATTGAGTCGCGAGAATACAGCTCCGCCGTGGTCTTGACCGCGTGAGGCCCTAGCTTCACCGAAGAGAGCCGAACCGCTCTTCTCAGAGAGGCATTGCAGGCGCAGTGTTTGTGCAGGACGGGTCCATGGGTCGGGTGGTGCTGGTGTGGCTTTTTGAGGTGATCCTTGGACGAGTGGCTGACCTCCGCCTCCGCCGCGCCTTCCTGTCCTGTCTTCACCTCGAAAGCTCATGAAAGCTCATGGTCGCATGCTGGCTCCGGGTCACCGGCTTTGCCTCGCGGGGACTTGAGGCCTGGCTCCCATCTGGTCCCTGAGCTCGGGAATCGCAGAGGCCCTGCTGCAGGCGCAGCGCGCAGCAATCACACCTCGGTGCACCTCAGCCAGGAAGAGGTGTTTTGGTCTTTCAGGAGAGGCCCACGGTGACCTTGCTGCCATCTTCCGCTCCCGAAAAGGCGCGGCTGCAAACCCACTTTTGCCACGACGTCTAAAGTGGGTCTCAGGTTCAGATCGGCAGCATCACTCTTCCTCTTGCAGTGCAAGGAGAAGATCCGGCTCCCAGCCCAGACTGCACAGGGCTCTTCACAGGCTGCGATGTCTCGACTGCCTCGAGGTTTTCTAGCACCGGGCCTCATAAACTAGTTAACTAGTTTGTCTTGCCCGTACGGAAAACACTCCTATGAGTTTCTGCGGCTTCCGAAGGCAGTCCGATGTGCGCCCTTTGCCTACACATCAGTCCATGCCCGCATTCTTCAGGCACCGCGTGAGTAACCGTTTGTTGGGTGATTTTCCTTTGGGGTTTGGGCTTCGAGCCTTTGGAGTATGGAATTGACGTGAGGCGGATCTTGTAGGGGAGCGGTTTTCAGAAAGAGCCCATGCCTTGTCGCATCTTCCGGTTGGTAAAGTCATTAGGCAGGATCTGGCCTTTGCGGACTCGCCCAGCCGCCCTCTGTAGAGCACTCGGGCAGCTGTGCATAAGTGCAGCAATGCGGTGAAGCCGGACTTCGTCGATCAACCCCATGGCCAACAATTGCATGGTCGTGAGTTGCAGAAGATCCGTAGCGGCGATGCCGGCAAGTCCTACTTCCACATCACCACGAGATGTGAAAAGCAGATGTCAACCGAGATCAGCGGCGATACAGCTGTTGCTCGCTGAAAAAGCTTATCACTGAGCACCTGTAGAATCGTTGTCGTGGGCCGTTGTCTCGTGTGTTTGGAGGCCGTGCTTTCGCACAAAGCCACTGACAGCGGACGGGCAGGCTCTGGCGTCGGCGATCCGAGCTGACGAACCTGCCCTGCTGGTGGGTGTGGTGCTCGGCAAGCGAGCAACACTTGATGCTTTGCTGCGACATCCGTATTTAGCCCAGGTGATACTGGTACCGGGAAAACTTCGGTAGTCCAGCACATCGGCCGTTTGTTGGGCCAAGAGGCGGCTGAGCTCCAGTGACCATGACTCTCTTGCCGAATGCCTGTTGCAAGGTCCTTGTTTACAATTTCAACGAGCAGAGTGAGTCCACGGAACTCATCGGCGGCTTTCGTCCAGTCGTGAAGGTCTCAGGTGGGTTGAGAGTTCACAGCTGATACCTGCTTGAATGCTTGCGTCGTGCCCAGGACAATGTCATGCAACTTATGTCTGAACTTGTCATGGTGCTCAGCTGGTTGATGCAGCTGTTGCCTCTCCTCTCCGGAGCAAGCGCCGAAGACTTCACATGGAACCAGGTTGAGTTGTTCTGCTCCACCTTCGAGAAGTCTTTCTCGCGGCGCAAGAACGTCTGCATCTTTGAGATTCCAAAAGTGATGTCAGTGATGTCCCAAAGTCTCGCCGGTGCAGCGTGATTTGCCTGAGGCGAGGCTTTTGGAAAAAGCTCGAGGGGACTTTCTGGGCCGACGATGGGCCGTAGCCTCCGTTGTGCTGGGTGTGTCGCTCTGAACGGCCCTGCCTGCTGCCGAGGCTTCGGTGCTTCACAGCATTGGAAGCGTGATGTCCAAGGCCAATGTAGTTTTCAAACGGATGCCCTCACAGTCAGATGATGCCAGGCCCAGCAGAGTCTCAGCGATCCTGCACGTGCCTGAGATTTCTGGGTCAGCGATGGTCGATGTGGGTGAAACAATGCAGGGCGGGGGTGGAATACCGAGGTGACTCAAGCCTCGAAAGGTGTGAAGGGCACACACCTTGCAGCAGAGCGCGATTCGCAGGAATGACATAAAGTGGTTCCTCCTTGCTGGCCCTTGCAGTGTTGAGGTGGGAAATGGTGAAGGACCTCCATAGAAAGGCATCAGCAGCCTCGGGCCCGGCCTGCCATGCCTGCCCTCCCCGCCCTGCACGTGCTCGAAGTGCTTTTTCTTCCGGCTCTGAGGTGGTCGCGGCAGGCTCGGCGCCCCGCTTCGAGTTCAAAGAGGGCTTGCTGGTCCAGGCGCACAGATCGGGGAATCCAAGATTTTGCCAAGTTTGTTGGACTCCAGGTGCTGCAGGATTACGTGTCATGCTTGCACCCGCACCTGATTCCTCTGGCTCACGGAGTCGTGACCCTACATGAACAATACTTCAGAACGAATCATGAAGGTGTGCCGGGAAGGACAGTTATTGGAGATCAAGAACAAGCGAACTTAGAACGTCTTTTCCCGAAGCCCCAATTCTTCTTCTGATGCTCGCACGGCGATCTGCTGCATGCATTGTCGTGATCCTCGTCAGCTGGCATTCTTTCCTTGCCTTCGTCACGGGAAGTTTGGCAAGAGAGGCAGTCAACCGAGTGGCCCGATTCGCACGCGGATTTGGCAATGAAGGGCGGCCAGCTGCCAAGACAGACGAGCAGCAGGTGAAGACAAAGAAGGGGCTGAGGACTACGAAAGCTGCGATTCAGTTCTTTGAAAAAGCCAAAGGGTATCGAGAAGGTGGTGACAACGTGAAAGCCGTCCAGATGTATCGAAAGGCCCGAGTTGCCATTGGCAAAGCAGCAGGCAAGGGATCCAAAGACTATGCCAGGGTCTGCAGCGACCTTGCAACTGCATACCTTGACCTGGATCAGCAGGACCGTGCGGCAGACCTGTATGAAGAGTCACGAAGAGCCTTTGAAAGCTCTGTCGGCACAGCCCATGCCGAGTATGCAGGCTGCCTGCGAAATTTGGCAAGGTTGAGACGAGCTTTGGGCAATATAGCCGAGGCAGAAACTTTGTTGAAGGAGGCTTCGCACATCTATGCCGGCGATTTAGGCAGCTTTCATGAGGAGTATGCACTGACCCTGAGAAGCCTTGCCACCCTTTACCAGGAACAAGGCCAGATGGAGCTTCTTCAGCCCATCTTACTCGAAGAGCAGCGCGTGAGGACTCTGGCTGCCAGCCTCGGCCGACGCTAGCGTCCCACTTCGGCCCTGCAGAAACAAAGGGGGGGGGGATGCACTCGTAGATCTCGTAGGGCCTAGGGCCTTGAGAGGCAGTAGTGCGAGTCTGCCTGCACCGGCGAGGCCTTGCGTAGCGGTGCTTGGGTGGTGCTGAGCTGAGCTTGAGACGGCAAAAGGGCAAAGGGGCCCAGTCCCGGCTTCTGAGGTGCTGGACGAGATCAACCTTGCACCCTCAGACCTTCTGCAACGTGTGCAGGGTCTTATAGAGAGGTCGTCCGGTACCCATCCGAACGCAAGTGAGGGGTTCCGGCTGCAGCTCCAGCGAGGTCAGGATCTCACCTTGCCTTGCCAGAGTCGGGTGACGAGCATGTGGTGCCACACCCCAAGAAGCTGAGACCGGTGTTGTGGGATTTCCACTGCCCAACGCGGCCAGATCGTGCGTCACAGTAGTTGTCGCTGCGAAAGGTCTCACCAAGCACTGTGTCGTGGAAAGCCGTGACGAAAAGAACCGGTCTTGTGCAAGCCCAGGCCACATCCTGAGTTCAGACTCTTCGCGTGCATGAACCCGCGCGGTGCCCGGAAATGCAGTGTTGTGACATGTTCTGTGACAAACCGGTATAGTGTACGAGTGTACGGGTTTTCACACGACGTGATGTCAGGCCGCGCTTGTCCGCCCGACCCGCTTCTCTTCTGCTCTTCTGCTCGGCTTCGCAGCAAGCGGGGAATCCCTGCCAGGCCTCCTCCAGCAGAGGCAGAGGGCGAGGTCAGCACAAAGGGAGATGACAGCGAAGTGCCGTGGGGCTGTGGGGCCGGGTGTCACAGGAAGAAGCACCTATGCCGAGAGCTGGACAAGCTGCAGGGAAGAAGGCGCGAAAACGAAAGGGAGCGGCCGCTGCGCGTACAGTACCGGTCCCTCCAGTCATTGCCTTTCCTTTGCTTTCTCTCTGGAGTCTGGATGCTCGAGGAGCTCCCTCCAGGCATTCGTGCACGCTTCACCGAGATCTTCGTAGACGAGGCTGTGTGTGTTGAGTCGCTGTCGGAGTTCTGTGGTCAGTATGCTCCGTTTGGATGATGCAATGATGAAGATTTTTTTTCCCGATGCTGTTTTGCCCAAGCAGCGTCAGCAATCTCTGCCTCCCTTCAAAGGTCAAGTTGTTTAGAATTGCCCGTAATCCTGTGATGTCGTAGTGACGTAGTGTGTCACAGCTGCAACAGCTTCATGGCCTAGATCGCTGGCCTCGACGGTTGCAGTCCAATGTGCTCAACCGAGCTTCTCACCCGAGTCCGCGCCCTTGTCGCCTCTTTGATTAGCCTTTGCACCTGTTCCGAGGTCGGTCTCCCCGCCGAAACCACGGCCGCTGCAGGCTCACGATCTGAAGTCCAAGGCCCGTGCGGTCCCCATGTCGGTGATGCTGCAAGAACCGCCAATCCTGCCAGGTCTTCGTGGTTCCCACATGGTGTGATATTTGCAAAGGTGTACTGGTATGCTCCTCACGTCTTCGCGTGTGCTCTTTAGCACGGATGGCAAACTCATGCTGAGGTCGGCCACGGCTTTGTCTGCGCAGGTCCTTGCCAGATGAGGTTGGGCAAAGCAGGCTGGGATCGAGTTCTGGGCAGTTTGTCCTTTACGAGGTGTCATCGGGGACTCGGGGCCAACGGCGCAGAGAATTGCAAAGCTGAGCTCCTCATGAAGAAATGCGAGGAGTGCTTGTGACTGGTGCAGCAGAGATTGCAGTGGTCCATGCCATCAGTGTTTCGCAGGAGGTCGCCCATGTCCAGGGACAGCCTCGCTCTCAGACTCAAAGTTGACTTTGAGTGGCGAGTGTCAGTACGAAGTGCTGCAAGACCGACGGATTAACCAGTCTGGCCAGTTTCTGCAACTTCTATGCTGCTCATACAACTGGCATGAAGACAGCACGACATAAAGGCAAGGATGTGTGCATCTTTGTCGGGGCTGTTTCGGTATTAAATTCCGCATCCAGAACGGTGCAGCCGTGCAAGGTACCAGTTTGGCGACGTTACGAAGCAGATCTTCAGGAATGAGAAGCAGAGGACCATGCCTTCGGCTGTTGCTGGAGCTTCTCTGTGCCCACTGGAATGTCACCGCGGTACCATGGCTTGGCCGAGGATTAAGGACCTGGTGGTGACAGAGTTTGTGCCGCGCAGCTGCAACTTTAATGTAGCACTTCTCACAGAGCTGTGAGCCCGCACCAGGAAGGAACAAGCGAGTTTCGGAAAGTTCGACAAGCTGAAAGCCTATTCAGAAGCTCTCCAGGCAAGCATTGCATAAGCATCCGGCTGAAACTAAGAGTGCATGCCCGCGCAGGAGTGGTGGGACGAAGATCGCGTGGTTCGATACATGCTCCATGCTCTATGTTCAAGTACATGTTATTTCTTTTTGAGATGTAAGCGCTTGTTGGAGATTGTGTAATGGACTGGAAAGACCCTGGCACATCGTTGCTGTTGAGTCTGAGTGGCTCTGAGGTTGTTCGCCATTTTCTCGATTGAGCTCGTGCTCTTCGTGATCAGTTACAGCCACCGTGCTGCAACTACGTGCTTTCGAAGGTCTTGCGAGCTTCACAGAGGTCTTTTGCTTGAAAGGCTCAGTGTTTCTCTGTGCTTGGCCCGTCCATGGCGCATCGCGGGCGGGCCGTTTGGCCTGGCTGCAGGACTGCTCGAAGGGTGGCACATGGATTCTAGAAACACCAGCCAGCGGAGCCTTGCCGCAAGTGTCTTGACCAGGCCGTGTCCAACTGCACGTCGGCTGCCGTGTTTGAAGGATTGCTGATACTTCTGATCCATGTGCTCGCCACTCAGGCTCGGGCTCGTGGTTGTTGCTGTGGACTTGTGCTTTACTTGTAACTCATAGTGTCTGTCCCGCCAGCCTGTACTCCTTAGCCCTCTGGCAGCTGTCTCCTTTGCGCTTGTCCCTGCAGCTCCTGGTCTACTCCGATCTTGTACACAGCTTTGTTCGTTCCTTGCCATTGCACTTGGGATTGGGGCACGTAGCTGCACTGTAAATCCTGATGCGTCACATCTGAGGTGAAATACTGCAGATAAATCTCAGCGAACTACAGATAGACGTGCCGGGAGCCCAGAATCCATGTCGGGCAGCAAACACTTGACATGGCCTTGTAGCCGCTGAGGGGGAAAGCTGCTGATGCTGTCACGAACATCACAATCCATGGCCTTAAGACGACGGCTTGCGTCGCATGCCTTGGGATGGCGTTGTGGATGAGGTGGAATGGTAATTTCAACTGCTGCTAACTTCACACTGCCGCAACATTCTCCAGGCTTTGACTGAACAGTCGGGGAGATGAAAATAAAGTGCGAATTGTAGAGAGGAGTCGAGGGTTCGTTTTAACAGGCTCAGCAGCTTTGGGAACAAGTTGTAGAACATTGCTACTCGGTCACCGAAACTGTCCGGCAGGGCCGTCCAGCTGGTCTACGACTACATGATTTCCGCCAGCTGACTGTCCTGGCCAAGCGCTGGTCTACGTTCTTGACAGGATGCACAGCGCGTCTGGGTTTTCCGTTGATAGGTTTCACGGCGCAAAGGAACCATGTCTCCAAAGATTCGAGACAAGCTCATCGGCTCGAAAAAGCGCCGTGACTCGCAGCAGAGGCAGAGGAAGGTCCGCTATGAACTACAAGTGGTGTGTTCGCGGAGGTGCACACACCGGAGGACTTGGGCCTCATAGCGTGAAGCTCGGGAGGCTTTTTTCGTGCCGCGAAGCCATGCGGCAGCTTGCAGTGTCGAGGTTCGCAGCTACCTGGAGGGTGACTTCCCAAATCCGCCGGCTAATGCCATCGTAGGCAAGGAGTGGAATCAAAGCAGAATCCTTGAGAGCTCATCTTCCTGCAGGCTTTTACCGCAAAGCCGGGTCACTGGCACGCTCGGTGACCAAGCTTGTCCGGGGCATGCTGCTCACGTTTATCGGAAGCGGCGAAAGAGGCGCCGACAATCTGCCATTTCAGGCCAGAGTGCGCTTCTCGATGGAGCTGGAAGAGTGCTAATCCCAGCTTTCCATGCACAAGGCTGCCAGCATCCTTCATCTGTTTTTCGTTCTGAGGCTGTGCTCTTATCTTTGTGCAATGTTGAGGTCTGTAGCTTCTCCCTGCGGAACCTGACCCGCTCCCTGCGCTTCGCGCTGCGGCTCGCCAAGCGACCGCCGCGAACACAGAGTACAACATGAGTTTTAGGAGAGCCTGCAATGCAAGGTGCATAGGACCTATGATCATAGGAGTCGGCATCGAGGCATCAAGGAGACCTGCCCCCAATGCGACTAAAACCATGGTCCACACCACCCTGCGATGTCCACGAATGCAGACCAAGAGGAAGTCTTCGCAAGCATTTCTCGGCATGCCAAGGCAGCACGCGACGCCCCCAATCAAGGCTGGACCCGGAATTTGGCCATAGGAGCCGCTGTGGGGATTTCTCTTCTGATCAAGTGTGCTCGCTGAGCTCGTCTTGCGAAGCTTCCTCATCAGGCCTTGGCGCAAGGTCTGGCCGTCGGGTTTGTCCGGCAGCCCAAATGCGGACTTCTTCCCCGGTTTGCATCCGTCACAACGAGGCCACGACTCTAGACCTCCCGTCTTCAAGGGTGGTGGAAGACCACATCCAAGAGGCCTACAGCTTGCACTGCCTTGCTGAAGTCTGACGTGGTCTCGCATCTGCTTTGGCAATTTGTCGGAGGCTGTTGGAGTGTCTCCCAGCGTTCAGACAGCTGCGCTGAAGGCACGGTCGGCGACGTGCAGCGGCGGATCCCGTGAACAGCTGTATTACTTCTGGCGTGTCCGCTTCTTCAGGCCGGATCATCCTCTTCAAGTGCTTCGGTACAGATAGATCCAGACAAGGGCTGGATCAACGTGGAAGGCTACTGGATCAAGGCTCGGGCCCTGCGGGGCTGCATGGACTTGAAAGTTTGCCTTTGCTTGTGTTTGTTGGCTCAGGCCGGGCCTCAGAAGCTTGAGGTGGAAGCAGCGCACAGGGACTTCGTGATTACGAACTCAGTACGCCGCAATCTTCACAACATTGCGCGGATGCTGAGTGGCGGCAGATTCCCGATACTTCTGGAAGGCCCAACATCCGCGGGCAAGACCTCGCTGGTGAAGTTCCTGGCACATTTAACAGGTCACGAGTTTGTGCGTATCAACAACCACGAGCACACCGACCTTCAGGAGTACATTGGCCAGTACGTGTGCGACCCAGAGACTGGCCAGCTGGTGTTCCAGGAGGGTGTTTTGGTCAGAGCCGCGAGGGCGGGCCATTGGGTGGTCCTCGACGAACTGAACTTGGCACCAAGCGAGGTTTTGGAAGCTCTCAACCGCCTCCTGGACGATAACCGCGAGCTGTACATCCCTGACACCGGCAACACCGTCAAGCCCCACGAGGAGTTCATGGTCTTCGCAACACAAAATCCGGCTGGGGCGAATTACGGTGGCCGGAAGCTCTTGTCTCGTGCTTTCCGCAACCGCTTCACAGAAGTCTTCGTAAGTGAGCTTCCGATGGAAGAGCTAGCGGTCGTCCTGCACAAACGCTGCCAGGTGCCCCCATCATATGTGAAGGTGATGCTGGCAGTCTACCAGGATCTCCAGTCGCATCGTAATCAGTCGGCAGTTTTCTTGGGAAAGCAAAGCTTCATGACCGTGCGCGATTTGCTACGATGGGGCCATAGAAAGCCCAGCTCGTACCTTGAGTTAGCCACAGAGGGTTTCACACTACTGGCAGAAAGGCTGCGGAAGGAGGACGAGCGAGAGGTCGTTCGCAAGTCATTGGTAAAGCACTGCACGGGTGTCAAGGACTTGCAGCTCGACTACAGCCAGGATGAGGTCGTCTGTGCAGCTCGGGAACGAGTGGCCCAGAAGCTCAAAGCTGGCTGCAAAGCACCTGGAGGAGTCGGCCAGGTTGTATGGACGCCGGCATTCTGCCGAATGGTTGCTCTCATTGGCCGATGCATACGATCCGGAGAGCCCGCCCTCCTGGTTGGGGAGACGGGAGGTGGCAAGACGATGGCATGTCAGCTGCTATCTTGGGCCTTGGTTGAAGAGGATCTTCCGGAGCGTCAGCTGCGGACTTTGAACTGTCACCAGCAGACAGAGACGTCGGACTTCATCGGTTCCCTTCGACCAGTCCGTGGTCGAGACACCACTTTCAAGTCGATTTGCGCAGCTGCGGCTAAGCTGCAGGAGCTGCTGCAGGAGCTGGCGAATGCCCAGCCTGACGCCGAGTCTCCAGCGTTTACCAAGCTGCTCTCAGAGGCGCAGCTTGCGGCGACAGGAAAAGGCAACCCGAAGAACTTGGGTCAAGCGCTCCGTGCTGCCATTGCAAGCAATGTGCTGGGTGCTGGCGACCAAGCGGAGCCAAAGAGACGGCGGCTGGATGCAAGGATAGTTAAAGGCAACGAGGTACCGTTGCTGTCTTTGGCGCTGCATCTCGTGTCTCTCTGTGGGGACTACGACCGTATCTTCGAGTGGGCAGATGGAGCTTTGGTGGAAGCCATGCGATCTGGGGGTGCGTTTCTCGTCGACGAGATCTCATTGGCAGAAGACTCAGTTTTGGAACGTTTGAACTCCGTCCTGGAGCCGGAGCACTCGCTTCTGCTCGCAGAGAAGCCTTTGACTGGTGCCGACTTGGAGGTTGTTAAGGCGCTGCCCACTTTCAGGCTCTTTGCCACAATGAACCCGGGTGGTGACTTTGGAAAGAGGGAGTTGTCACCAGCTCTCCGCAACAGATTCACTGAAATCTGGGTTGAGGCCATTGACTTTTCCACGAAGGAGGCGGAAGACTTAGTTTCGACCCAGCTGTCCTGGCCACGACTTGCTCGACCCATGCTGGACTGCGTCAGCTGGTTCAACCAGCGAGTTCTGCATCCTCTAAGCATTCGTGAGGTCCTGGCCTGGGCTGCCTTTGTTCGCAGCACAGCTCCCGAGAAAGCTGAAACATCCCCGGAAGACAGCGTTCAGCGAGCTGTCGAGATGTATCTGCATGGTGGCTGCATGACTCTTGTCGACAGCTTGGGATTGGGAAACCAGCTTGTCGACACCGAATGCATAGCCCTGTACCAGAAACAGACGAAAGATTCTCAAGATGAGAATTGCGGTGGATTGTCTGTGGCACAGCGGGCTATACTATGGAACCTCCTATGCCAACTTGACCGGCCCGAATTCTTCCAGGATGCTTGGCTTGATGCGCCAGCATTCGAAGTACTCCTTTAAATCTGCCGTTCATGTCGCAAAGCCAACGAGTACCCAGGACCTCACGAGCCAGGGCCGCGAAAAGGTTCAAGCTGTGTTCAGCCAGGGCGGCTTTGCGTGGGTGCAAGGCCCAGCTCATGGCTCGCGTAGCTTTTCAGCACTTTTCGGACAAGCTGTGTGAGTAAATCATGGAGTTCGATGCAGAAAACTCACAAGCTTTCAAGGGAAGTTCGTTCCACGTACTCCAGTTTGCCAGCTTTTGCTCGAGTCTTTATGCCGATGAGGTGCGCAACCGCAACTCTCCACCAAAGGCCCGCAGGGTGCATTGCAGTCGACTCCTCACTGTGTTGCTTTGCTGTGTCGGCCGACGTGCCTCATCGCCTCAAAACTGCGAAGCAGTCCAACTTCCCTTTCATCGGCTTCAGGCATTTCTTGGAGCACATGCATGACCTGGCCAGGGGAACGTCCTGAACTTCGGCGGTTTCGACATTTCTGCATCTTGCAAGCAACCGGACAAGCTTGGCCAAAGCAGCAGAATAAGATTGGGCCTAGGTTGCCTCTCAAGCGGCAGGAGATACAGCTACCCAAGGTGCAGACAGGGGTCACTTGAAGTCGGCTGTGGTGCAGAGTGAAATGCTTAACGACAAGACGCAGGGTTTATAGAGAATGGACCATCGAGCCTGATGGCAGTGGACCGGAATCAAAGCCCCGACCGAAACTGAGTATTTGGATCTTGTATCTACGTTGTTTCCGTTTCCAATCAAAAAGAGCGCTGCTCAGCTCCACTTGTCAAGGACCCTCAACCAATCATCCGTTTCAGATTCTCGAATTGGCTCTCGGGTTTTGGAAGTCATGATCAGACCTTCGCATCAAATCCGAAGAGTCCTGGGCACCGCATGAATGGAAGGCACCACTTGGGTTTAGCTAGGCGTGATATCATATCTTTGCGTGTCTCCCGCTCTTACGAGCGTGAGTGTTTCTTGTTATCTTGCAAGATTTCCCAGACTCTGATCGGCCTGTAAGCTTTGACAAAACACCGGCATCAAAACTTTGAAAACAGAGTGAAGACTGGGAGGCACACGTGGAGTGCTGTATGGTAGTTCTGAGCACTTAGCCCCTTGACTCGAAGGCTCATGACAATTCATAGCGAGTAGGTTATCGATAATGAGCGCTGCACTTTTTGGAGATGCCTCCGACTTTGACTTCAATGCGCCTTCCTCGGCGTGCAACGTGGGTGTGGTGCTCGGTTCTGATCCGAACCCAGCATTGCAGTCCGTCGAAGAGAGCTGTTCAGAGCAATCATCCCTCCGCGGCCGCGCGTGGCTCATGACTTCCGTGCCATGTTCAGCCTTTGGGCTCGAAAAGTTGTCAAGAAATTTCCATGAGCGATATCTTGCTTGCAAGTCGCACGATCCCCAAAGTCAAAACACCTGGCAACCTTGAGAAGAGTGCCGTGTCCAAGCTCCAAGCACCTTTGAAGCATGCGCTCTCGGCTCCTGGTGCGCTTCTTGGCCGCTCTGCTGCTGACCTGGCCTGGGCTCACCTTCTTCGGGCGCCGCGGCCAGAGTTCCTCTGATGCCGTGGATGCGCTGGTGAAGGATCTGCAGACCCTCGGCAGTGCCGGGCAGGACAGTGCCAAGTGTCCTTGTCACTTGCGGCCGTGCGGCATCGCTTCCAATTCTGACTAATGAAGTCGCGGATGGGTTTTGCTTGTTTTACGTTCCGAACCCTGAGAGCCTCACGTGTCAAGGGCCCTTGGTTTCAGGACCCAAACTGGCCCAGCAATGAGGCTAGAGGACCAGTGGAGAAAGGCTCCGTCGGAGACGGCAAGCATTCACACAATCCATACAACGAGCCAAGAAAAGAATGCTCGGGAGCCGGAAACGGTGAAGCTAGCCACATGGCTTTCGAATCCGGGGCAGCACACCCAATTTAGGAAGCACTCGTCCCACATCAAGATACGCGTCTTGTATCTGTTGGCAAGCAGTCTGCTTGTTCGTGAGGATGCAGCCAATATGGCTTCAGCTTTGCTCGGGGGCCTTCAAGATTCCAAGCTGTTGGCAGACAGCAGCTACGACGCGCGTCGGCGAGTTGCAAAGTTCAAAATCGCAGGAGGCGGCGCAACAGGTGAGTTCTTGCCAGATCTCCGGATCTGGCTCCAGGTTCAGCTGGACAAGAATTTGAGAATCAGCTGGGAGAAGGCTCGATCAGGAGCTGTTGTCCTCCACTTCTCTGGCCTCTCTTTTGCTCCCCTTCCGGGAGCACAGGAGCTATATTTGAAGGCCGGCTTGGACTCTTTTACGTGCCCTTCCATCAAGTCCGTGAACCAGGAGGAGTATTACCAGTGCCACCTCAAAAAGGCTCTTCGAGCAGCAAATGCTTCTGCGTGCAAGCAACACTTTTCATGCTGCCCTGGAGGCACTCGTGATGGAAGAATTCTGGAAAGCCAACCGGGCTGCTTGCCTGTATGAGAACCTGAATAGCATACGACAATCGCTGAATCGCTGCACTGCTGTAGCCTCTCTTTGTCCTGCGTGCCAACAGTGTTACTCGTAGCCCGTAGCGCCGTCATGAGCTACTGTAAGTCCGCTTCAGTTTGCCACTTCCAATGTTGCGGCGGCTGCGTTGCAGTGTGTTGCACACTGTGCCGAGACTCTCATCCCGAAGAACCTGCAGCACCAGTTCGCTTTCATCGGAGACAACACGGTGATTTCCCACCTCTCGGAACAGCTTGGGCATGGGCAGCTTGGAGTGAAGTGAAGTGGTGGCACTTCAAAGATTTCGAGTGTGTCGGATCAGGTTTGGCTGGTCCATGCTCCTGGTCTTGTCGGCACCCCCGTCGACCGTCGAAACCCTCGAATTCTCGGAGAATGGCGTGCGAGGCCTTGTATCAAGCCACGTCGCAAGCGGTGCAGTGGGTTTGATTCGCCAATGAGCAGGAACCTCTATTCATGACAAGAACCAGGAGCCTTGAATGAATGCCGTCACCGCTGCGCATGCTTTCATCCGGACTCAGCCTGTGCTGACTTGTTGTTTGCTTGTGTGAGGCTGGCGCCAAGCTCTCAGCCAAGCATGGTTTCAAAGACTTGAGCCGCTTGCTCAAAGAAAGGTATCGCACCGTGGCGAGCTAAAAGCAGGCTTCCTTTCCCTTTGCTTGCGAGGCCTCAACATCGCTAGGCCTCTCGTCGGAGATTCGCGCTTTGGTGGGCTCGTTCGCTCCGTGGGTGAGCGGCAGCTGGGCACAAAACTTGGCTTCGGATTCTTCGGCCTGGGCTGTGTGTGCGAGACAGCTGGGTTCTCTGCAAGGATAATGCCAGTGGCTTGCAACTTCGGTCTCTGGGCTGCAAGACGTACTGGTTGGCCTGAATCTTCGAGATGCCTCGAGCCGAATTCCCAAGGCATCCTCTGTTCCGTCGGAGAGCCCCGATGGCGCTCGAAAGGAATTCGAGGCTTTGAGTTGCGAATGGGCGGCTGACCCGTTCCGCCTGAACCCTCCTTGTCAGGAGCCGACCCGAAAGTGGTCGCGAGCATGTTCCGCCGTCGCGGCACCAAGGGCCCGAACGGCGAGGAGAGGCATAAGCAAAAAGCTGCTGGGTCCCTTCTATCAGCATTTTGCCGACTCTTCTGCTCGAAGGAGGGCTGCCTGACGTGGAAGTCGAAGAAGCGTCGGCGATGAGGTGCACGTGACCTGCATTCTCAGCCCGAGGCAGGACATGCTCTACTGAACTGTCTCAGGATGGAGGGCGGCGCCATCCGCGCCCCGACTTTCTTGTTCCTAGTTCTCAGTCTCATGCTTCGCATGATACAGTCCGCCAGACATTTTGAGCTGGCGATACTTGATCATTGCTGCTCCCCTAGGGGCATCTGTTATTATAGACTTATAGACAGCGCCAGTGGCCTTCAGCTTCTTGCACCCCTGCGGCAGATGAGGAGCGCAGGCCCTCAGGGCCTCCCTTGTCCCGACATGGCGAACAGACAAGAGCTGGAGAAACACCGTGCCGGTAGATGCAAGACGTTGCCGGGATGTGCTCTACGATCCGCTTGGCAACGGTGTCAAGCATCCTAAGTTGGTGCTGAGGGCGGCTCGTCCGCGCGCTGCAACAGCCCAAGGCAATCCTACTGGAAGGCTCCGCCAGCTTCACTGCTTTCTCTGCCCAGTTGTTCATTGAACGTCTCACCAAAGACCCATAGACCGGAGGCCCGCCGGGGCTTGGAAAAACGGCCACTGTCCAAGCTCTTGCAAAAGCCACCAAGCGGCGTCTGTGCGGGCCTTAAGCCTCGGGGAAGGTATTAGCAAACCGTTCCCTTCATCGCTTTTTTGGTGTCCGGGCAATGCAATGCGAAGGTTGCGGATCAATTTGTCTGAGCAGACGGACCTGTCCGCGAACTTAGCTGCATCCCTTTTCGCGGGGCGGCACAGCGAGACAGCAGCTTCCCAGTTTGGATCTGTTGGGTTCCGACTTGCCGATGCCTGGCAGTGATGCCAGGATCTTAGACGGGGCCCCAAGCGAGAGGCAAACGACGGAAGCGGCTGTGCAGGTGGCAGCTTTCCGCTGGAGTGATGGAGCCCTCCTTCGAGCACTGAAACGTGGAGCTGCGCCCCAAGGGTCCCATCCTTCAATGCCCCCGAAATCCTGACAACAAACTCGATGTTGTAAATCCCCGCCGGAACTTCGCAATAATTCCTACTTTTCAGATGCCGTCGCCTCTCTAGAGCCAATGCCCCAACGTAGATTCTGCCATCAGGCCTGGCCATCTTACGACCTGATGCACGGCTGTGCCTCAGGATTGGGTCCTGCTTGATGAGATCAACCTGGCACCACAGGAGAGCCAGAAGGGCCTGTCGACCTTGTGCTATGCAAAGTGTAGTCTCCATGATATTATCTGCAGCATTCACACTTCGTGGAAAGTCCTTGCTACTTGCAGACGCCTCGAAGATTCCTGAAGGCCACGTTGGAGGGCCTCAATGCCTTGCTGGACCATCGGAGAGAGGCTGGCGCAACAGCACGGATGCTGACATGTCAAAGAGGGATGCGTGCTCGAGCGCGGCGGGCTCGCGGCTGTGAGATGCTGTGAGGTGTTCTTGCCGGCAATTGGCCAGACCGTGTCCGCTCATGCAGGCTTCAGGCCGAGACTGGTATAATTAAGAGCCAAAGTGCAGGGCTTGGGCATCTTCACAAAAATGTGTGCAGGCTTTTCGCGGCTCAGAATCCGGTAGCAACAGGAGGCTTGTGAGCAAAAACGCTTCGGCATGCAACACATCTCGGCGGTGGTATCAGGTGGACGGAAAGGTCTGCCACGATCATTCCTGAACCGCTTTACTCGTGTGGTGCTTTCTCAGCTGCTGCAGCCTCAGAGGTGCATGGTGGTCTAGGGTGCTTTCACATGTCGTTTGGCCTGAACTCCTCTTGGCCGCGCTGCAGGTCACCACAGGATCTGCGTCACATATGCAACTGCCCCAGAAACATCGCATCTCCCACGCAGCCTGGCAGCCCATCTGGACACAGGCGAGCATGCCCATGGTGGCGCTCTGGGAAAGGAAGTGGTGGACCGGACGGTATCCCGCACGGATTCCGGGCATCGACAGCAGTGCTGTTTTGACTTGCACAGGTCCGACTCGTCGAGGAGCTTCAATTGGCATCGCAGGGTGCAAGTGAAGAAGGCCTGGGCTGCCGCACGAAAACGCGTTGGCTGATGTGCAGTCATCCCGTGCACAGGCGGGAGGCCCTTCGAAGCACACCTGGACTTCGCTGCTCGGTGGAAACGCAACATGTCTCGCTCAACGGATTCTGCTTTCAACATACTGAATCTTTTTGGGACGTGGCGGAACCTGAACTCCTGGTCCTGCTTAAGCAGCCAAGCACCACGCAAGGATTGGAATCTGCGCGATGCCTTGCGGCTTTGCGAGCTTTTGCGTGTCTGCACCCGAGACATCCCGAGACGGAAATGTTGCAAAAGTCAGTCCCGTATTCTGTAACCATGGATTTCACCGTTCTAAATTCTGGCTGCGTGTCTCTCTTCACGAGTGGTTTTCCCATTGGGGATAACCAATAAGCAGGGGCGGTCACGGTAGCAGGCATGACAGCAGAGACAGGCTCAGAGAAGCAATCGAAGTCGTCGCTGGAAGATGCTGGAAGGCATAACGTCAAAGTGATCGTGATGGTGGCAGTGCTCGTGAGAGTAAGGATGCAGTTGTGTTGCCACGATTGCCTATCCATGTCTGTATTTCATGAGCTCCTCGACCTTGTAAGCTTCCAGCATCCGAGGCGAAGGCACCTTTGGCCCATCACTGCCAGGCCTCTGCGGAGCTTCTCTTTGCAAGGCCCTCAGACCTCGGATTTCTGCTGCAGCGATGCAGGGCGCTTCGCGGGAAGCTGAGATTTTCGATCGTCTCGGATTCTGGTTTGTGACATATCATAAGATGGCAAGAGAACTGTCAGGGAATTGGCTAGACAGGTCCAGCCAGCATGCGAATCTGTTGGCCCACGTCTTGATCAGGTGTCCCGTCTTCGCTGTGACACGGATCGTGATGTGGCACGGCGTGTGATCTCCAGGAAGCACTGCATTCCAGTGCATTTCAGCTTCGCTGCTTCCACCTGCAAGCGAGGACCGCAAGTGTACTGTCAGCTCCTCTGCTACAGGATCTTCCCACGACCGGCCGCCGAAAGCGAGAAGGTCGGAGAATCCATGTGATTGAGTGTATCACGGACGTGTTGAGCTTTGTGCGGACTGCGTGACTTCCTGAGCTCTGCATGCAGCATTTCCCTGCGGCGGCCTTGCTGCGCATCGGATGCGGCTTCGGCCTGGAGGAGGTGCGCCTTTCAATGCTTAAGCTGTTGGTGTTTGCCAGTGCATGTGTCATTGTGTCAGCGGCTCAGCGGCTCTGCGGCTGGCCCTTTCTCAGGTATCACCGGACGAGCCGGCTGATGTGGGCCTCAGCCTGAGAATCTTTCCTGCTCGAAGCACTGAAAGTCTCTTGGGTTTGTCGTTGTGGCACCAAGGCAGCAGGACTCCGGTTCTGTGTCCGCTTCCCAGGGATGTTCTACGTGTCTCTTCGGGCCTTGATAGGCCTGGCAGTCTGGCTTCAAGATTTTTCATGGTTCATGAACTTGATCAAGGTCTTGGCAGTCACAGCCTGCAATCCCAACCAGGCGGTTTACAGGCAACGGCCCCAGGGCTTTGGACCGGATCAGGCTGCTTCATGTCGCGGGCGGGGTGTCCAACAGCAATTGCTGAGCTCGGCGTCTGCAGCGGGAGCTGGGCTCAAAGGTCTCATGACCCCTTGCCTTCACAGATAAAGGCTGATAAAAGGGGTCGGGGAAAAGGATATGCCTTGGCATGCCGATCTCTGTACACGTCACACTGCTCAGCGGCCGGAGCGCATCAATCCTCTGCCAGCCGAGCAGCAGTGTGAATGAGTTGAGACTACGAGCCCAAGAGCAGCTGCAAACGGACATCAGCGCCCTGTTCTCAAGGACAGGGCAGCAGCTGATCGGAAGGCAATCGCTGAAGGAGGCCCTTCCGCTTTGCCTCGAGGACGGGGAGGAGGATGATGTGGCAGTGACGGCGGCCTTGCGGCAGACGGTTGTGACGTCCTCCTGGGAGTCTTTGTTGAGCGCTGGAGATGCATGGCCCTTGGCATCTTCCTGGGCTACGGACGCCTTCGCAGCAATCCGACCCGATGGCTTGGTTGTCACTTGGGGCTATGGCTTCTCTGGCGGTGACAGCAGTCTGGTGCAAGAGCAGCTGGATGATGTGCAGAAGATCTGCGCCTGCAAGGGCTCCTTCGCCGCCATCCGCAGCGATGGCACAGTGGTCACTTGGGGCCACGAGGCCTCTGGTGGCGACAGCAGCCTGGTGCAAGAGCAGTTGAAAGGCGTTCAGGAGATCCGAGCTTCACGCAGTGCGTTTGCAGCCATCCGGGCAGACGGCACTGTGGTCGCCTGGGGCTACGGAGACCAGTGTGGCGATAGTACGGAAGTCCAAGAGCAGCTCAAGGGTGTCTGGGAAGTCCGCTCCTCGGCAGGCGCTTTTGCTGCCATCCTCGAGAATGGCCGAGTGGTAACGTGGGGGGATTCCTGTTATGGTGGCGACAGCTCCAAAGTTCAAGGGCTGCTGAAAAATGTCACAGACATACGGGCGACTCTTGCCTCATTTGCTGCATTGCGATCAGACCGAAGCGTGGTGACATGGGGCGATGTCCGCTACGGCGGTGCAAGCGCTGCAGTCCGCCAGCAGCTGCACAACGTTTCCCACATTCGGGCTTCTGCTGGGGCTTTTGCTGCCATTCGGACAGACGGTACTGTTGTCTGTTGGGGCGATGCCCAGGATGGGGGTGACCACAGTGCTGTTCGAAAGCAGCTGCATGGAGTGCAGGAGATCCGGGCTTCCTCCGGTGCTTTCGCTGCCGTTCGAGAAGACGGAAGCGTCATCGCCTGGGGCGACGCACGCGGAGGCGGCGACTGCAGCTCCGTCCAGCACCAGCTCAGGGGAGTTCGTGACGTCCAAGCCTCTTCGGATGCCTTCGCCGCCATATTGTCCGATAGCACCGTGGTGACGTGGGGGGATCCCCGAAGGGGTGGTGACAGCAGTGCGGTGCGAGAGCAGCTGAGGGACGTCCTGGAAGTTCGGGCATCCGCTGACGCCTTCGCAGCACTCCGAGCCGACGGCACGGTGGTCACCTGGGGAGACGTCCGCTTTGGTGGCGACAGCAGGAGCGTGCAGGAGCATCTCATAGGCATTAAAGATGTAAGAGCCTCTGGTGGTGCTTTTGCAGCGATCCAAATGGATGGCACCATTATCACCTGGGGCGATACATCGTGTGGTGGCGATAGCCTAGCTGTCAAAGAACAGCTAAAGTATGCCCAGCTGGTCTGAGCAGATGAGTGTGTTTGAAGTGTTTCCAGATTTTCGCTAGAGCTCTAGATGTGGACAGCTTGCACAAGAGTCGACTCACTCAGCAGCGCCCAGATGCAGAAAGGGTCTTCCGGTACGCAGTAAGGATTAAGAGTCTGAAGAAGTGTCTTCGATATCCCAAACTTGGAGGTCGGCTCGGCACTCCTTCGGCAAAGACTCCGAGCCGAGGACCTTCGAGGCCCCTCTTACACCGCGGTACGACCACTACGGTACGATGACTTGGAGCAGGCTTCAGCGCCTCCGAGCACCTTCGCCACGTTTCGCATCTCACAGCTTTGGCAGGACAGCACTTCAGGGCCGCAGGAAACAGCCTTGTGAGCTAAACTGACCTGGGCATTTCTCGGAGGTCAGCGAGATGTTGTCCATGCCATGGCGCATGCAGTTTCGGACGAGCTGAAATTGCCCATGCCTCGTTGGCTTTGCGGCTTTGCTTGCGTGCCGTCCACCAGATTAGCAGCTCGTGTGTGCGCTTCCTTGACCAGACGAGTCAGCTGTGGTGCAGCATGTTTCAGTCTAGCAGCCATCAGATCCCTGCTCGAAAGCCTCAAGGGGGAACCCTTTTGGCCATGGGAGACGAGTCCGACGAAGCCATGAGAAGTACGAAGCGCCACCGCCAGAATCCCAAGGAGAGCCTGTGGAGCAAAGACAACCAAGCCTCATGGCAGTTCTTTTCTCAGGACATCTGGGGAAACATCGGTGCGCTGCTCGAGGGTACCTGAGCTGCAATCCAGTCCGAAACCACCTAGGACAGCTCCTCGATGAGACCTTGTCAGGGCACAAAACCTTCTTGTTCGGAAGCAGACGGCTCAAAGTTGCCTGACAGAGACGCCGTTGGACCATGGCACCAAGGCACATCGGTCGTCAAACTCTTCTGCAGAGAGCTGAAGCCGAGACTTGGACGAGATGAGATACGTGCATCTCCGGCAATCTTTGCTGGTCACTGTCACCTCTTTGGCCAAGTCCGAGGAACTATTCGATGCCTTGGACGACCAAGAGGCAGTATGTGGAAAGTTTCGGTCAGCCTCCCTTACTAAGCCCACATACTCCGGGCCCTGGAAGGAGGGCCGGTGCCGTGATCTTCCCTGAACTTCTTGCCACAAACCCGCTGTTGCTACGGAAGGTTTCCATGGTTCACCTGACCCGACTCCTTAAACTTCTCTTACATTACACCATTAACATGTGTAGCAGCATGTAACAGCACAGCATCGATCTGCGAGGCAGCAGTCTTCAACTTCCACTGCCTTCGTTTTGTGCCTTCAAGAGCGGCTGCTGCTGACCAATCGGCATTGCGTGGCCCATGCCAGCTGCATTGCCACTTGCATCGCTTAGGGTCGTGCTGCGTCGCCGCACAGTGTGTTGTGGCATTATTGCAAGCAGCTGAGGAGGTGCGGAAGCGTGGGGACGACCAGAAGTACGAGGCGGAGGTCCTTGCCCGAGCGACGGACTGTGACCTGGCCTTGCTGACGGTGCGCGAGGAGGCTTTCTGGGAAGGCGCCACTGCGCAGACTCTGTGCAACGAAGTTCCAGCTCTTTTCTCTGAAGTGGTCTGCGTCGGGTATCCCACCGGCGGGGACAACTTGTCTGTGACGAAAGGTGTTGTAAGCCGGGTGGACTACGAGGACAACCCAGACCCTTGGCGGAATCGATTGGTCATCCAAATCGATGCAGCAGTGAACCCTGGAAACTCGGGAGGGCCAGCGCTGGTCGCAGGAGGCTCCTGTGTGGGTGTTGCCTATGAATCCCTGAAGGATGGCTCCACGGAGAATATTGGCTTCATAATACCGGTCAGTGTGGTGCAAAAGTTCTTGACAGCCTGGCGAAGGCTTAAGTCCGCTGCGCCCGGTGCGAGTACAGAGTCCGAGGATGTCCCGCCAGTACGAGTCACGGCTTTTGGGCATGGACGTTTTTCTGCCCAGAAGCTTGAGAACGCCGGTATGAGACGTGCCCTTGGCCTGGCCACTGGGCAAAGTGGCGTTATTGTCAAGTCGGTAGATCCGACGACGGTGAATGCCAAAGTTCTCCAGAAGGGCGACGTGCTTCTCTCGCTGATCGGAGTCCCAATCGGCAACGACGGCTGTGTTCCATTCGTTTGCGGGTCTTCTCGCCACGATCGTGTCCCCTTCCCCTATGTTGCCATCGAAAAGTTTGTCGGCGAACAGCTTGAGGCCGAGATCATGCGTGCAGGTAGCAAGCTGTCCATCACGCTGCAGCTCTGCCCGCAAGAGCCTCTGGTCTCCGTTGAAAAAGAAGCTCCCTGGCTACTCGATTATTGCATAATCGGTGGCCTCGTCTTCGTGGTGCTGTCTCAGCAGTACTTGCGCGCCACCTTCGGCGACAAGTGGCGCAAAGAGCGTTGCAATGGGCTTTCAGAGATCATGGATTCCAGGGAACGAGAGTTCCAGGACGAACAGGTGGTGGTCCTTTCGTATGTTCTCGCACACACAGTCAACCTGGGCTTCCAGGATGTTCGGAATGCACGCCTCAAGGCTTTTGTGGTGGATGGGGTGCCTGTGCGGATCCGCAACATCGCACATTTATCGAATCTTGTAGAAGCTTCCAAAGAGGAGTTCCTTAGATTTGAGCTGTACGGTCGGGGTGCCGGCTTCCTTCCCGATATTATTGTCTTGGAACGATCCGCGGTTCAAGCTTGCGAGGACGAAGTCCTCCGTCGCAACAAGATTCCAGCGGCACGGAAGATTTCCAACTCGAGCTGATCCATAAAACAAGTGCCAGAGCCGAAGAAGTGAGCATTTCGCATCGTCTCTGGTCCGAGGCCCCTCCTGCTGGTTGGCGGACCGGGCGCCGGGAAGCACAGCTTGGTGCGATGGCTGGCTGCCGGGAGCCCTCTGTAGAACTTGCCGCTGAGCGTTTCTTTTTGCGGGCAGAGACTCCTGCAAGGCCATGGCCTACATGCCGCTGCAGGAGGCGAAGCCGATGTCTCGGTCCTAATTGCAGGAGAAGGCAGTTGGCCCAGGTCCCACTGACGCCCGCAATGGACGCCAGCGAACTTCTGGGCTGCTTTGAGCAGGTGGGTTCGTCGTGGCGCCTTCTGGCGAGACACGTCTGCCACGGAGCGAGTGGACTTGCGGCAGGTGGATGCGCGCAGCCTCCTCCGCCAGCTTGCAAGATTTGTCACCGCAACCACCTTCGCTCTTCGAAGATCTCAGGCCTTTCTATTTCAAGCTGTGGGCGCGACTGCAACTGAGAAATTGCAACATCCCTTGACTTGCTGATCCGATCAGCAGGAGAAGCTGCCCGCAGCGTCTTGCGAGAATCTCGAGCAATGCTTCAGGCAGCATCACATTGCTTCAGTACATTTTTGAACGTCTGTGCTTCGTGCTGCCGGGTTCTGCTGCGAGGCAAAGTTCGCTACTCGAAGCATGCCTGGACGAGAAGGCTGACACATGCTGCGACAGAGCGGCCTCACGACACGCTTTTTCAAGCCGGTGAGGCTCCCCTTGTCGAGACGATCGGAAAGGCGGAGCATGAGCTTGGATGTGTTGAGATGCCTCCACGTCAAGCACCTCCCTTTCAGGCTGAGGCGCTGGTGGAGGAGCTGAGGCCTCAGCTAAGGCCGATAGGCATCGATAGAGTGTGTGGAGCTGAAGCCGAGCGTGGCGTGGACTCAGGTTGCAGGCGGCTAGTGGCCGGAAGAGCTCTCAGGCCGGACTTCAGGGGTTTTTCGAGAGGTTTGAAACACCAGGGCAGCTTCTGGACCAGGCTGCACAGCTGCTAGCTTCAGCCAGGTCCGGCTCTGAGTTCACTCAGGAAGTCTTTTGAAGCCTTGGCATGCAAGGGCGCGGATGAATTCGGCAGGGCGATTTGAGTGGGTGTGCGCCCCAGAACCGCTTCAGGAGTGTTTGGCCAGACGTAGCGGGTACAGAACATTTTGAACGGATGTTCTGCGGCTCCGCACACGAAGAGCCCCTTCTGCCTCGCAGGTGGATGGGCCGCTGGTCACTGCCATGCTGCAGGGGAGTTGGGTTTTGCTGTCCCACGCGGAGCAGGCCAAGTCAGCCGGTCTCCACGAGTCACTAGACCAGCGAGTTGAAAGTTGATGGCTCTGCACGAGGCAGCGCCTGCGGTCCTTGACCGCTTAAACTCGCTTCTGGAACCAAACGGCTTCCTGCTGCCCACGTCTTGGCACAGATTCCTTCGAGAGGGTCTTACAGTCAAGTGCTGATTCAGTGGGGGGCCGGGCACCTCAGATCAGCGACCCGATCGCAATCGTGCCCGTGGTACGACCGTGTATGCTAGCCCCCTGAAAGATCCTACCATGAAATATCGAAGGTGTTTCGCTAACGCAAATGTCGAAGGGATTTGCTATGATTCGAGGTCTCCGAATAGCCGTGGCCATCTCGGCTAGTAGGCCTCCTAACGGGAGGCTATTTTGAAGAGCCCACCGTCCCACCTGGAGATTGGCTAGAGACCTTCTCCGAGCTGCCTGGGATCCGGTCCGGCGGAGTTTCTGGGGAGGTGGCGGGATGATCATTGGGGCTAGTGTACCTTCTCGAATTGCAGCTGCTGCCGAATTATGCCCCTGAATCCAGAGGCTGCGACAAGAGGCTAGAGCAGTACAGCTTGGACATCTGCAAAACAAACGCGGCACGGGGAGAGAAGTGGATGGAAACCTGCAAAGAAGCAGGAACACGAAGGAATCATACCCGAATGGCCAGAGGATCTTTGCGATTCATCTTGTACGGTTCAGTGATCTACCTGCTCACAATCTTGAGGCTGTCCGACCCATGTTGCCCAGTTCACCTGAGAAAAAAACGTCACGACAAGTCAAGAACAAGGCAGACAAGGCAGCCAAGGCTGCTAAGACGAAGCCTTCGCCGAAGGCAAATGCCAAGCTAGTGCTGCGGAAACCTTCCGTCCAACTTCTCTCTTGAGTAAGTGGAATGCTCTGGCATGATTCGTGGTCGGCCCAACTCCCTTGAAAAGGTTTTCTAGGAGAGATACAGACGTGAATAAGTTTCTAGGAGAGACATAGAAGTGAACAGGTTTTCTGATGTTTTCTGACAGCAACCCGCATGCTTACAGTCCATTCTTCAGTGTCATGCTGACTGCCGACTGTGGATTCCAAAATGATTCCTTTCGGCCGCGTCGTCGTGTGTGGTCACGTAGCCGGCTGGGCCGTGTGCCCTCAAGGCTGACAGAATCGGGAGAGGAGAGGTTGGTGTGGCACGGGTCTCGGGTTCGTGGTGTGCCTTGTGCCCAGTAGCTGTCATGACATGGGAGATCTCTGACCGTAGGCCGCACCCCGACTTTCGCATCTTCTTCACTCTGACGACGGGAGGTTTTGTTGCGACGGCCGCTGACTCAGACTGTCCGTAGCACCAGTGGAGGTCTGAGTTCTGAGGTTTCTCGAGCCCTGCGCAATCGATGTTTGGAAGTCTTCGTGTCGGCAGGCTTGGCGTGTCGTGGCAAGGAGTCTGCAGAGCCCGACAAGCGGGCAGATTGCTCGTGGCAGGTGATGTCCCAGCGTTAGATGCGAAGGCCTGCATATCAGTGACCCGAAATTAGCATGTGTCCGACGTGGTTCGACGTTCAGGCCGTCGGCTGCGCGCACAGCAGGAATGCCGTGAGCATCCCCAGCAGCTTTAGTGTCACTCTTGTGCTCTGTTGCCACCTTCCAGGCTTCCGAATAGCGCAAGCCAGGATTGTTCAAAAGTGCGCACGGTCTGTGTTGGCTCTGATAAAACCTTGTAGGGATCTCAAAAGTAGATCCGAGTTGCAGTTGCCCAGTTTGTCCAAGCTCCCCATGCTGCGTCTACTTTCTGCCAGTGTGGTGAGCTGCCTGCTGTGTGCAGTCGCGGGGGACGAAACCCAATCTGGAAACTTGCGGGGAAACCACAGGGAGGAGAGCGAAAGCGGCGAGGTGGACAACCGCGACTACGAACAGTGTGGTGTCCTCGGCGGTCCGCTTAGGCTTGGCTAGCTGAGAAAAGAGTCAGATTGAGGATACACGTTCTTATGTTTTGCTGAAGTTTACGCAGGCATGGCCGCCGAGCGCGCATCGTGCACGGCAAAGACGCAGATCAGTGTGCCTGGCGGTGGCAAGTGAGCATCAGAAGTGCTCGGTCAGACGGCGGGGCGACTGCCTTTTGTGGAGGGACCCTGATTTCACCTGGCTGGGTGCTAACAGCAGCGCATTGTGTTGGGCAGATGAACGTCTGCACAATGCGAAAGCTCAGAATAGTCGCAGGGGACTGGAAGCAGTACTCCGATGATGAAGCAGTCAAGGGTCAATCAATCGAGCGTCGCATCAAGAGAGTTTTCTCCCATCCGCACTATGACGACGTTGCTGATCAAGATTTTGACATGGCTGTGGTGGTGACTTGTCAGCACGGTCAATGACATACAGTGTCATGTCGGTGTACATAGTGTCGTCTGAGTGCCAATGATGGTTGTCATTGCTGAGGAGCTTGACAAACCCTTTCCAATCAACGAGTGCATCGGTGTTGCATGCCTGCCTGCGATGGACGACCACACAGACCTGGCTGGAATGGAATGCAGCATCACTGGCTGGGGTACCCTAATGTCGTCAGGCGCTGGTCGTTAAAGGAATAGCGCGCAACACTGAACATGTTCGTTGCCAGCAGGACCCATGCCTGAAGTGCTGCAGCAGGCACCTGCGCGGTTCTTAAAGGGCTCTGAGCCGTCGCTGCCGGCTTCGTCAAGACACCTTTCTGTGGCCGTGGGTGTACTTGCTCCTTGCCCAGCTTAGGTCACGTTGCTGAGCAATGCAGAGTGCCAGGCGGATTATGCAAGCCACAACGAGACCATCACTGCTTCGATGATGTGTGCTGCTGGAAACTCTGAGAAGGGTATCACGGACACCTGCCAGGGTGACAGCGGGGGCCCTTTGGTTTGCGAGGCGTCCGGCCGCTATATTCTGCAGGGTGTTACGTCTTGGGGTGATGGCTGCGCTCTGGAACGCTATCCAGGAGTGTACGCGCGGGTCTCCTCAGCCCTAGGATGGATCCACGACGTGATGGGTGGCAAAGTGGAAGCATCTGACACAAGCGATGAAACATCGCCCACACTTGCTTTCCCTGGGCATGCTATGTGGACGGTCCTAAGCGGCTCTTGTCATGTGGACGAGTCAGACTGCCTTGTCAGCCCTGGATACCCTGGAAACTACAGCAATAAGGAGGCAGCTTGGCTACATTCAGCCTCATGCCTGCGCCTCCAGACTAGGCCCTTTTTGGCTCAGGAATGCACCGTCGCGGTGAACGCCTCAGCAGCAGTTCCCATCCACGTGGATGAATTTTCCACGGAGGCCGGCTATGATAGCCTGCTCGTGAACTGCAAGGCCTACTCGGGTTCTGCGGGTCCTGAAGCAGTGGTTCCTGACACCACCATTTACTGGTATTCAGACGGTTCGGTTGTCAGCAACGGCTGGAAGATCTGCCCCAGTGCTGAGACTGCTGAGACTGAGATACATCCATAGGAAGTCTGTGGAAGCCCTGGTCTTTCGCGCCCCGTCAACAAAGTTCTGTGTGATATCACAGAGGGCTTTGAGCACGAATTCAGCCATAGAAGAACTGTTCGAGGACGCTAGAGTAGCTGTTAGCTGCGCCTGCGTCAACATCCGGGGGCCCTGGTCTCCGCACGCGGGTCCAATTAATTTCAAGTTCTCAGACTTTTGACATTGAGCACAGTTGTATTTGTTACAGTATGTCAACGCTCACAGATCTGACAGGTCACTAGTAAAGCCTCTTGCGTGTATTTGGCTCAATCATCGCACTTTTAGTTGCTCAGCCTTCGGATTTGCCCGCACAGACCGAACGAGATCGCTGCTGGCGATACTTTCTCAATAAGCTATGCTGCATGAGGCGATGGCCTCCCTGTACAGACACTGCCGCTGCGCCGGGCTTCGTCCCTATGGGACAAGCAGCCAAGCACAATCATGCTTGTCAAACGCGTGTTTTGGGGTCTCTTATGCGCACTTCTCACATTCTTCAGCAGCAGACTGGATTTGCTCCACGATCCAATGTGGTTTGTGTTGCCACTTCTTTTGGACCCCAAGAAGTTCAGAAGAATCCCCGCGCAAATTGACGGTTCCGGGAACAAGGTAGAGCGCTAACCACTGGCGCGTGGACGATGCTGCGGAAAAACACTGGTAACCTCGCAGGACATGGTGTTGCCATGCATTTCGGAGAACTGACGAGTTGCAGCGGCTGCATATCCACAACAAAGGGTTCCAACCACTGGCCTGTTTGCCATGTAGGTCCATTCGTGCTTCAGCTTCTTAGCAGAAGCGCTGTCGACATTGGCTAGCAAGCTGGTGACCCAGCTATGCCTTGACTTCATGTTTTAATGCTTTGCATGTCGTTGCTCCAGTTCAGGTAGTGTCTGGCAAGATAGGACGGAACCGTGCGAGGCTTTTGGGCTCACCACTGCCGGAGCTAGCTTGGGTGACGCACCCGAGCAAGCTTGATGCGTGCCGAGTGACTCGTCGTGTTGTCGCCATGGGCTGACGTAGTTGTTGACAGGTGAGGGAGACACTCTCGAAGGAGGCGCGGCTTTGAATGGCTACGGGATGGTTAAAGGAATAGTGCTCTGCTCTGCTTTGAGCAGCGGGAGGTCGGCTTCTTCCAGCCGTCGCCGGCGGCGCTGGTCGATGCCACGCGTCTGGTCTTGGCGGAGGTGCGACACGGCGACGCGGCGACGCGGCCCGGTGCTTCACCGGGCCTGCGCTTGCCTCGCAGCATCGCAGCGGCCTCGGCCTCGCAGGCAACGCTGTCGCCGCCAGTGGCGCTGCACTTGGCGACCTTGCACTGCCTGGCGCATGCGCCGCAGTCTAAGCGCAAAAGGTCGCGTCTCTGGGCGTCGCGTGGTCTTGGCGACCTGGCGAGGCTCTGGCTCGGACTGCGCCGTGCAGCCCTGGAGCGAGGCATCTTTTGGGGCGGGGGCGGGGGCGGAGGGGCCAAAAGGGAGTCGCTTCGGCACCACTTCAATTACACGTAGTCCTGCTCTGCCAGGAGCTTCGGAAGGGAAGGAGGCACCGCGATCTACCGGGACCATCAAGAAGCTTCGTGTTCCCGTGGTGTTATTTTAGATGTGGAGCTGTATCATCACATGTTCTCTTAGTTCCGGCTCATCGTTGCTTCGGCAGCTGCCTGCTGACTGCCACTTCACATTCTATTGCATCCGCCTAGGGTTCATTCTCCATGACATTGTGCTGCCGAGTTCTCCTGTGACGCCGGACAGCTTGCAGGCCCCGGCCAGTCAGCAAGCTCGAGAAGCCTGGGCAGGATCTTCAGCACCGCACGCCACTGTCAGTCGATATTTCTGCCAGAACCAGACATCCGCGCCACTGCCGCAGCCATCAAGCCGGCAAAAGTCTCACCAGTTTGTTTTCATGCAGTCCAAACATTGGCAAGTGAGACAGCGCACGAAGCTTGCATGACGGATCACGATCAGCAGTCCTCCTGACTGCTTTGCATCAGAGCGGTCTCGGGGCGCCTTAGCCAATGGCTTCCGCATGCCTCCAGCCGAGCTGCAGCAGGTTCAAGCAGGGTCCGACCTCCTTTTGCAAGTTGTTTGCAGAAACTCGTCTCAGACTAGTTCCTTGATGTGCGCAGGTTCAACTGGAGCAGGCACGACCTGAAGAGCTCTCGGGAGGGAGAAAACTGAGATGTCTTGGGGCCTGCGGATCGACGGCAGTGATGGCAGGTCGATCTTCGATCTCCGGTGGACTTGCTGCTAAGCCTGATCATCAGGCGCAGCCAGGAAGAGTAGAGACCAGGTGCCTCCCTCCGCCGTCTGCAGGCCGCCGCGATGCCGGTATACCCCATCGAAACTCGGGCCATCGACCTTCCGAATCGCGGATAAGGCTAGGATGGTCGGGGGATTGGGCTCGAATTGCGCTCTTTGGTGTTTTGTTCTGCCTGTTTGCTCACCATGATTGCCAGACTCAATGCTCTAGCGCTTCAGCTCCAGGGACATGGTCGACGAGAGGATCTGGTGCTTCAGAACCCGCGTGGTCATTCGCTGCAGATGCCTGTCTGCATTCGGTCCATGTTAGGATTCGGGCGGCCATTTAAACTCCATGCAGGTGCTCGCTGTTCGAGCCAATCCCTGACCCGGGCCAGCCGGAGGATCCGGAGCAACTTGCTGCTTGCGTGCATGTGTAGGTCTGAAGTCAGCAGGAGAACTGGTCATCAAGGGACCGGCCCTGTGCAGCTTGTCATGATGGCGCGAGCACGTTGCGATGCTTAGGTGCATGTGGCTGAGTGGTAAGCCGAGGTCATATTTCTGCACGGAAACTCATCATGCCGATTGGAAGCTCTGCCGCTGCTACCGCCCTGTCCTCACACAGCTGGGCCCGTTGAATCTCTCCTTGCCAGCCGCTGAGGCTGTTGCTGCCACTGCGAATCAGCCTTTTCTGCTTCGACTTCGCGGGCTGTGGAATCTCAGAAGGTGACTACGTGTCGCTCGGGTGGTGCTTTGGCAGGAAGCTCCTGTTTGGATCAGCCCGATCTAGCCAATACATTCAATCACAGATGCAGCGATCCTGCCTTTTACAAGGTTTAACCGTCCCGAGGTTTGAGCGAGACGACTTGGCCACGTGCATCGCCCACCTGCGGTCAACTGGCAAAGCTTCGCAGGTGGCGCTTTGGGGGCGATCGATGGGGGCAGTCACAGTGCCCTTGAAGCATGCAGATCCTGAAAGGCAAGAAGAGTCTGTGTAACACTGACTGGTCCTCTTCATAATGTTCCTCCCTCCCACCCTCCCTCCCACCCTCCCTCCCTCCCTCCCTCCCTCCCTCCCTCCCTCCCTCAATCCCTGCCTCAATCCCTCCCTCAATCCCCTCCCTCACTCCCTCCCTCCTTCCCTCCCTCCTTCGGCTCGATCTGAAGTGCGTTGCAATTTGAGTGCCAGCCTAGGCTTTACTGCACGCTGATCGCGATCCATCAATTGCAGCCATGGTGCTGGACAGTCCGCTTGGATCTTAAAAAGCACGGCCACTGTGGATGTCTGTGGTTTCAGCGTGGTGTGGAGAGGTTTGCATCTCTCCGGGACCTCGCGACGGAGCTGGCTGGCAGGAAGGCCAGACATGCCGACAGCTCGATGCTTCTCTGGTTGAAGCCAAAGCCCAAAGGCACCCGGAGCGGGTGATCTCCCCACAGGCTCACAAAGACCTGCCAAGAAGCCGACTGCCACTTCAGTGGCTTAGCAGAGCCCCCCAGAGGCGTGCAGGTCCTCTTAAAAACCTTTGGAGCTTGGACTGCTCTTGTAAAGGCTTCCAGCACACCACATACCCATCCACGATCGTCGGTGCAGTGATCGTGACGATGCTAGACAAATCAACCCAAGTGCGCAAGACCAGCGGAGCGATGACTCAGGGGTTGTTTTCGAATGTGCCTACTGCTTGAACTCTGATTCTGAATGCAGATGATGTTTGGACAAGCAAGCAGCTTCAGATTGTGAGGATACGCCTGTGTGACGATAGACTTGCTTGCAGTTTTCTTGGATGCCGTCTACACTCTAGCAGTTTGGAGAGTTGAGTGCTTAAAGTCCTTGCTTGCGTGGCGGCAGGCGATGCTACCGTCATGGGCCGCACGCGCTTCTCCTCAGCTAGAGCGCAGAGAGCGACACAATAAGCGGAGTCTGCACAGTGTGGGAGAATGAGAAGCTCATGGCAGAGCGCAGTGGATTTCACTGCAGGTGCCATCATTCCAGGAGCCCGAGCAGCCATCCGAGCCAGGGCGGGATTCGACATCGAGGACCACTGCGGCTGCCAACTTGCGACAACTTGCGATGCAGAAACTCGGGCATCTAGCCGCAAGAGGAATGGTGGAAAAGTCTAGTGCCTCCGCTTTTGACTCCATGGTCAAGTAAACGCGGTAGCAGTTTGAGAGGACTTGGAAGGCAAGAGCCATGCGAGACAGTGTTTCATGCCAGCTTTGTGTCTTGGCTGCAACGAAACCGTGTCCCTCGTCTGCTGTCATCAGTGAATTTTCAGCATCGCCAGGTTCATCGCAGCGCGCAGTGATGACTTCATCACACCCCAGCATGCTGCCTCCTGGCCAGCTTTAGTGCACCACGGTTTGGTCATAGCACAGTCACAAATTGCACATTTGCGAGGGCTCCTTTGATTCCCAGTGCCTTGAAGGAGCAGCTCTGGCACGCGTACCAGGGGGAGAAAGAGTTGTATATGACGGAGGGCGACCACCACTCTGCAAGATCCGTAGTGTGCAGGTGGCCAGTGCCAAACAGTCTAAGAAATGAGGAAGGCGGAGCAAGGGCTGTGGAATCGGCAAACGTGAGCTGTCCGCCAGGCAGAAGGCCACACTTTTCTTGTGCCGAGCCCTGCACGTCCCGCGGCTGGTCCATGCCTCAGGTGTAAGAACCCCGTAATGGCTGTGACCCTGCAAGAAAATACGAGGCCTCTTGTCTTAATCCCGTTGCAACGAGACGAGTGACGAGTGACGCGTCGCTTGCGCAAGGACGCCTTGCTGGAGCTCCACGTCGCCGGGCTGCGGGACCTCTTCGGACCCGGGCTCCCCAAGCCCATGCAAGGCCGGGGCCCCTTCAGCCAAGCGCGAGCCAAGCGCGAGCCCAAGCGCGAGCCCAAGCGCGAGCCCAAGCGCGAGCATGCGCAGAGCACAGGCAAGGATTTGGAACGAGAAGGCTCCGAGATCTGCTGGCAGGCGGAGCTTTGAAAATCCGTGCTGCATTTGGACTCTTGATCGCTCTGCCTTCGCCGTTCAGATGCGGTTGGTGCCAGCTCTTGGGCAGATGTCGCTGAGCAACGGAATACGATGCCAGCGGCCTGTGAGAGCTGAAGCTGTGGTGGAGCTCAGCGACAGCAAAGCGGAGGCAAAGCAGAGTGCAGCAAGCGTACTGAGCGGTTCGGGTGCCCTTGTTGATGTGGACATGTAGTCTTGCACAACGTCTATGGTCACCTGCCCATGACTGGTGAAAACTCGTGATAGACCGTCGAGATGTTTGGCTGGTGGGTATTGTGATGACAGGTTGGGTTCTTCATCCGCTTGGTGCCGGCAGAGGGCGTTCTCGACGAAAGCTGCGCCAAGCTTGATGAGCTCGGCCAGCCTCGCTTTCTCGTTGTGAGCTTCACAGCTGAGATGTCTATGGTGGCTCGGATGCTCTGGAAGTTTTTGTTTGTCCCTAAGACCTGAGGCTCGGCCAAAGCCCGTCTCAGGTTTCCAGAGTGCATAGTGACACTCTTCGGACCCTGGTGGTGGGGCCAGGCCTCCGTGACGAGCAGGTGGTCGGCATCGGCCTCACCTTCGATGTTGCAGGTAACCTAAGTCTCTATGCGGCACCTGGGCCATGAATTAGCACCGGGCAACAGTTCCGTCGCACTACTTTAGTTGCCCTCGGCTGTCTGCCAACCCAGGATTCGCGGCAGCTGCTCACTCTCGACATTGGCTGGGGCTTCCGGGCAGAGCTGACGATATGGTCCATGCGGCTGAGGGGAAAGAGTGGCTTCGGAAGCCTGCAGATAGAGGATGCAGAAGCGACGCTTTGTGAACACCTCGGCGATGCAGTCCTACGCTCCCGACATCTGGGTCACGCAGAAGGCGTTCTGCTGCTGAGCCAGAGGTCACTCTGCAGACCCTTGGGAGATTTGGGCCTCTGTGGCTGCGCCAGTCAAGCCGGCAAGGGTCCGTACTGTCCGTCTTCCCCTCATTCCCCACCAGATCTGGATGCAAGGGAGTGCCCTGCCTGCCTAATTCATCCAGCATCGCGGAAGTTCGGGCATGCTCAGCGCCCTAAGGCGCGCTGATGCAACTCGTCTCTGCGGCAAGTCTCCTGAGGCTGGGTCGGCAACCCGTTTCGTGGCTTCACCTCGTTTTCTTTGCTTTGTGCACAGCCTCAGAAGAGGTGCTGATCGGCTGGCGAGTCAAGGTTCAGGGCCTCGGAGAGGGTATCGTCACCGCAATCCGAAAGAGGCACTTCCGTCCGACTCTCTTCCAGATTTCAGGCGCGGCCTTGCAAGACTGCTGCAGCTGCAGACAAGGTAGCTAGATTAGCTCAATTTTGCATAGCTGGGTTGGGACAACGGACAAGTGAGCGACGCACTTCATCAGAGCATCCTTGAAACAGGGTGGTGCACCTGCTGCAGGTCTGCTGTCAGACCAGCTTGATGGCTCTTCGCCCCATGCGAAGCTGCGCGAAGTTCCACTGCGAAGGCAGGCGTGAGGCACCCAGTTGCTGCTTTTGAGCTGAACGGACCTGGTGTTGGTCTCAATTGTATCTGCAGCGTCTGCACGCGAGGGTGCGTAGCGGCTCCATTCGTAGCGCGCTCGTTCAAATGCTCGCAAGATTGACAAAACGTGCACCCGAGGCCCTTGCTTCCCTGCTGCGCGGGGTACCACTTTGAGCTCATGCGAAAGGAGATCTTTTTTGAGAAAGCCGTTTGCGTTTGAGACGCAGCGGCTTCACTGGACACAGGTGTGTACAGCTGGGGGTCGTGCCTGACTTCCATAATGTACAGTTCGGCGGCATCACCACCCTACTACTACCTGTGCAAGACGCGCAAAAGCCAACATGCGCGGCTTCCAAAGAGAGTAGCCTGCGCAAACGATGCACTTAGACGTTTGCTATCTGCGTCCTGTTAATGATGACACATGTCTCAACATGAGACATGCCCAACGGCATGGGGAGTCCCTGGAGAGCTCTGGGAACATTGGAAATCCCCCTCGTGTGCTCACGGAAATGGCTGCTTCACAGAAGTTCACCAGCGCCCTTTGTCAGTTCACGATTGTGCGCCCATGTGAGAATGCTGCAGGCCAGGCGCCTTGGCTGTCCGGGTTTTGGGCTTCGGGTCGGCACCCCGGCATGGCAGCGCTTCAGGTATAGCTGAGTGCCTGAGTAGCTGTGCATGTTCTCAAAGGTTGTCGTCACTTTCTCCATGTCTTAGGCTTTGCGGAAGCTCCTGGCGCTCTTCTCCGCGGCTGTTGCGCGGAGTCCCCCAGGCCACTTGCAGACACCAAGGCAGCCAAAGATGTCACTTCTGCCGAGATGCGTCGCCTGGCGCACTGCTGCAAGCGAGCTTCCAACAGGCCAGACAGCCTTGGCACCCTCCACAGTTTCTCGGGTCCATATTTCTCACTGACCAACAAGCCGGTCTGGCAGGTTTACAGTGCAGAGGCCTATGCCACCAAGCTGGAGGCACAGGGTTCTGCCGGACGCGGTGCGGGAGCACAGCGTTGTGTATACTGTTTTGACATGCTTGGACAAATCTGCCACAAAAGACCCACACAGGTTTGCGCTCTGTAGTGCTATTCGGACTTGTAGCGCTTCTTCCCAGAGTCTGAGAGACTCGTCCCGCTTTCTCAGGATACTCGCTGAGCCTCTGCATGTTCCCCCAGCTTCCCCAGCCAACTCAGACAGACCCGGAATCTTTTCTTAGTTTCTGTGCAGGATTGCATTCCTAGTCTGACAGTCTTCTTCAGCTTCCGTCAATGTTGCCCCAATCTCCTTAGGTTTCTTTCACTTCCGCATGTCCCCTGTCAAAGCTTCTCAAAGAGTCGTGAATAAGCTCAGCGGATGCACCGGAGAAAAAAGCCACGCCCATGCCAGATCTAAGCCCTGCTGTTTGTTTTGGTCATGTAGCTGCAGTGACTGCTCTGCCAGTCGACACTTCTTCGTCTCCTGGCATGGAGCTGCAGGGAGCTGCCAGAGTCCCAGTAGCTTTTCAACGCGAGCTGAGAGAAAGGTTCGGTGCAATCGCATGTGCCAGGTCGAAGTCAACAGCCTTCCGATGGTGCCTCGGACAAAGATCCGTGGCCTCATGATGTTTTTCCTCGAAATCCTAGCAAGCCCATGCAGACACCAAAGAAGGCCCCTTCCACAGAAATCCGTGTGCCATTGCTCAGGTTAGCAGCGGCTTTGCACTCCTCGCTGCTGCCTGTCGGATCCAGGACCGACGAGGCAATTCAAACATGGTGCGTGGGAGCAGCTGTAGAACCCTGAGAGCCCGCTACGAGGCGGAAAGACGGTGGAGACCTCAGCTGGCGTAGTTCAACATGCAACCGAAGGTCTGTGGAAGCACCAGCCGGGTGTTAGACAGCACATTTCTTATTCTGTGGTCGCATCCTGCCAAGTCTGGGGCCCTTTATGGCAAGCCTGGCAGAAGACTCGGAGAGCGTGTCTCAGGCAGCATTGTTTCCGTGCCGCCTAAGCCCGCAGCAAGAGCAACAGCTGTGCAGCTGCACAGGAGAGCTCGCGCTTTGCTGCGCTCTACCTGGATCGGGTCGGCGTGACATGCATTGACGAAGTCTGCGTGGTTACAGTACAGTACCTTTTAGTACTTGCAGGAAGCTTGCGTGCTTGAGCTGCAGCATCTAACCTTGCCTCCTCCCTGCTAGCCCTGCTAAGCATGACTTGCCAACTCTCATCAGCTTCTGCAGGCAGCCAACCCTTCCGTGCAGCATCTGGAGCCGCTGGCGAAGCTGTGGCGAGGCACCACAGCTGGTACTGTATCGACTTGCCGCAGTGCCGGTAAAATCACTGAAACTAGCAGTGTTGGTCTGCTGCCTACGAGAAAAAGAGGAGCTTTCGGACAGTGCCATGGCGGCCAAGCGAGCCTCTGTGGATCTCTGGTGTGCCCGCTTGGCTGTTCAAAGAGTCCTGCTATACTGCGGGACCATGGCCGGTTGCCACCTGTTTCACCATCATGCTGGAAAGTTTAGAAGTGCATCGGAAAGCCCTACAGCATCTGGACAGGCAGCACAAGCGGCAAAGCCGGCGACTTACCAACATGCGAGCTGACCATGCGCGGAGCAGAGCGCATTCGTGGATGTAGGGTCCCGGGAAGGGTCGACCTAGGCAGATGCACTGAAGATGCTCGCTCAGCACCGCCTTCTAGCCGCTGCCTGGTTGCATCGGCAGCATTTTCAGCCTCTGCGTAGGATCGGCAAGAACGCAGCAAACATTTCACGCAGTAAGAGCCAAGCACTGATCGTACGAGGAATTGGTGCCGAGGGCAGCAGAAGGGTCGTGATCCCAGGGAGCAGGAACCCAGCTCCTCGTCTCCTCCGCTGCTTGTGCTGTGCTTCGAGGCTTGCACGCGAGATGGCAGTGTATCTCGGGCTGCAACGACTTTAGTGACGCACGGCCACTTGTCTGTGGGGAACAAAGGAAGTCTGTTTCGATGCAGACATGCTCAATTCGCGATGCTTCGCACTCAGACCGGAATGGGCTGCGGTGCTTGGACGTCTATGACCTATCGAAGTCTGTAGCGATGAAGTTTCGGGAAGATTTTAATCTTGCGAGGGACAGGTTGAGCTCTCTATTGGTGTCGACCTTGTTGGCCTGTGCAAAGTCAACGCGGGCCATGCGGGCCCCGCGTGTGCGTGAGCGGAGGCCTGGAGCTTGGCCAGCTGTGGCCGGGCTTCGACGAGCGAGACCGCCCGAGTTCATGTCTCAGAGCTGGCATGTGCGCCATATTTCGTGGGCTCAGTCGACCGGTGACAAGCTCAAGCACAGTGAGCTAGCATTCAACTGCTCTAGTATTCGTGTCTGTATTGCTTGATTTGGGCTTTGCGGTGAGGTATGTAGCCAAGCAAAACAGCTGAATGCGCCATCCCAAATATCTAGGGCGAATCTAAGGGGCATGATTTGCATGATGGTTGAAGTAGGTTGCGGCCGAACACCTCATCGAGTTGCTTCGATGCGCAAAGGCCAGGGCCCAACGTTCTGGCTTCTCTCACGCCTTGGGCTGTGGGAGTTGAACCGTGGCATACCACACGTTAAGCTTCTGAAGGTCCTGGCGCTCCATATGCTGAGAGCCTCTCCTTCCGTGGCGCCGCTTCCGGACACCGATGCGCATTGCACGTTTCCACATTTGGCCGTGAGATCTGGGGCCCTGCAGGATGGAAGTGTCGGAGAGAGCGCTTGGGCTCTAAGTGCACGCTTTCAAGAAGGCCCTCAGGGAGTCAAGAGCCAATGTCAGCATGTCACATCGAGAGAGTTTAGAGCTGGAGTCAGTCAGAGGTTTGGTCCCCCTCGCTTCGTTGTGAGACACTCAGAGAAGAGAAGTGCGCTTGGATGTGCAGATGACTGCCGCTCAGCTCGTCGGCCGAGGCCCCACCCAGCCCTGACGGTACTCCAGCCACTGGTGCAGACGGTCTCAGAAGGCCCGCGGCCCACGGACCGACACGAACAACGAAACTGCAGTGGGTACTCCGCGCTTGCCAGGGCTGCTGGAGAGCTTGGGCGAGGCCCCTGCCCAAGCAACCCAGGACACCTCGGAGTCCTCCGAGGCGAGGCTGCGGTGCCGCCGTTTGCGGGCATGCCAGAGCTGTTTTCCACTTCAAAGCCCCCCTTGAGATCTTGCTGCATCTGCGAGTGGGAATCGGCCAGAGACTCGGCGCCCGAGGGCGAGTCTTCTTCACGCTGCGCATCGCTGCGCTGTGTTGAGGCCTGGTCGGCCATCTGCAATCACTGCTGGAGGCCTCGCCCCCTCGCAACTCCTTCGGCGTGCCTGCTGACCCCCTGGCCGGCCTGGCCCCCTTTTGCTCTGCAGGGCACAGCGCTGGTCTCGGCCAACTCCAAGTCTCAGGCCACGCACGGACGCTTTGTGTCTCCCTTAACATTCGGATCTCTGAAGGCACAGCGGCTTGCCTGGACACGCATGGAGCCGAAAGCATCTCGGCAAGTGAACTGGCTGAGGGTTAGACTGCGATGTTCTGCCATGCCTTTGAGGCCTTGAGTTTGCTGCAGCAGTTGTACGCAGCGCTGAAGAAGCTGCCAAAGACCTCGGCTCCCTGGCTCGAGCGCGTGGGCCCCGTGGGCCTTGCAGTTCCATCGGTGCCACCAAGCTGCTTTCTTCATGGCTTCGAAAAGGCGTCGCTACGCTGATCGCGCGCCTGCGCTCGTACCTGGCTTCAAGTGGGTCTGCATGGGATCCAGATGTCGTAACCTCATCGGGGGAAGGCGGGCAGACCAGATTCGGAGTGTGCCTGCTCATTGAGGCCAGCCGCTTACGGCTCAAGCTCCTACCGCTGATGGATGGTCCGAGTGTCCGCCCCTCGCGTAGTCTTTGGCTTGTTGGTCTTTGTCGCACAAACTCAAACAAGCTTGGTGGTCGGTAAGCGTTCGTTGAATTCAGGCGTGGGCAGGCTTGGCCCCACCGATGCGATGTGCCGAGGAGTTCTACGTCGAATCGTCGGGGCCTTGTCGCCCGTTTGCTAAGATCGCGGCATCAGCAAACCGACAGTTTGTCTGGTCTCCCTTCCTCGAAAAGACATTCCCAGGCTGATCTTCTCTGCTGCCATGAACCGTCCGACTGCTTCACGCTTGTCGACCAGGTAGTGGCCTGCTGTCAGCAGTCTAGGGGGTCAACATGGTACCAGCGTTGGTCATTGCCAGGAGCCCCATGGAACTGGCCAGATGCCCAGCTTCCGAAAGCACCCGCCCTTTAGGCACTGCACCGGCCTTCGGCCTTCCCTGCTCCCCGTCGTCTGACTCCGCGCTACTTGTAGCAACCGTCCAGCAGAGGCATCTGCCTACAGGCCAAGCCCTTCAATCTTTCGAGCTAACACCTCACGAAAACTTCATGATACTCGTACCATGTCGGACAAGCCGGGACGACCACTGCAACACACGGGATAGACTCATAAAACAAGCGTTGTGCTGTTCCTTCCTCTACCGCTGGCATAACGAGTCGAGAGGATTGTGACGAGGGGATCTCCGTGCTGAATATCTTATTTGTACATCTGCACGACCACCAGCAGCACTTTCAGTGCGAAGCAGCGAAGTTGTCATGTCTTCGCCCCAGGCTGCTCAGCTGGCCTCAGCCCTTCTGCACCGTGAGCTGGACGACCAGGACTGGGCCAAGGAGGCCCAAGACAGCCAGATCACAGCAGCACTCGTGAGACTACGAATTCAGATCTGATGCCTTGGTACTGTGCCTTGGTGAACACCATCATTTGTCAAAGAGTGGAGCACCTCCTGTCCCGAATGTCGCCTGCAGTTCTTGGTGAAGCTATCCCTTGCCGATGATCAGGCGAAGGGAAGGGGGAACACAAGGGAAGCCCTTTGCTCAAGGTATGCGAATGCCTCACCCTGTGAGGTCATCGAGAATACAGACGAAATCGAGACCCAACAGGTCGAAGCAACGGTCCGGTGCACGGTGCGGCCCCGTTTTCCGCCTCGGCAGGATGCAGAGAACACGGAAGTGTCTGTGGTGCCAACGCAGCACCTCTTCCTGGTGCTCGAGGTGTCAAAGACAGCTTTTTGCTCTGCTCCCGTTTTTGCACATTCTGCAGAGGCCATCAAGGCTCTTTGGCCGCTCTCTGGTTGCCTCCTTGGTGAATCTGAGACGGGCGAAGAAGTCCCAGAAGCTGGAGCTGAGGCTTCTGCCATTCCTCCATGGCTTTTCTGCCTGCAGTCGGTGTTGGCCTGAGTTTCTTCCTCTAGCAGATTCTAGCATCTTCTAGGAATCTTGACTCTAGACGTGGAAGGCAAGTATGCTCAGAGCATCGCCAGCCACTTGGAGAAGTTCAAAGGCACCGCACTACTGAAGCGATTTTCACAGACAATGCCCTGCGCTTGGGATGATAGACCTTGGCCTCGGTGTGGCGAGCGGCGGCGGCGGTGCCGGCGCAGCAGCGTCGCGCTGCCGCCTCGTGGCGGCCGCAGCCGAGGCCTGGATAGCCAACCAGCTTCGGACGAGAGTCAGACAGACGGCCACAGGTGAAGATCCTCCAATGGACCGCCGGTGCCCTCACCCAGATCTCAGAATCCTCACTCTCTAGTGGGGCAAGCAAGTCGAGGGTTAGATCGGACATCTTGCCAGGCTGACCAAAACTTACTGCCTCTGTTTCACCTGGAAGATAACAGGTCCTGAAGAACGACTCGGAAAGTTCAGGAAATGGGGCACGTGCATGCGAAAAACCAAGCGATTCCATCCATCCTTCCGTCGGATTGGATTTCCAAAGTGGTGGTCGATACGATAGATGTAAAAGTTGAAAGGGGTTGCTGTGCTGTTGGGATGAGCTGTGTGGCTGGGGCAGAACCCTCACCATCAGAAGCTGTCGGGAGTTGCTAGTCTCCTTTAGTGCCAAATTTCTCCAGGTTGAACTGATCTGGGAGATCTTGAGGGCCGCCACACAGGAGCCAGAACAGCCTTCACGAGGAAGTCGAAGCCTTCAGGAAGGAGGGTTGGGCGGAAGCGACCTGAAGCCTTGTCGGGCGAAGTTCGGGGCGAAGAAAGATACCAGAAATTACTCTCCGCAGAACTCAGAGGGAACTGGGCACCAGTCTTCGAATGGCCGGGGGGTTCAAGAGGGTCGGATCCGGCTAAGGTGGGCCTTCTCCCGGGTCTGCTGTGGATGGGTGCGGAGCATTGCCAGGCCAGTTTCCGGCTCTGTGTGCTGTGCTCTGCATGTGGAGCAAGCTCTTGGGCAGATCGTCAGGTGCGGCTGACCTGGACTCAAAGAGGCCTGGGTGCTCGGGTTGGTTCTTCCTCCTCCTGCTCCTTGTCGTCTCGTTCACGTTGAACGATCTCGACAAGACCTGAGAGGTGTCATTCGATTCGTGACATGCTCTCCACAATTGAGGTTGCTTCTCGCGGCTGTCATAACTTCCTCTAAATCCATTGTTTCTCGTCCATTTTCTTCTGATCAGCTTCGTAGACCGTCGGCATCCATTCACGTCTCTTGCTCTCCATGTGCTGCACTTTGTTTGTGTAGCGTGGAGCTTTTCGGGATTTGTCATGTTAATCAAACAAGGGTGTCCGGAGCCTGGAGTCGTCCTTATGCTCTCCATGTTGCGGGCTGCTGCGAACCATCTTTTTTGGATTATGCTTCAGTGATTTGGGCCAGTGGGTGTCAACGTACACCCGTGGCCCAGCCAAAAAGTCGAAGCCAAAGAACTTGTTTTGGAGATCGCAGGCTATCAGTCGTTCAGCGCCGATCCCTGCTGGCACTGCCCCGATCCCAGCACATCTGACGGAGCCTTGAACCTGGTTTGTCGTGGGGTGGGGATTCATGCGCCTCTACACTTCAAGGCGGCAGCATCTTCTCAGCAGCTTGGGCTACGTGTTCTCGGATGATACAGCAGTGGCCCCGAGCTTCCCAATCCTGCAAGGCCCTGTATCTCTGCAACGCCGAGGCGTCCTCATCGGCTTTGCACTTCGTCCTCACACCTGCCACCCTGCAGCGGCTCTGAGAGCTCTTTGCAGATCCGAGAGATGAGATCGGGAGAGCGCCCTCTGTGGCACACTCTCAGGACGCGCTTCAGACCGAAATGGCAGCCCGATGCGGCCATCGCTCCTTCGGCCGTCAGCATCCGAGCCTCCGATTTGCTCGCTTTGCCCACAAGCAGAGCGGAGCGGAGCTGAGCCCAGGCTCTGGTAGCCGCAAGTGGATTTGTGTGCGTGCGGGCCTCCGAAACAGGAGAGACTTCTCCGAGTATTCGGATGTTGAGTCTCTTTCGTGTCAGAGCTTCAGCTTGCGATTTGCGAAGCCCAAGCTGGAGGCCTGGGGGCTGAATTTATGTGCCACAGCCGTGACCACCTCGAGCCTGCACCTGAGACTTGCGTCCTAAGGCACAGCATCAGCAGTATAAGATTGAGGCAGACTCCAGCTAGGATTCCCAGTCCGATCTTGAAAGCATGTTCCGAGGTGTGCACAACTTCAAGCTGCACCGCTCGCTGCTTCAGAGTCTAGCAGGCTGCTGGGGAACTCTGGGGAAAGTTTGCAGCAGATGGAAGCGGCTGCAAGCCCGCGCCTTCAGGCTCATGCTTCGAAACTGCTGCATCCGCAGAGAATGATGAGGACCAGCATTGAGCGATTCAGGCATGCGTGGAGACATTTGCCTTCATCTTCATGTCAGGACTGGCCTGCCTGCTGCCACTTCCTAGCAGCGCTCACCCGAGCATGTTGTCAAACCAACGGATGTTTTGAGTCCAAGGTTTCAGTAGTAATGAGCACCCGGAAAAACCCCAGGATATCGAACTTCCACCCTATGTGTTCTCCGTTCTCTTGTCTCGTTTACTTCATTTTAAATAAAACACAAGGAGGAACGAAAGAGACGCACGCGTGGTTTTATTAAATGAAGACAACGAAACAATATTAACGGAATCCAATTATAGTTACAGAATCCAGGTCACGTACACCATTTTATTTCCCATTTTCTTGGCCGTGCTTCCTTTGCTTTTATTTATTATGCACGGGTTTATATTAATAAAGCAAAGAGAAGTCACTAAAATGTAAATTGTAAATGGTAGAACGTTTGTTTAGTTGTAATGAAATGTAACGAAAAGAAGCATGCGTTCATTCACTTCATTCATTACCTTATCTTCTAGTTACAATTCATTAACAACTAGCTGCTGGTGAAAAATGCCAGGATTTCCCAACTCTGCCATGCACTGGTAGCTCGCTGCCTTTGGTTAGGCTTTAGGTTCAAAGGGGGGGGAAACCGACTCAGGTCCAATTCCATGGCTTGCAGCTCCTCCTCGAAGAGAGAGGCTGCGATTCAGAGCCACAACAGCGGGTATTGTCGTTTGGCCGTTTGCTTCTTGGGCTGCCTTGCTGTGTCTCTGCCGGTCCAGGTGTGGTCGAAGGGCCACTGTGCTCTGCGCGGCGCTTGGGTCATGTCCAAGTTGTTGAAGAGCGCTCTGCATCTATGCAGTGAGAACGGGCCATTCCTGCCAATTTACGGCATCAGATCAAAGGACCAGCATAGTGGAGGAGGCGCAACTCTCGAGTCTTTGTTTCTGTCCAAGGCCGAGCAAACATTGCTCGCTGTGGGAACTGCGCTCGGCGATGAGGCCAACGATTTCGTTTCATCCATCTCATGTAAGCACGTGTGTTGGGCAGGTATCGGCACCAAGGCTTGCCGCTTTCGCTGACCGGGTCCGAGAGCTCCATGAAGCCTTGGCCCACGAGCATGGCGAGGCAACCTGCGCCCCCACCCCAAAGCCCGCAGCAAAGCAACTGGTCGGGCGCTTGGGTCATTGCTCTTTGCATTTGGTCCTGGGGCCAGGCATCTGATGCCCAGCAGCTACAAGGATCCCGCACTTTCCAGTGGGCTTGGGGCAAGATTGAACGGCACGGTATCACAGCGGCTGCAGTTCAAGTGCTGCAAGATGCTGTCCTTGCGAGCGAGGACTTGAATGGCCCATGTCGTTTCAAGAGATTCTGAGTGCCTTTGCGCCCGACGCTCTGAAGTTGAATCTCCAGAGCACTTACTGTCCGAAATGGCTCGTGGCTAGGCTGCCTGCCCTGGTGCAGCTAGAGACCGTGTGCAGACAGCGAGAGGCCGGGCTTGAGCCCCCAGAGAAGAACTCCGGTCTGCCGTTGCAGTGCCTTCGGATCGCAGCAGGTCATGTCAGTGGCGGATGCTGCGGCAGCTTGTGGTGCTGTCTGGGTGGCATGCTTGGACCAGTTGCCTGGCGCTGACATGCACTTCGCATCTCGAAGGCTCGGAGCGCTCTCTGGAGGCTTCACTCAGGTGGAGGTGTCTTAGTGTCCGGGGCCCAGGCCGAGCGCTTTATAGTTTCCTTGTTGAGGCTCTGCAAGCTGAGAGACACCAAGGCCAGGAGGCCTCGACGCATCAGAGGCCGCGTCCCAGCTCTGTCAAGACGGCCTCGCCCTCAGCTACCAGCTCCCAAGAAGGCTTTTGACGCGGACGCGAGCATGCTACGACTACTCCGTGAGTTGCGGAAAGGTCGGAGACGCGCCGAGGATCTCGAACGAGAAGTTGGCACAAGAGTGCTGGAGGATGCCGGAAGATCCGTGCTTGTGCGCAGTCAGTGAATCTTCTCGCCATCCAAGCAGGAGCTAGTTGTCGACGGCCACCTCGGGGACTTGGAACCCGCTGCGGCTGATGCCGATGCAGAGGAGATTTCTCTGACTAATTCTCTACTAGCGATTTGAGACTACTGGAGCTCCAGCTGCTCGGCGGTTTTCTTTTGCTTGGTTCTCGGTGCTCTCTCGAGCACGTGCGGTGCTGGCAGGCTGCTGCTTGGCGCCGCGAGGCGTCTGAACTCCAAAGGCCGCGGGGAGGGGGGCGGGGCTCGCAGGAGTTCTCACCGGGCTCCGGAAAAGATTATGCTTTGGGTCCTGATAATATAACGAAAATAATAATAGCAATAACAATCGTAACAGCAATAATCATTCTGAAATTCTGATACCATTTTTCATAATTATAATAACAACCAAAACTTACGAAGATACGACTTCGTTCTCTTTTTTTTGGGTTTTTTTGACGAGGCTTTGTCGACTCCGTCCGCCGCTGGCGGAGGCCCCGCCTTGGCTGCCTGACCTGCACGGGGACCCAGTGACTTTAGGGCTTAGGGGTTCAGGGGTTTAGGGGTTCAGGGGTTAGGGGTTCAGGGCTTTCAGGGGTTCAGGGATTTAGGGGTTTAGGGGTTTAGGGGTTTAGGGGTTAAGGGGTTTAGGGTTTAGGGTTTAGGCAGTGACCCACTTGGAGGTTCATGGGTAGTTATAAGTGGGCTTATAAGTAGGGTAACTATAGTTGTAACCTAGATTAGGGGACTTATAACTCCTCTTATAACCACCCATGAACCTCCAAACAGTGCAGTGGGCTTGGGCTTTGCTATTCGGGCTCCCCATGTTTCCGATGCCTCCTTCCGTCCCTTCAGACCGCATCTAGAGCAAACCACCCGATGTCTGAGGTATTCGTTCAGAAATAAGTTGGTCCAGCTGGGCACATCGGACCTGACTCTTGGAAACCCACTGGATGCCGTAAATCTGCGTTTCGGCAACGGCAACGCTTGCCAGCCATTACATCGATGGTCACAATCATTACATCTCTGAATCCGGTGTCTGCGTGTGGATCGTCCCACTGTTTTATTCCGTGGTTGTTGTGTGTGTGTGTGTGTGTGCGCACAGAAATGGAGTATGCTCGTGGGCCGGTGTTGACGCACACTTGCCCAGGCCGAGCATTAACGCAGTTTCATCAGCGGGGGACTTGGTTGCAGAACCTTCGCACTGCACGGATCGTGTTCTGGTTCTTGATGCTGAAGCATGAAGCCAGATCTTGCAAGGAGGGCTTTGACCGGTCGGAATCAGATTGGCTCAGCAGTAGCAGAAAATCTTGCCCTAGTCCCCTGCGGTTTGGGTGTTGCTTTACCTTCAGAGCTTGTGCATGAGGGTCCATGTGGCTATTCATTCTTCGCAAGTAGCAGCGAACACCTGAACCTTGGGTTTTACATTTCGTCCACCATGGCAGCGGTCGATGCTAGGCTGCAGTGCTTGACGGACTTGGAAGATGTTTGTGATCAATTCGTTGGTGGATGTTGCTCGAAGGATCATGCTTACGACGTCGAGGATGACCTCGATCTGATTTCTCCCAGAATGCGCATGCAGAAACACGAGGCCAGAAGATTCCTGCGACGACCAGCCACAGCTCAAGCTGTGCCTTTGTTGTGATTTGCGGTCGGTGAGCCTTGGCTATGTCACTATGTGTTGTGATGTCGTCAGGACTGGTTGATTTCGACCAGTTTGGAGCCGCTTCGGGACAGCTTCGAGGACAGCAGCCAGGATGCAAGATAGAACGGTCTAGTCACTCTGACCAGCACGCCTTCACATCGTACCGTTCGACGACCAATGTCCTAAGGCAGCTTTCAGCAGCTTCTGCATCAATTCGCGGCCGAACATGCTCAAGACTTTCAGGCGCTGTGGCCAGATGGATCCCACCCGTTGCTACTCGACTGCAAGATCGAAGGTCCCGCTTCCGAAATGGGCGGCGTCGCAATTTGGGTGCAGCGTAGACTGCGACTACGACAAATCAGTCTGGCTGGTAGAAGCAGCCGCAAGGTTGTGGACTCTGCGTGGTGGGCCCGGCTGTCCTGCACGTATGCACGAGAGCTTAAGAAGAAAAACAGCGGTGATTCTTACCGTCGCTCCCAAGGGCACCAAGAGTACAAGGAACTCTTCGAGTCACATCTTGAGCAACTTGGAAAAGTGATGGCTGGAGCTGTTCTGCACTTTGAACTTTTGATTCTGCTGAGGAAGACTCTCGCTGATATCGGCATGACCAGGGCAGCTGAGTTGAAGAGTCTTTTTGGGTTTCTGAAAGACATATTTGCCAATGGCAAATACCGGCTTGACTTCTGCCGATCTGTGTATGAGGACAGCTTCCAATCTGCTATGCGACACCTACAAGATGTACGGGCATCTTTGGGTGAGATGCAGGCAGAATCAGAATGCTGGCCTTTTCCCCTCTTCTTTGTAAGACGCGTCCCAAGCGTAAGTTCGGTTTGCCAGGCAGACCTGGACTCCTTCCTGAAGAGCCTTACGGCTGCTGATGAGTACAATGCCTTCTTGCAGGCTGTTGATAGCATGCAGATCGTGTTTTGCCTCTCGAAAGCTCCGCCTCTCGAAAGCTCCTGACTCTGGCTGGTGAGGTCATGCTGACCGAAGTCTATAAGCAGCAGGACTGGTCTTAAGTTTACGCACATGACTTGCTACACGCATCGTGGCAGTGAGGCTTGACATGTTTTGCCACATGTTGTTTGATTTGCACTTGTTGTCCGAGGAAGCAGGCCTTGTCAGTGCAGCTGTCCCAGACAGCCAGCAGATTGAGGCGAGGTCCGCACTTTGCAGTCTTGGCCGTATTGTCAATCTTCCTATCCAGGTCACTGTTCCTTCTGGCCATGGAGGCATGGCTGTGCAAGCCATTATTCCGAGTGCTTCAGACGGTAATCGTGGCTTTTGCGGTTGACGATGTATCTCCCAGGCTATGCTGCTGCGTCTGTGCCCGTGGAATATCAAGGCCAAATCAGAGCGGATCACTGTAGTAGACACACAGAGGGATGGTTGAGAGGCCTCTTCCGGGCATAGGTGCCGTTCGAAACATCTGGGTCTTAGTGTTGATGGGTGCAAATCTTAGCGCAGGGCACCGTGCTCATGCCAGAAAGACGAGCGCGGTTGGCTGCAGGCTATCAGTACGACGTGCCAATCCCTTGTGGCTACAGTCTTGGGCTAAGTTCCGGGCCGAAAAGGGAAGGCCTGAAGCTTGGCGAAGCTGAGGTGCTGGTATGTCGTTCCACGTGTCCGTCGTGGTGCCGCCTCCGAACTAAGGCATGTTGGTTTCGGACTCAGACGGAAACAGCACCCGGGCCGAGACACTCTGCGAAACCATGTCGCCTTAGAGTGGCTGCCTGCCCGACCCGAAAGAAGATAGCTAGGCCCTCTTAGCAGTTCCTCGGCGAGGTCCTACCGCAGCGTCTGCACAGCAGTGCCGAGCCTCGCCAAATTTGAGACCTTTGAGGCCAAGCTTCTTAACTTAGGCCTGTAGTGACGGTCAGTGCCGTGATTTGGTTCATGTGGTGCCCTGCGCTCTCCATGTGTTGAAGTAAACATTCAGGAAACAGAAGCAGCCCGTTATAAGTCATCCAAGGGTTTGGGCATAGTTTTTTCACACCGATGCAAACAAGATGCCCGCAACGATCATGAAGTTCCAAGCTCTTTCAGTTTGGTAGGACGCCTGTATTTTTGTTTCAGAGTTTTGTTGATGGAATAGACCTTGTCTCATGGTCTCTGGGGTAGCCAGTGAAACCCTCGATGCCAGTATGACCTGGACGGATAGCAGCAAGACAGACACAGTGATGACTCGACGGTACCCTCCCAGCACTGGTTGAGGCTATCTGATTCAGTCTCGGGTGGTGATGCTATTTCCAAACAAGGGAGGCAGAAACGCTAGACCAACCTGCGACATGTGTGCTCGTATCGTGTGTTGTGAACGTGTTCGGCATGTTCCAGTTGAAGCATGTTGAAGCCGGTCCTCCGATCGGCTTCTTGCAGACTTTGATTGGGGATCTCCATTCCTAGCCTACGGTGAGACACTGCCACAGTCTTCGAGCTCCTGTCGCTGCAATGACAGACAGCCATGCACCTAGGTCCTTCATTGGGAGACGTGATGCGTGGGGCTTTGTGACTGTGAACCGCAGTCAGAGCTTTTCTGGTTGCTGTTGGGCCAGGATGCACTGCTGACACTTTTTGAACCCAGGACCCAGGCCACCCAGGCCGCTAGATTGCTCCCGAAAAGAGCTCTTAAAGGCTCCAGATGTGGCAGTGCTCCACTGGGCAGCTCATGCAGTAAGCCGTTGGCTGCCTTTTTATCTCACCGGTACTGTGGCCCAGCCACAGTGCCTGTTTTGCCGTTCCGCGGAACACATCGCGGTGTCTCTCTCCGGCAGGGTTCCCGTCTGCCACAGCAATTCAAGTCCAACAGATGCCCCTACTCTGCGAGAGACGCTGCCCACTTACAGGCTGGAGAAATCCTGGGATGTTCCTTCAATCGAAGGTCGTACTGAGGAAATGTCCATTTTCAGGATTCCTTCAGCAGGCTGAGACCGCAGCACGGTGTTAGTGTTGCTTGAGTTCTGTCTGGACCGCCGGGCTACTATCTTGCGAGACCAACCTTCAAAAACGGATCCTGACATGTGCGAAGGGCGTGGCCCAGTGACCAGTGTACAAATCTTCCGGCAGATCAGTCCGCCTCGGCCTGCTCGCACACCGTGCACATCGTTTCTTTCGTGTCTCGTGTTTTCCTATCGGAGGTACTTCGCCTTGAATCTGCATAAGTAGGTGAAGTTTTTGTGACAAGCCTCGCCGTCACCGAATGGTGGGCAGTGCTAGCGGGCCAGGCGGCATGCGAACCAGTCGAAAGACTAACCGCTTAGTGCTGTACAGCCTGCACCCGTAGATCGCAATGGCTTCGGACCAGAAAGTTGAAATCTATTTGCTCGCAGTTTCATCCGAACCGCCTCGAACATGACGGTGCGGCTGATTGTCTTGGCGACACAGGCCACAGGTCAGCAGCCGCCCAGCTACAAGGCGACAGCATCTGACTCCTAAGAAGTGGCCGGCCATGAGCACATACAAGTTTTCGTGCTTCGTGCTTCGTGGGTTGATCTCGTCTGCGGGTACTAGACGCATGTCTCCAGGTTCCTACAATACTTTCGGAACCTGCTGTGACGCAGCACATGACACATTCCGAGCCGCAGCTTGCAGCTGCAAAGCTCAATCGAACAGTGCACTGCACAGGATGTCTGCCAAGAGGTCGCTGCTTTCGTCACGGCTGTCGAGCCCTTAACATACGGGCATGGGCAAACCCTCGAACGCCCGCAGATTGATCGATTTCAGGTCTGCCAGCCGGATAGGTTGTCCCCGCCCCAGCTGGCCCCACTACTGGGTACTGTATTTGGTGTGGGGCCTATTTTGTGTTGGCCGTGAGGCAGCGGATCCTTCCGAACCCCGCACCGGGCCAAGCCAAAGGGGTCGCACAGCGGGACGTTGTAAGTCTGGGTCTTAGGAAGCCGCGCCAGACCCTTCTGCCCTGTCGGAGCTCCAGAATCTCTCCAGCCGCTCAGAACGCAGCTCCGTCGACGGCACCAAGACTTGACATTTCCCGACCTGGGATTCTGAGGCTCTGCATCGGGCTTTGCTGCGATCTTGGGAGTGCTTCTGTCCTTTGCTACAGCAGTCCGTCAGTGTGGCTGAGGTACACAGGCTGACTTCTAGGTTTCCGCTGCATGCTGATCTTGCTGGGCCCGTGGTTTTGGCAGTCCAGGCGCAACTGAAAACCCGTCTCATGCACGCAGGCATTACGCCACCTGCACTCTGCAAGCAACCGAGGCGCTTGTTCACGGGCTCCAGCTACTGCCATCAGCTCATTTTTTCAGTCTTCATCTTCGTCGGCCTTGGTACAAAGACGGAGCGCGGCTGACTGCTACCAGGCACCGCCATCTTTGGCAGCACCAATCAGCATCTGCTCTTGCGGCTCTTTTCTCGGCTTGTACGGCAAGAGCACCTCACATGCGAAGGTAGATGTGCGCTCTCCCTGAGACTCTGAGAGAATGCACAATCTCATGAGGCTGCGGCTGCAGGCATTGCAGATGCTCCGCAAGCTCCGGCGAGTGAGCCCGGAGGCTGGTCTCAGCCCTTGGACATGCCTCCTTTTGCAGTGGAATGAGACTGGACACGTGCTGCTCGGACTTGCAGTCCTTGCAGGTCTGCAGGAAGCGCTGGGCGTGGAGGCGCTTGAAAGCACTGTTGCATCAGAATGAAGTTGGTCCTTCGGTGCTTCGCGACACGAGCACGATACCGTAAGCAGAGTTCCACTAAGCAGCACATGTCTTGCTGCAAGAGCTCCGAGATGACAAGTCCACGGAGTTCGACTCCGGCGACTCGCGTCGACCACGCAGGTGGAGGAAGCTTTGGACAATCCAGAGGTTCTTTGTTGGTGGCTCCGCGGCCTCCTGAGAGATTCATGTTTCAGAGCCTCCTACCTGAGAGCCATGACATCCTTCAGGCTGGACAACCCTCTCACGGCGAGCTCTACAGTCTCCGCCTCCGCAAACTGCTGCAAGCCGAGTGGACAGCGAAAGCCGGTGGAAGCATTCAGTGACAACTCAACAAAGGCTCTGCAGATGCTGAGAAGGCTCAGCATTCTCCATCAGGAAGACGAGAATCTCCGAGTCGTGCACCCAGAAGGGATCCGAGCTGTGCCGACAACTTTGCTCTCAAAGGCCAAGGAGGACATTGATGCAATTACACCCTTCAAGCTCGCAAAGGCGAGCTTCTCCGACGTGTCGGGAGCTTGCGTTTGATGAAGTGCCTGTAGGCAAAGGCCGAGGAGACTGCGGAGGACGAGGAGGTGCGTAAGCACGAGGTGCTCTTCCCAGGCTAGGGCCCGGGCTTCCCGCGTCTCTCTTTCTTTTGGCTTTTGGCGCGGATTCCGGATGCTTGTTTTGCTGCGGTGTTTGGAGGTGAGGACCAGGTGGAAGCCTTGGCGGCCTTGGGACTGAACGAGGACTCCCGGAGCCAAGGACAATGCAGAGATCCTGGCTTTGCCTTGCAGCAAAGGACGGCACGGCAGAGACGGAAGGCTTCGGCTTTTAGCAATCTGGGTCCAAGATTTTCTGCCGGCTGCCGCTGCTTGAGGCGACGGCGCTGTCACCGGCGGTAGCAGCCTCTATGACCTCTGGTCCAGTAAGGCCTTTCTCGTTCCGTTGTCGCCGTCCTCCCCTCCCCACTGAGAAGAAAACCTCGGAAGTTGGAGGCAGAGGAGACCAAGAAGAAGGCCAAGACCTCTCAAGGCCAAGCCCCAAAGTCCAGCGCCGAGCGGGGTACAGGAGCACAGAGCAAACCCAACTGGCGCAACTCGTTTTGGTGTTGTTGCGGGGCTTTGAGAAGCTGCAGAAGTCAGCAGTGCCAAAGTCTTATCATATCTCAGGTTCCATCTGCAGCCACAGCAGCTTGCCGACATCTGCGATCTCAGCCGCATCCCGACCATCCTACGTGGAAGTGTGCTGGTTAAGTGGTTGATGGCAAGCATCTGACTACCCCGAAAGTTCGCCACACGGGCTGTATCTCAACATATGAGGTACGGGAACTCCCTTTCCCCCGTAGGCTCCTCACACGAAATGCCAAAGGCTCTCCGTCGAGAACTGTATAGTAGTATAGTTTCATTCCGGGAAATTGACTGGGTCGGGGTTCTTTTTGGGTGTGTTTTGTTTTTGTTTGGCATGTTGCGGTTTTCGCCGACATGGCTTCAAGCGCCCAGTCAGTCAGCCAGTCAGTCGATCCGCGAGCCCGCCGGGCAGTCAGCCAGTCAGGCGGTCGGTGCCGTGCTCTGAGTGCCAATCAGTGCCAATCAGTCGGTCAGTCGTCCGTCGATCCGCATGTCCACCGGTCAGTCGGTCCGAAAGCCAAACACACCAAGACAAACCAAACATACCCAGAACAAACCTGGACCCTCGATTGACTACTCCGTATGTTCATGGTGTGCTGAGAATACCATCAGTCTGTCGCGACTTTTGTCCCGGTGATGTGTTGTCCGACTCCTGATGGGCCGTTGGGCTCCAAGCAGCAAGGAGCTCTCGGGCTTTGCCTATCGTTGTCGACGGTCTCCAAAGCATGCACTTCCGTAAGGCCTGGAGTGCTTCGGGGACGAGCCCCTCGGAGCGCAGGAGGCAGTTTGCTGGAGCTTATGCTCTTTGCCTGCTTCTCAACCCGGGTCCGGCAGTCCCTCGGACCAGGCAGACGAGCTGCGCCAGGATTCGCTGGATGCTTCCTTGGAAATCTTTGTTCGCCGGATCCTAACTGCCCGAAGCAGTCTCTTCTGGATTTAGATTCTGGTTGCTCGACTGCTGATCGGGACTTATGAGCTGCAGAAGCTGGGTGGAAGCTCGCGCTGCAGAGGGGCAGCGAAGAATCTAAAGCAAAGTCCTTCCGTCTTTGTGAATTCGTTGATGTCCTCGCTAAGCGTTGTCGGCTCATGTAAGACTCAAGATGGATACCGAATGAAGTAGAAGCACGCGAGCAGTCCGAGGTCTTTGCGTTTGTGGCCTGGCAAACGATCGCACGACGACGACTCTTTTGCCGCTTGCCCAACAACATGCCAAACCTCAACCTGCCGGGCAGCAATTTTTCTCTGTCTTTTATGCAAAAGGCTGGTCCTTGTAGCCTTGCGGTGGTGGTCGATGCTTTGAGCTCCGCCGAGGCCGGCTGCAGTCGCTCGAAGACTGGCCCCCCTGGTCATGTGGGGGGCCGAGGCCCGCAAGAGCGGCCTACAAAGCATGGCAAGCCGTAACCAGCAGTGCATCCGCACCCAGTGGCCGATCTGCGATGAGGTTGCGACTGCTGCGCACGGCCAAGCAGTTGCAGCCAGGGACCGAGCCTGTCAGGCTGCCTTGTCCGCGACAGATACAGGCCGCCCCCCGTCTCGCAAAGGCCTGGGCCGACCATCTTGACAGATGTGGCCAACCTGTCGCATTGGCTGCACGGTTTGGGGCACTTGCGGGTCACCGTGGCAGGAGAGTATCGGACAGAAGCGCACGGCAGCCGAAGCTCGGAGAAGCTCTGGTCTTGGTTGTTCTCGCCATGCATACTGAAATGGGTTGTTGCTCCTAACTCATGGAGGTCTGCACTCTGCAGCAGCTTCCGCATTTTACGCTGAGAGCAGCGTGTCTCCCAGACATGTATGTCGTCATTGCAGCACTGCATTGCTGGAGATTGGCCTCGAGCTGAGGCCCTGCTATTCTGTTGCAGCTGGCTGTGCCCTTGCATGCAAAATCATGCAAACAAGTGCTTCACTGCGCTCATTGATCCCATCAAGAGCTTACTTCAGGCTCCCCTGGCTGCTTTGCTAGCTCGGGTGCGTGATCTTCTGGTGCCAGCCCTAGACTCGAAGGAGCAGAAGTCGTGTGCACCGCTCCGTTCACCGAGGCTCAATTCGAAGACCACCCATCCCTTCTGGCAATCTCAGGCTGTGCAAGGGTTGCGGATGATTGTAGGCTTCAGAGCGCAAAGCACGGACAAAAGCGTCCCCTGATCCGGCCGCTTCACAAGCTACACAGGCCTTGTTGAAAAGATGATGGCCTTAAATCTGCTGCAGCTGGAGCCCCAAGGACCTGTGTTGTTCAAAGCTGCTAGCCGGCAGTGCATCTGCCAAGGACGACGCCGATGGGCATCGTGACGATGCTGGAGCTGCTCTTGGGGCGAGTGACAGCCAGTGGCCTACAACTTTGCAGTTCCTGCGCATGTTCTCCTGCAAGTACACCTTCGAAGTACCTGGTTCGAGGTCTGGGAGGAAGCCGCCAGCCGCCACGTCTCGCTACAAGCGCAGACGCAGCCGCTCAAGGCTTGGGACCTCGCGTTGAAGTCTCCAGGTCGCCGCAAGTCTCGAGCGCTGTGCAGGTTCTGGTCGTCAGCTTGCGCGAGCGGCAGCTGCTCGAGTGGAAAGGCTGCCATCAGAAAGAGCTGCCGCATTCAGATTTTCACCAAAGTTTGGTGCCGCGCCGAGGCTTGCGGCAGATTCGCGAGCGCTTCTGGGAACGCAACGGCTCCAAGTGGTGGCTTCACCTCATCGGTTTGCTCTCGGAGGTGCGCGCCCTGATGCGGGGCGGGAGCAGAACAACTGTGGCAGTTCCTTCCTAAATGTCGAATCTGCAAGTCCACATTGGCAAGACACCAAACGGACGTCACAAAACGCATGGCTGCAATCAGCTTGGGGCTCCTAGGCTTCCAGCTCTCCGGAGCTTCATGCTAGTTTGGATCTCTTCCCAGGCCGCAGACTCCCGAAGCCTCAGCGATGAGCTGCTGCGCTTCATCCGCACAGCTCCACTTGGGGAATTCCGGGCCCGCGTGGGGCCCGGCCGTTTGAGGAACCGAGTCGGGGAATAAGTACTGTGCTATTTCGCACGATCAGCAGGGGTGAACGTAGCGCCAAGTTAACTTCAAGCCAGCGAGGTTTACTTCCGGGATACAGTCGGGATGTTCAGTCTCGCGGAACTACTTGTAGTGTCGGAGAGGACAAGGTCGGACTCCGGAACCTGAGAGGAAGTGGTTCCGCGCGGGTATGCCGGGGTGGCTTCAGGTGGCCGTGCCTTCTGCTTGGGCACCTCGCATTCTTCGTTTCTTTGGCTCCCAGCTTGCACCTGCAGTGATTCCGCCAGTTGCCCAGGTTTGAAAATGCTTCGAGCGGCAGCCCGACTCCAGATGGAGGCACTGAGGAAGCTAATATGTCAAGTCGGCAGTGCTGTTAATGCCCTGCTTTGTCTAGATGTTTTCAAGAGTCCTGATTTCCTCTCAATGGCATTCTATCACAGGCGGAAGGCAGCACCAGCATGACCGGGCTGGTGGCACATCACGCTCGGCGCCCGATGGCCTGATCGTTTCTGCGGCTGCACACCAGACCGCTTACGGTTGGAAGCGAGGTATGGAACTTCAGCCGGAAGTGGCTTCCTGCAGTCGAGAAAGAGCTCTCGAAAGCGCAGCAGGCACTGCGAGACCCACATCCGCTAACAGCTAGCGGTCTGTGCGCTGTTGTCAGGCGATGGAAAAAGAAGTGCAGGACCGTCTGGGCCACCATGGCCAGCTGCCTGATGAAGCATGCTTGATGGGCAGCGCACCTACCAGACAGTTGAAAGACAACGTGTCCCGACAAAGAGGACTTGGTGAAGATTGTGCGCTGGGACCTGTCGAACTACCATGCTTTGAAGGAGCTGTGCCGACAGTCTGGATGCAGACTTGCACCTGAACCCCGCATCTCTGCTCACTGCTGGGTTCATTGCCTGGGCATCTTGGTGCCGCTTCTCCTGACAGTGACGGTGAGCAGCTTCGATGCGCTATCATTTCGTATCATTTCACTTTCATGCTCATTTCTTCATTTCCTACCATCTCATTCTGTTTCATTGCATGCAATTCCATTTTGCTTGCTTGGCTCCAATTCATTCCATATCACTCCATGTCATTCCATGTGATTTCATGTCGTTCCATGTCACTGCATTTCATTCCACATCCAGCCCCCATTGGTTATTTGCTTCATGGATTCATTAATTTGTTCGTTCGTTCGTTCGTGGATTAATCTGCTTGTTCCATACTTTCATTCGTTCGTTCGGTCGTTCTTCCTTTTATTTGTTTCCTTCCTTCTTTTCTGTGCTTGTAGGTTCATCGATTTATCTGATCGGCTGGTTGGCGAGAGCCATGGCGATGGCGGGAAAGGCGATTTCAATGGCGATGACGATTGTGATGTTGGTAATTCGCGGAAAGTTGTTCTTCATTATGCTGTCGTGGTGGGGCAGTGATGGTGGCGGCGGCAGAGGCTGTGGTGGTTGTGTCGGTTGTTGAGGTTGTGGTTGTGGTTGTGGTTGTGGTCGTGGTGGTGGTTGTGGTTGTGGCTTTGGTTGTGGTTGTGCTCGTGGTTCTGGTGGTGGTGGTTGTTGTTGTTGTTGTTGTTGTTGTGGTCGTCGGTGTCGTTCTTCGTCTTCTTCTCACTGTTGATTTCCTGCCTTCTTCTTCTTCTTCCTCCTGTTCTTGTAGGTCTCCTTCTTATGGTTGTTATCATTCCTTTCTTCTTGTTGGTCTCCTTCTTGTTGAGGTTCTCGTTCCTTCTTCTTCTTCTTCCCCTCCTCCTCCTCCTTGCTGCTGTCGTTGCTGTTGTTCTCGCTCTTGCTGCTGCCGCTGCTGCTGCTGCTGCTGCTGCTGCTGCTGGCTGCGGCTGCTGTCCAGGATTCGGCTGCGCGCAGCCACCGGCAGCTGAGCCGGGCCATCAAGCGCTTCGACGACAGCCTTCAAGAGTTTCTTGGACCACGGAAAGTTTGGGCTTTTGTAGTGATGCGAACTTAACGCTCAAAAGAGGGAGCAGAAGATGCGAGACCTCGCAAGGCTTGTGGATCTGGTGCTCTCCTCGGCATCCTCGGGCTCGAAGCCAGCACCGGCTCACCAAGGCACTGGGGCCAGGAAAGTTTCCTTCTTGACCCAAGTCGAATCTCAGTGAGAGTGAGGGGCCGACGCGATGAATCCTGGCTCCCGTGTCAGGCATCAAGTTCACCAAGGAAGTGTTTGCCCTCGATGTGGGGGAAATCTCCGGACCAGCGGTCTGGATCCCTACCATTCCTCGTGTTAGCCGACATTGATTAATCATCGCGAAAGGCTACTGGGCGGGTCAGCGACAGCACTTGGCCAAGAGGGCAACAAATGCCGAAGGCCATGTATTTAGTAGTAGCTTTTTGGCTCAGGTGACGAATTCTGGGGCAACGCTCAAGCAGTCGTGGGAGCTCTGCACGAGGCTTAAGAGGACTCCAGAAATGTCTGAGACTGCAAGGCAGAATTCGGCCGATGCTGGCGCGTGTGCGTAGTCTGTTTGTTTTCTGAGGCCCTCCATGCTTGGGAGTCTGGAACGGATGATCGGTCAACAGCTGCTTCCAGATTCGCACCCTGGTCGGAAAATTGTGATCCCCAGTCGTCGTCTCCGACATGTCTTTGGCGGCTTGTAGGCTTTGCCTCTCTGCGGCTGCGGGCTCCGGGGTGCTAGAGGCGAGCCGTCTAGAAGTTACAGGGCCCCGGGCACTGGGGCACAAGGTGGGGAGTTTCCGATTCGGCGTGCAGGTGGCTGAAGACCTCTGCTCCGAAGCCGAGTGCTGGCCTGAGCGCAGAAGCCGCATGGCTTGGCGCACCTTAGAAATCGTCCGAAGCCTCAGCCCTAGCTTTCTAGACCTTTCCTGCATCGGCTTCGAGGTCTGTGCTGGAGTCCTTGCAAGACCAGGAGACGACCCTCCCGGTGAAGCGAAGAAGACTTCAGGGCCTGAAGGACCAGCTGCTGCTCGATGGAAGTTGCGCTGTGGTACATTGCGCTGCAGATCTCAGTTCCGAAGAGTTTCTCCATATGCCAAGCCCGCGAGTCCCTGGTATCGCACCAAAGCAAGGGTGAGGCAGCTGCGCTTCAGTAAGCACCTTTGTTACATGACATCTACCGCTTATGGTCTTCACCGCAGGCTGTAGAACTTCGGGTTTGGCCGTTCGACCAGGCAACCTAAGAGAAGTTGAGGGAGCTAGTTTTGTTCCTCAGGAGATCTGCAGCAGCTTCGGATTTGCCAGAAGCTCAACGCCTTGCTTCGTTCACATCAACGGATGCATGTATGGCACAGACACTGGCGCGCTGTGTTAGACATCGTGGACCTTCATCTTCCTACTCCGGGCCTGCCATGATTGCACTGTGCAGACAAGGTCCCGCGCCCTGTGCACGACTCTTCCTTCGACGTCGCGGATTTCTTCTGCTCCATACTTCCCATGCCGTTTGTGGCAGACCGCAACTCAGACACCCACCGTGGGGCGATGCATCCTTGTCACTTAGCATGTGAAACGACCACGCAGCAAGCGAGTACGCAGCATGCTAAGATTCTGTTCGTCTGTTCGTTTTGGGAGGAGGTTTTTCATGTTTGCGTGAACGATACGATAATCCGACACAACGAAAGGCATCTTCCTGTCGAGCCTAGGAGCAGTGCGAAAGGAAAGGCGAGCAAGAATCTGCACCAGGCCGGCCTGCACCCGAAAAGATGAACGACCAGCCTTGTGAGATGCGTCCTTGTCAGGCCGGCAAGAGGAGTCGCCTCCGAAGAGGCAGAGGCACGGACAGTTTCGCTTTGTTTCTGTAACGCTTCGAGCCTTGCCCCTCCTGTAGCCAGGCTGCGTCTGCGGTCCAAGCAGCCCCGTGCCTGCAAAGACTTGAAAGTGTGTCTCTTTGCATCCGACCGCCCCCCGAGGAACCTTGGCGACGCTGACCCTGTGCAGGTGCAAAATCAGGTCTCTGAGGCAGCTTCGCACACAGAGCTGGTTCAGTTCAGCTCACGTTTCTGCTAAAATTGAAGCGAGGGGAGATGAGAGAAGTCGTTTCATGGTCTGATTGTTTCCAATCGCCTGTTTGAGGCGTGCCTTCTCTAAGAGGCCAAGCATCTCTGCCAGCAGGCTACAAGCTCTTTCCTTGAGGACTTCAAGACTGAGGTTGAGCAAGCCTGGGCGAGGCTCAGTTGCTGAGTTTGGTAGTTGGGAGAGCTTGAAAGCCCAACGGAGCAGGACTGAGGACTTGATGTACGAAATTCTGCACTTGGCCGGGGAGCTCGGTGACGTTGGGCTGTGCAGCAGGGATGACAAGCTGCACCCTTCAGGCACTGCGTCTGCATTCCATGAAGAGCCGGCCCAAAGATCTCACAGCCGGGGAGATGCAGGCCTTTCGGATCCTTTCGGCCTTTCTTGAGGGTCATGGTCCATGCTTGCTAGGGGGAGCTGGGGAGCTCGAGCTCTGGGCCCTTTTTTCGAACCTTTGGAGGTTTGGCTCGGCCTGGCCGCAGCTTCCATCCAAGCCGTCCGATGCCACCGCGATCGCTGCGTGGCCTTCCGCTTAAGCGCGAGCCGTCTCGAATCCTCTCTCCGCCTCCTTTCTCTCTCTCTCACTCTCTCTCTGTCTGTCCGTGTGCATCCTCAAGGCCTTTCAGAATGCTGTGGTGAATCTTGCTGACACTTGTGGTGCCGGGTGCTTACTTGTTGTCTGGGCATCTTCGACTGAGCTAGGCTAGGTTCGTAAGTATCCACTTGCGAAGTGTGCGGGAAGCACGTTGACGGATGTTGTCGGCACTGCAGGCTGGCATGACGGATGTCTCCCTGAAGGTTCCAGGAGATCTTCTGCGAAGGGTCTTCGTGCTGTGCTTCTCCCAGAGCCAAGAGACGCCGAAAGTCAAGAGGAGACTGGCTCATTTTCCGCTCAGGCTCGACCGGCTCTTGGAAGGTGCGCATCAAGCGCGGCTGCTGGGGACGGCCGGCAAGGCGAGGCTTCTCCGTGGCCCAAAAAGCGCCTCCTGCTACAGCCGTGAACAGGGCTCCTGTGACGAGCCCGCAGCCCGGAGATGTGCGAAAAGAACGAGCGTAGGACCGAGAGAGCTTTGAGCCGAGGATGCAGAGTGCCATCGGGAGCTTCGAGTCCACTCTGACATTTGTCCACTACTCAGCACCAGGAACTCCACCACAGATGTGCACTGTCTCTAGTCCCTGATACCACGAGGTGCAACACACGGAGGAGTTTCGCTGCTGTCGAGCAGTGGCCCGAGCTGAGTGACCAGAAGTGGCGCACTTGCGCCATGCACGAGCTTTAGACACTTAGGCCGCTCCCCAATCTTCACAGCACGTCAAGGAGAGCGCGAAGCAACAACGTTGGAGCCTGCTCTGAGCTTCGAGCCGAGTTTCGCAGAAAAGCTCCAGGAAAGCTTCCTGCGCAAACTAATTGAGAAGGCAGGCGGTGCTCTGTCAAAGAGCAGTTCACATTCAGCTGAGTTTTAGTTGCCCCAGGGGTCGCTACGTGCTGCCTCGTAGCCTACGTTGGCAAACGGCTCTTTGCAGTGGCTTCGTGATCGCAGCGCTAACGACTCAAGCCTTGCCCAAAGAGGCAAAGTTGCTTGCTGCCGCTGCAAGCCTGCGCGGCACATTCCAGCCTGTAGAGCTCGTAATGTCTCCTCTTCGCAGTATTTCAACCCATGCGAGGCCCTACCTCTTTGGCTCTTTTTGGCATTATATTCGCCTGGTAATGAAGCACCTTCGAACATGGCTCAGCAGAGGAAAGCCGGTAGATGTAAGTGTAGGGACTGCGCCAACCTTGGCGACCATACGATGATGCCATGGCGATTGGCCTGGAGGTGGAGAATCCACAGGAACCAACTGCATCCGAAGATGGCGCCTCGCCTTGCCGGAATCGAAAGGTTAAGGTTAGTTGGTCTGTCAAAGGCCTGTGTAGCGAAGATGTCAGTGCTTCCCTCCAGATTTGCTGGCCGTGGAGCAGCAGCCGGCCGAGATTCCTGCCAAGCTTCTCGGCTGCAGACATCTGTCGCCTCAGAGTGATGCGTGACATGCGCGATGTTGTTTATGTGTGTGACAGGTCACGGCCTGGAAGCGCGGCTGGACGAAGGCAGACAAGGCTTGGCATTTGAGATTCAAACTCTGCGCTCGATTTTCGGGAGGAGACGGAAGCCGGCCAACGAGAGCAACGAGTGCTTCAGCCTGCGCGGGGCCCTGTGCTGCGCCGCACCTCGGCCGCTAGGGCTTCAAGGGGCGACTCAAGTCCATGCTCGAGCACACTGGGGAATGCAGGTTAGCTTCGGCTTGACCTTCTACCTGGGCGGAGTGCAGATGGAGGCGGCATGGGGATGGGAATGGGCAAAAGGGAGAACATCGTCAGACCCGACCCCTGCAGAGGTGTCGGTGCTCACCAGCCTTCCAGTTCCCCGAGCCAGTGAAGTCGATCTGTCAAAGCTGCCGCACCCCGGTCCTTGCATGCAGCCTTTTGGTTGGACACTCTTAGGGCCTAAGGGGCATTCCCTGGGTAATAACTGAGCAGCTCCAAGGGCCATGCCGAGTGCCCCGAGCTCGCTATCGGCCTCGGAGGCACCGTGAGCCCAACCTTTGGACTTGCTGCTGCCCTCCTTCGTTGGGTCCGCAAGGAGGATCTATCGGTGATGACATCCTCTGCGCCAACGCAGGAGACCGATCGAGTGAGGTTAGGTGTGCAGAACACCACTACTGAAAGGTTCAGCCACAGAAAGCCTTCGGCACTCGTACAGGAGACTGGCTTGACATCCAGCACTGTGCCAGCGACGGGAGCGCCAGCTATGGCCACGTTGCAGCAGGTTTTACATGAATTTCAAGGATCTTGTCAGAGTAAGGCCGTCAGCTCGGCGCCATCCACCACGGTGCCAGTCGGAGAAATTGGTTACGTGATTCCCAGAAACGACCAGTGTCCCAAAGGCCTGCAGCCTTGGCCAAGTGTCCTAAGCGGGTTTCTTGGAGGGTTGCAGCAGAAGCTTGGACGCGACCAGGCACGGATCAGGTCGCTTGCCTTAGTTTGGTGGCATGTGCAGATTGCACTTCGCTGGTCGGGTTGTCCTATTGCGTGCTTGATCTTGTATTTGTGAGGTCATGGACTTGCAGATGTGCCTGGAGGCTGCAGCTTACCTGAAGAAGCGGCTTGACTGCTGGGTCGGCATCGTGTGAGCAAGGATGCTCTACATCTTGGTGCGGAATTTCTGTTTTGAGGAAATTGATGTCAAGCTCCCCATTTACTGCGGAGCATGACCCGCCGGGCTGTATTTACCGATCTTCGGACCGAGCGATTTGGCTGCAAGAGTCAACAGGGAGCGACATGCATTGCTTTGTTGCGAAGCCTTTTCGACCGCTTTGTGGGCTGCATGGCCTTCACCTTCCGACTTAGGACATCTTCTTCAACGGTCATCCGGAAGGAAGTCATAACCCGGATCGACGGCCTGTCTGCCGAGGAAACGTGTGTGGGTGGCTGCGGTGTGATTTGCCTCGTGCTTTCCGAGTCTAAACATGAAGAGACCCACTCCAACCATTGTAGCTGCCAGTCAGCAGCGAAGTTTAGGAGTCTCTAGGCTAAGCTTCATGCTGGCACCGGCAGGCGCCATCGGCATTTCCGGCATCTCCCAGCAGAACATCAAACCCATTGCTGCTTGGGATCAGGCCAGGGGGCGTCCTTTGGTTTAGGGGGCGAGGGGACGGTTGAGGGATTTTTTGAGCCTTTCGGCCAGTGCCAGGCTCCAGAAGCGATTCGGGAAGAGGCCAGGCAGAGACCTTGCCGTTCTGCAAAGATGTCGTGGTCGAGGTCCTGGCAATGGACAAGTTCCCTGAGGGATGATTTCTAGGAAGTGTTGTTCGGAAAGCCAAGCATCTGCCTTGACTGCCAAACGTCCAAGCCAGGCTTCTCGCATCCGCCTGTTCTGCTTTGCATGGACGCCATTTCGCCCGAGCGACGAGGCCATTCATCAGGTATCATGTGATCAGCCAGAGCTGACCTCTGCAGGCTCGTAGCACAGGGCTGGGCATGCCAGTGGCAAGCAGTGGCAATGCTGCATGCAGAGATGGTCGGGAGTCACTGCCGTTGCAGAGGCGGTGCTTCAAGAAGTGAGGACACAGTTCTCCAAGTGCGATGGCCATGCCTTCTTCAGCGCCTCAGAGAAACTTGCCTAGACTTTCGGCAGGCACAAGCAGGGATGCAAAGGAGTTGGGCTTTCAGAGTGCTTGGGGATTGCTCAGGTGATCGTCATCCACATGGTGAGACGGATGACGTGATCATTGTGAAAATCCCGGAGCAGAGGGTGCCAAGGACAGATGGCCAGTGGCTGCGCTGGCCTCAGAAGCCAAATTGGGGACTTGGTGGGTTTTTGTTCTCCCTTCGTTGTCAAAGCCATGAAGGTATCACCGCAACATGGTTGGCTTGATGCCCACATGGACTCATCTTCTGAAGACCGGAATGGCAGAGGAGTACGAGACTGGGCTTGACCGGACATCTTGGCTGGCCTTTTCTTGTGAGTTGATGTATAGTTCATTCACTAATTCAGTTTCATGTAGCTGGAGAGACTTGGACAGGGCTGAGTTTGAGTCAAACCTTGAAGATGTGCAAGGACTGGGTGCTGAACGCAGAGCGTGGGCCTCGGCTGCCGGCAAGCTTCGCACATCCTGGCTGCACCGCGAAGTGGAGGCTAGACCACTTCACGAGTCCCAGCAGGTGCCGCTTGGGCATTGTCAGCCGTTCGGCTGCAGACAGGATCCCCGCAAGACATCCAAGCCCCAAGCCCCAACCCCCCTTTGTCTCGCAGCCTTGCAGGCTACCTTGAGAACTTGAGGAGCGGGTCCGGTAAAGAGCAGCTTGGCACCTGGAAAGCGCTACCTGGAGCAGCGGGGTGAGGGAAAAATACAGCTTTTCTTGCTCTCCGGATCGCAGGCAGCGCCTTGCCGGTGGTGCCCTGATGTTGATGTGGGGAAATGCCTTTGCTACCAGGCTGCAGTCCCGTGCAGTGTAGTGGGAAGATGAAGAGCTCGGTTTTAAGGACAATCTTGCGAGCAAGACGAGTGAGACGTGTAAGCTAAGCACAAGCTCTGAGGTCTTTAACAAGAAGATGGTGACCTCAATGCGTGAGCAGTGGAAGTTTCTCGGGGTCACCGAGAAAGAGAAATCGGTCGGCGTGGGATGCCCCCAGTTCATGCGTGGGCGGCAGGAGCTGTTTGAGGGGCACGGAATCAAGCGAGCAGCTTCCTTGCATAACAATCTAGGAGAGTGCATGCCGTGCTGCGAACGACTCGATCAGGAGTGGCCCCAACACTGCTCTCAAGACATCGTGCCGCTCCTTTTGCACAGCACACATGTGCCGCTGTTAATCCGGTAGAAGCGAGAGCTTAGGCGCTCCTTGGACCCTCCTGTGTGCAAGCCTTGGCCAAGGTATCCGAACATGCTGGAGGGAGTGATGCGAGGAGATGCGGAGGCCAGGCTGACCGGCAAAGCAGGTGTTTGGGCCTGTGGTTTTCTGCAAGGCAGTTGGAAGATCCGGCTGTGGTCAGCCAGATGCCACCAATGGGTTTCTCAGTTGCGGGTAGCGGCTTCAACTCCGTGTGCCGCCCAGCCGGAACCGACAGTTTCTGAGTATCCGAGGAGAGGTGTCCTCTTCCAGCTAGGCTGCTGGGAGATGCAGAAGAATCCGTTTGGCATGTCGGAGGAAGGCCTTTTGCATCCGAGACATGCTTCTCAAGCCTCGAAGTCTGCGGATCTCGTGTAGTCAGGTGAAATGGATGCTATTCGGGAATTTGCCATCATCCAGGGCATGAAGGACAAGCTGAAAAGCGTTGCCTTATGTCTTGAATCTCCCATCTTTGATCCAGTCCCTAACCCAGCAAGTGAGGATCAAGGAGAAGCGCGGAAGCGGTATGCTGGAACGGATCAAGTGTCCCGGCCATGCAAATCACGATCCGACCGGTGCTCCGGAGACTTGATGCGGCACAGACACCCTGACTGCAGGCCGACAATGTGAAGCTTTGGTTTTCCGCCAAGAACGTTCCAGATCCTCGGATGCGTCCTGATAAACCTATATTATGCTGGGGCGTAGAACGTAGCCTGCTGTACCTCTGTAAGGTCATACACCACATAGTGAGTGCCGATGTCCACAAGCTGGCCCGTGAACTGCTGGACCCAGAGCCAGAGCTCCAAAAAAAGCTTCTGCATGGGATGTGCAGATATTTGGATTCAGGGTCTGTATTTGATGCAGCAGAGTGGGAGGCGAGCGCGGCGAGCAAGCAGATGGATGAAGGACGCAGTTTGCTGCCTCTTGCAGTCGGTATCCTCATGCTTGCGGAAAGGACTCGCAAACGCTGCAGGGCTGGCCTTGTCCTGAGTGAGAGTTGCGGTTGCTGCAACATTGGCCGTGGCCGTGGCTCAACGAAGAGACAAGTTGCCACTCAACCGACGTGTAGCGTGGCGGCGTGGCGAGAGGGAGCAATAGCGGTCGCGCTGGTTGTGTTCTTGGTCCTGGAAGCATCTGGAAATCCCAAGCCATGACCTCGCACCCCTTGCGAAACTCTGCAATCGCCCTAGGTTCCGGCGTCGATGGCATCATCATTGAAACGATCCTGTCAGGACGCTCCCGAGGTAAAAGCTCAGTCGGCTTGCTTGAAAGCTGCCCAGGATCTTGAGTCAAGCCTCTCGCAGCTACGGGCCTGTTAGAGCCCCAGCGTTCCAGATGGCGTTCAGGGTCGCCCTGTAGCTCGAGCCGTGAGCCGGGTTTGAGAGCCCTTCCGAATGAACCTTGTCCTTGTTTCCTCAGAGTTTCTTCTTGATGTCGCTCAGGCTTGCAGCCGCCCATGGCCCCTTCTGCAGACGCTTTGCGGCCCTTGCGCTTGCTCCTGCTGGCAGTGCAGCACGCCCGCGAGGTGCGGCTGCACCTTCAGCCTTCCTACAGAGTGCAACATAATTTCGACCGAAACAGTTTCTCGCTGTGCAAGCTCTCTGATTGCAAGACTGTGCTTGGCAACCTCGCTGAAGTTCGTTAGATCTTATCAGGGATTACGTCATTAGGTGCTCAAAGATTTGCCCCAAACCCTACCTGGATCGTGGGTCTTGGTGAGCCTTCGGAACGCCGCAAGGCCTACAGCTCTGACCCATCGATTTCCATCAAGGCCGCGACCAAGACGTCCCTCGGCTCCGGAAGACGGGAGACTGGATAAGAAGATACTGACTGCATTGCTCGCCTCACTTCAGCTCACTTCGCGACAAGCTGGGTCAGATGACGTGATTCCTCTGCCCGGCAGACAAGGAACGGTGAAGATGCAGAGCAAGCGGAGGCAGTGAGATCTTGAAGCAAAACTGTGTGTTGTTTCGAAGTGTATGCACGTATGTACTGCTAGCTCTCAACAAACAAGCATGGAGCTGTCAGCGCGAATGTAAAGACCCTCTCATTGCAGGAAGTCCTTGCTGTGCCGCAGCTTGGACTTGGGCGTGAAAAGCACCTGAGGGGTTTGCCGGGAGGCTCAGATGCTTCAGAGATCCAAGGCTTTAAGCCTTTAAGTGTGGCACCCTCTTTCGTGACTTGCTTCTCTGCTGGTTTTCTCAACAGAATCGCCGTCGGACCCACGTGTGGCGAGAATTTCCCGCAAAGTCTCAGTGCCGCAGGGGGTATCTTTCAGCATCAATGGCTGCGCAAGAGCATGACTAGATTGACCAAGGTTGGAGATTCTTCCGCTGTCACAGATCCACGATGCCCTTCGGTAAATGCCTTAGCCGCCACCGCAGTCCTGCGCGTCTGCCACGGCTGCTCACCGAAGTCTTCTCATGTTAGCACATTGCACTATTGGCAGAAAGCTGAACCAACACTTCCTCACTGAGGCAGCATCTAGAACAGCTTCCAAGTTCATCTGCATCTCCGCTGGCACCCTTCACCAGGCAGTGAGGCACTCGGTACTCGTACGTCTAGGGTGCGGCATCTTTGACTGCTTTGCTTCCACACGGGACACGTGCAAAGCCCGGGTCGGCTTGAACTGTGGGCATGCAATTACGGCTTAGGATCTTGCAGCTGTCCAGGGCTCTGCTACTGGGCGGGCTTCAGGCTGATGCTGGTGAGCATTGTGGATCGTCATAGAAGAGCTCCATTTCTGCCGTAGTCAGGCCTCCTTGGCAACGGCACAGGTTTCGCATGATCCTCAGTCACATGCTACGCGATTGCAGGGACAGCGTGAGTCTCGCTCGGATGAGGTTTGAGCTTCTTCGGCTGGTCTGCTTCCTGATGGAGCCTTCAGCTGCATGCTCTGCATGCTCTTGCCTTCGCCGGTGGTGGTTTCCACAGCCGCCCTCCATCCAGGAGAAGGGCCTCAACTCCAAGGAAGAAGAGGAGGAAGGGGAAGGTGAAGGCAACACTCTGCAAAGCTTGCCATCAGCAGCTGGTCTCACTTGGACGGAGAAATACTTGGCCAGGCGAGGGCGGCACGGAGTGGCAGACTGGGACTGGCATGGGTACCTCGGCACTCCGTTCAGCTAGTGTTACCACATCATCCACAAGGAGTTGAGGACTCACAAAACTCCATCAGCTGGGAGTATGCACGCCTTCGCTTGATGCATTGTGATGTGTTAATGCTGTGTAGTTTGCCACACCGCATCTCGGAAGGCGAGGGCGAGGGCCTGAAGGATGTTACAGACGAGATTGAGGAGAAGCTCTGCTCGTGTGGGAGAGTGGGTGGCGTGGCTAGGCCAGACGGAAGTGTGACAGTTTCTGGGCAGAGGACGACGCCCAGCTCGAGGGAACTCGCAACGAGCAGCAGGAGCAGCAGCTCTGGACCCAGATCACGATCTCTTACGATCTCTGTTTCCTCAAAGTCAGTTGCAAAGAGGCCTGAGCCCGAGCAGCCCAAACCGAGCGAGGACTCTTGCCATTGCTCGCGTGTCGCTGCCCTCTGAGTGTCATGAGCCGTACCGGTTGCAGGATAATGCCAGAGAGGTGGGGTTCGACTTAGACACGGAAGCGAAAGCCATGCCACAGGAGGCGCATCTGTCGCCACACTTCTTTCGTCGTGCTGATTCCATGTGCATTTGCAGACGGCATTGCGCATGAATCAGCTCTAGGAAGATGACAAGAAGCAAGATGAGGAAAAGGAAAATGAGGAGGAGCTCATGCCTCAGCATTCCACTGCGCAAGATGCACTCTGCAAAAATACCGCAGCAGTGTGCAGCTGTGCTACATGTTAAGCGCAAGTAGAACTTCACATGTCGCTAAGATCAGAGTCACATCATCAAGTTCAGAGCTGCTTCTGAGGCAGGACCTGGATCGTCAACAAGGCAGGCCCAAAACCATGGAGCAAGAAGCAGCAGAAGATTCCGTGCCTGTTTCTCGTTGGTTGGCACCTGAAAGTGAGGTGATGTGGACCTTTCGAAGGGTGGCATGCTCGATGAGAAGTTATGGAACGGAGAGGACGAGGACAGAAAGTGGGCCACTGTCCCAATCGCAGCCTGGCAGCTGGCTTGCAAAGCCGTGCCGGAAGGACGACAAGGAAGACGACAAAGATGGCGATAGCCTCAGCGGAATACGATCTCTGTGCGGCATCCTTGCTGGAGATTGAGGTGATGAGCCTGAGGAGAAGGAGAAGGGACCCCAAGAGGACATTGAGGCGAACATTTGAGATCATGACACTCGTTCGGTTTCGCAGAAACAGGTCACCGGATGAGTCGCAACACAGACGGTACATTCAGTAACAGTGTACAGCTATCGCAGAACAGTGCAAAACCTAGCAAGATACGGACTAGTCACGTGATTGCTGCTTTGTTATTCAGGTGAATTATGGTGAATTTACATGTTTCAGAGCCAAAGCGCCGAGTAGCACAGTGCACATCTTGCCTACAACGAAACTTGAAACGCTTGGCAGGCATATTATAGAGTCTGCATGGCCAGATGCAATCTGTAGGTCACATCCTGCAGGCATGGTCGCCCTAGCGGACCTAGTGTAGAGTGAGCCATGTATCGAATCGGCTTGCCAATCTCGTTTCTGAGGTCCAGCTGGGCACATTGCTAGGACTTAGTAGCACCGGCGACTGTGCTTCTTGGTACTTGCAGATCGAATGGTGGTTCAACGGTCGTTTCAGCACTGACGCTTCGCATGGTTCGGCAGCAAGGCAGCCGAGACTTGACCTTATTGCAATGGTAAGCAATCCTCGTTCGGAACAGTCGCGAGCCCGTTGAAGCAGTAGCACCGGCCACGATTCAAGCTCTGCGATTCAAGCGCAGAACCGATGCAAGCGCTGGAGAGTCAAGCACGCATGATTCACGCACCTGCGATTGGAGAGGGTTTGGGGCATGTTGGGCATCAGGGTGTCTAGGGTGTGTATTTTTAGGGCTTAGTTCTTTCTGCTAGTGTTTAGGGTTTATGGGTTTTGGATTCAGGTTTTTGAGGTTTACGGTTGCACGGTTTAGGGTAAATTAAACTAGAGCTTAGGGTGACTAAGGTTTAGAGGTTTGTGTTCGGGTCTGGGGTTCTAGCCTTGAGGGTTGTGCGGGTTCACTGTTGTGAGGGTTCACGGTGTTTAGATTATACAGTTTAGTTTCTGGAGAGATTGAGGCTTTTCTACAAAGCCCTCGTACAGCTTTACCAAATTTCTTATAGCCAAGGTTTTTAAGGTGACAGGTTTCAGGCTTCAGGGTTGCATGCATGCGTTCGTACATAAGAATGTCTGTGCTTGTATGCATATGTACAATAGGTACGTACATCACGTACATGTATGTAAACTGTTCGTATGCAAGTGTAGTCCTATACGAAGTTATATGCCTTCAGGTGCATAGTGTATACATCTAAGTATGAGTATGGATCAGGATGAAGATAAACATAAATATAGAAAAAAGCACTTGTAGATACAATATTCGTAGGGGTTTAGGGTTTTAGGGGTTTAGGGGTTTAGGGCTTAGGGTATAGGGCTTAGATGTTTAGGGTATAAGGTTTACGGGTTAAGTGTTTAAGGTTTAGTTTACAGCTCGATTAGAAGAAATATGGTAACCTAATGAAGCTACCATTTTGGGGTCTGGTAGAGGCCGGCTACGTAATGCTTGAACAATTCCAAATAATATCCCCTTGTAGTCCACATGTAATTATGTAATCATGATTGATTCATGCTGCAATGTTTCGAAAGCCCTAAATGACAACGATTATTTGCATGTTGACGCCATGTAAGTTCATGTAAGTAGAGCATGAGTTTAGGCGTAACCATAGAAAGAAACACAAACTTATATATATATATATATATATATAAAGATATGCACACATACAGAGACACATGCATCAATCCATGCATCCTTACACACATGGCCGTGCATGCACAACCACCCAGAGCCTAGTTGCAGGCTCATGGAGCGCAGGGCGAGGGCGAAGCAGCACGGCACTTACTGGTAGGATGCCACTTGCTTGTTTCTATTATGCCATTATGAGCCCGTGCCAGCTTCTGAAGCCTTTGAGCTTTGACTTGGCCACGGATCATCTGCCGACCGCGCTTCCAACCACTAGAAGTATTGAGACTAGCTCCTCTACACGCCCAGACAGCAAAGTTAATGCGGCAAGGTCATTGTGAGAAGGCTTCGGTTCAGTATGGCTCGGTAGCTCTGCCGTGGTCCGAGTGGATGTGCTGAAGGACACAACTGCGAAGGACGAGAACGACAGCCCCTCCCTGAGTTCCAACGTGCCAAGTGTCTACAAAGATGCCTTCTTCAATCCTTAGGGTGCCTGGCAGCTTGAAGGCAAGTCAAAGAAGCAGCCGCCTCTGGAGGAGCAAAGGGACGACAAGGCCGATGCCAAGGAGGCACCGGAACAGGACTGAGGGATGCCGTGGACGCGGCTCTCTTGTCCGTGTCTCCTGGCAGTGCAGGATCCGCAGGAACCCGAGAAGACGGAGTTCGAAGACAAGGACGCGCAGTTTGACGTCCAAATGCCCCAAGGGTGCGGGTCCGAGCATCTGCTTCGGTTCTAGGCCCTAGGCAAGACACGTGTCAAGCTTGTTTTGACTGGCACGAAAGCCAGGAACGACGGCGCAGACGGGGAAGGTGAAGGCGAAGGTGAAGGCCGGATGTCCCCACGACCCGCCAATTTCACGATTTCATGGTCCATCGTGCCTCTTTTCTCAGGTGAGGGAGAAGGGCAGGGCGAAGGAGAAGGAGATGCCGACTCAGACTTCATCAAGGACATCGAGGGATTGGTGTGACGGTGTAACATCGAAGCGATTCAGACTGGCAACTTGACCGCTCGGAGTCCGACATCGACATGGACGGAGATGGGGAAGGTGGTGACGACGGCGAAGGATCAGAAGGAAGCAAGTGTGAAGAGGAGCGCGGTGTAGAAGTTGTCAACTGGTGGAGCGGGAAACGCACGCGCAGAGACCCAGACGCATACACCCTGTCTGTCAGTTGGATGCATGCAGTCGTACCTACACACGAACGCGCATACATCTACGAACGTGCCTGCAGGCATACATACACAAATCGTACTTCGGCTTTTGACATTGAAAGGAGATTGGTGACTTGGATGCTGCTGATCCCGGAGTCAGCTGCCCAGCGTGTATTCGTATGGATGCTGCCGCAGGATGCAGGAGCTTGGCATATTCTGCGTGCAAGGTCCCTGAAGAGAAGCTTCCAGACGATGCCGGCGCAGAAGAGTTTTCAACTCAACCTGCCGAACCAGATTGTGTTCCACGCTGCTATTTGCTAGTCTAAGCGGATTCGCATGTAGGCATTTGGCTACTCATAGCTTAGCTGCACAAAGGCACTTATGGGTATTATTGCGATATGCACAAAGAAGACTGTTCGGACTTCTACTTGGCCGAGGCAGGAAGGAGTGGAACCCTGTGTCCCCTCCTGAGGTCTCTTTTTTTGAAGAGACTGCCAAAGCTCCTGTGTCTTGCTTTTCCCAGGTGCAGGGAGAACAGAAGCCCGAAGAGCAGCAAGAGCAACAGCAACAGGACGGGCGGAAGATACCAGCTTGGGCCATCCTCCCCGAAACCTTAGAAGGATCAAGATGGTGAGAAGCCACAAAATGTCGATCCTTCGAAGGCGCCCGGTGCCCGGCCAGCTCTGTTATGAGATTCTGCAAGTCGGGTGCTCCGAGAGCCAAGGCAGAAGGGGCCCGAGGAGAAGGCGAAGGCCCCCGAGCCGTCCGAGCCCAAACAGACATCAGTGGAGGGCCAACGGCTGCTGCTGCTACAACCACCACCACGACGACAACGACAACGACAACGACAACGACGATTACGATGACGATGACGACAACGACAACCGCAATCACCAAACACAACCAGCCAACCAACCAACCAACCAACCAACCAAGCAACCAGCCAGCCAGCCAGCCAGACAGACAAACAAACAAACAAACAAACAAACAAACAGACAAAACCACACTATCAAAACAAACAAACAGACAAAAGCAAACTAACAAACACACACATAACCAACACACACAAATAAACACACAGTCAAAACAAATAAACACGTCAGCAAGCAAGCAGGCAAACAAACAAGCAAACAAGCAAACAAGCAAACAAGCAAACAAGCAACCAAATAAGCAAGCAAACAAACAAACAAGCCATCAAGCAAACAAGCAAACACACAAGCAAGCATCAACATCAACATCAACATCAACATCAACATCAACATCAACATCAACATCAACATCAACATCAACATCAACATTAACAACAGCAACAACAGCTACTACGACGACTACTACTACCACTGCTCTACTACTAGGAATGTTGCTGTTAGGATCAGCGAAGCCCCAAGCTCAGGCTGAAGCAGGGAGATCCTGGCGCGAACTCTGGCAAGGTGCAAAGGGCCCAAGAAGTCCGTTTGCTCTCTCTCAAGAAGTGGCTTCTGCGAGGACACCACAGCACCCCAAAAGCAGCAGCAGGACGAAACATGAGTAATGAGACCATGCGGCTTGCAGATGCAGAGCTCAACCTCAAGCTTGGGAAACTACAGTTGGAAGTTTGATATAACTTGAGCACCGGGCCCTGCAGATGCCGAGAGGGTTGCCGTGTTCTGGTTTGGGCTTCTTGAGGCTATGTTTCTTATCAACCAACTCTGTCCATTTGGGGGCAACCAGTGCAGGTCTTTGTGACTTTCCATTTGGGGGTTTAAAGTGAGGGTTGAAGCAGATATGAAGCTTTGGGTAGGACAGCCAAACCCAAATCCTTCCGCGTCTCCGAGAGGACGAGCAGATGTTTGGAGGAAGCACAGGTGAAGCTGCCAACTTCGAGCCAGCCGCCCAGCAGGGGTTTTTCAGGGCAGGATGGGTTCTAGGGTTTTAGGGTTTAGGGTTTAGGGTTTAGGGTTTAGGGGTTTAGGGGTTTCGGGGTTTCGGGGTTTCGGGGTAGGATGGCAGTGGAAGTTTATCGCTCTTCATTGGACGCAGCTGGTCAGCTGCCAGCCTTTTCCAGAGCTTGCTAAGGTCCCAGGCTCAACAGGACGCGCAAGAAGCTTCTGCTGGAGATGAACGAGGAGGCATAGATCCGCAATTCATCTTTAGTTGGGCTTCACCTGGGCAAAGTCTGTGAGTGTCCTTTCAAGAAAGAATTCGTTTGCCAGAAGCTTGTGGCAGGCTCAACAGCGACTGCGACCGACTCAAAAGGCGACGCAGCCGAAATGACCTCCGTCGCCTCCTTGACCATTAGAAATCTCCGCCAGCTAAGAGGTTTTTGTGATTTTGGGTGCATCGAGCTTGGATGAAGGGATTCTGCGTGTTGCCTGTGTTGGCACGCGCTGAGGCCAAGCCGCAGAAGTCAAGCGCAGCCGACAAGAAGTGCGGCTGGCAAATCTTAACGAGCTGACGCCTTTACCATCGTACAGCACTTGACATTGAATCAACTGTAGCTTGTCTTGAATGCAGCGCGGTTTCTCGAAGCAGCTAAGTCACAATCGTGCCAGGAAGTCTCCCGCAAAGCCGAGCCCTTCGGACACAGGGGCCAACGAGGACAGGAGTTTTTTCGGGTTGTGAGCAAGTCAAGCCATTTTGCGTCCTGTCCTCAAGACCAGAAGCTCATGGCAGATTCGGCCAACAGGAAGTAGCTTGTAAATGCCATGAGTTGAGAAGTAGGCTTCCCTCTTTGGCCCAACACGCCAGAGACAGAGTGCAGTATGCTAACAGCCTCAACAAGAGCTGATGCAGGCTCGAAAGTCGGCGGCATGCGGGGACTTGATGTTGGGCACTAAAGAGCTGAAGGAGCGCCGCCTCCAAAAGCTCGACATCTTGCGGGAGGCTGACGGCGGAAACGATGTCCGGATCTGAAGCTTCGAGCGGGTCGTGAGACAGCCAATCAGCAGCTAAGCGTCCGGTTTCGGTGGTCTCTTGCGCAAGTCTTCGGCGTCGGCTGTCCAAGGCCATGGGCGACCAGCAGGAAGCTGGTGCCGAGCCCGGTCCTTGGGAAGCAGAGCTGGACTTGGGTTCCGCTCAAGACTGGGTAGCCTTTGCAGTTCCGACTCAGGCAAGGGCTGCACCTTGCAGATCCGAAAAGCGGGCTGGAAGCCTTGGGTGAGTGCCAAGATGCAGCGACGCACTGAGTTGCTGCTGTTCGTAACTTCGTGGTTTCCATCTCTTGATACTTGCTTGTCGTTTGCCCTTACAGGCGGGTGCAGATCAGAAGGCGCTGGGTGCGGATGGGCAGGCCATGGAGCCAACAGCACTCCTTGCTTCTGAAGGTCAGTGCAGCATCCACACCTACTCTTTTTGCGACAGTGCAGGCGGAGGAGGAAAGTGAGAACGAGGCTCCGGCGATGGAGGAAGACAGAGCAGGCAGAGTCGGCTACCGCCACATACAGCTACTTACGAAGCTGCAGCATTGTCGGTGCATGAATTCCCGGTTGCACTGCACTGCTGGCCAATGGTGACAACCCTCAGCATCATGCGGTATGGTTGATGCACCAGGTCCAGAACAAAACAAGATGCTGTCAGCGACCTATCGCTTTACCTTCTGGCCGTTCGTGCTTCGTGTTGTGCAGAGAACCTGAACTTTTGTGATCGGACGGAGGCCCAACATGCGACTCCAGGAGACCGTCCTTCGTGGTGGATCCGGTTGCATGTCTGTGAGGTGCATTTCGGTACGGGAGGTAGTGAAGGACAAGACGAGCAGCGGCAGCCTTCAGAGTTGGAATTCCGGTAGGAATTCCATCCGAGATACTGTGCAAATGAAGGGTGGGGCTCGGAACACGTGGATTCACGACACTGTTCGACATCACGACCTACGAGGTCCGATTCATCAGTCGCCAGCGAGAGCTGCACAGTACGAGTCTGCTCAGCTTTATGGATAAGATTCACGCGGGATGTGAGAAGTCGCACGCTGGATCATGCTGGAGTCAACACGGGCTTGCCTAGCCAGACGGACACTGCAGCCATGACCAAAATCTCCAAAGTGCGCCTGAATGGTACGGGAGCTGCGACCTGCCACATGGACCACATGCCACATTGTGCGACGACCCTTTTCGGGGCAGCGGTAGCGCTCCGCTCCACAAATCTGGACCCATTCCGTGGTTATGCTGTGCAACCAACACATTCCCAGCCAGGTTGTTAAGCGTCCCCGTGCTGCTTATTCGGGTTAACTTGACCTCGGATGATGAGGATGTGGAGCAGCATTGCGTGGTGTAGCAGTGCATGTAGGCAGGTGATGTCGGGTGTGAGGGCGCGCATCATTGTCGAGAGCTTGTCGTCGCGCACATCTGCAATGCTACTGTACTCAGCTGTTGTATTCCTTGTCGCGGCTCGGGAGGGGGGCGAGCGCTGTTGCATCTATTATTGTAGTTTTGATTTTCTTCGACGGAGCCGCAACATGTCGAGGAGATGGAAGGTGCTCAAGCTCAAGAAGACTCAGGCAACCGGCTTGTCCCTGCTATTCACGGCGTTGTGACTTGTGATGTGAGAGTCGTGTTGGCGTGGAGAGGCAAGCCCAGGGATCCCTCGCAGAACGACGTCGACGACACGAACCTGGAGGCGCACACCGCGAGCTTCTGACAATTTAACTTCTGGCCATGCAGCAACAATTGCAGGGCTTCCGTGGTGGAGCCAGCTCTGTGCATGCTGCGCCGACGGCCCTTGCTTCAGTGCAGGAGGCCTCTCCACTTCATAATGTGCGGAGTGATACCGGGACGAGGGCACATAGTGTCATGGTGGAGAGTCGAAATAAAAACAGCGCGAGGGGAACAGGCAGGGGTGTACTAAGTAAGACACCTTGCCGGCCAAAATTCTGCATTGACCTCACAGTGGATCAGGTGTATCGACAAGAAGGCTTTAGTACTCGCATCAGTCTGTCGTGCAATCGCATGCTGACAGTTTTTACAGACCTACATGCCTCACTGGTGGTAACCAAAGGCGAGTACTTTCTTGGGGCCGCACGAGATGGTGGCTCGCTGTACAACAAGTAGCATCTCTCCCTGTAAACCTGTCCGCTAATGCCGGACAACCCAGTCGCACAAACTGTCAGAGTACGTTCAACGCCAGCCCTGGTCAGGCGACGGGTGACAACATGGATGTCGACGATGAAGGTGAAGGTGGCTGGAGGAAGAGGCCGCGATCCAGCTTGCTCTAGTGCAATGCCTATAATTCCCAGTAGATACTATAATGATGTTTCGATTGCACAGGTCTGAGCACGAGGCTATGCAGCTCTGGGGTCAGCCTGGTCCTCGGCGGGCCATCTCAGCGGTCGGAGTGTCATGTCTTATCGGCAAAGACTGTTTTCTGTTCGTCGGAAGTCTTCTTCCGCTTGCTGATTGATCATCTACCAGGAATCTTCCACGTGCCGCTGTCTGACTCGTCCAGTTTTCATCTGTGTAAGTGCTAGAGCAACCATCCGCTCCACGACATGAACACACGATCGCTGTCATGGACCAGGTAAAGCCCTGCTCACCGACTCAGCAGCAGAAGCGGTAGTAGCAATACCAGCAGAAGAAGCAGGTTCAGTAGTAGTAGTAGTAGTAGTAGTAGTAGTAGTAGTAGTAGTAGTGGTAGTGGTAGTGGTAGTGGTAGTAGTAGTAGTAGTAGTAGTAGTAGTAGTAGTAGTACTATAGTAGTAGTAGCAGCCCCCATCAGAGCCCGGGCTGTGAGGTTGGAGAGAAGCACAGCGCCCTTGTCTGCCGCTCTTTGCGAACAGCTCAGGATGGAAACGTAAGGGTTTCAGGGGAATAAAGAGTACTTCTACAAACCTTCAGGGCCGCATGCCGTATGTCTTGCTGCGAGAGTTCCGAGAGATGTTTTCGATCGTGAAGTTTCGACAGGACGATCCTGGAGCCGACTCTCAAAGGCGCACATTCAGTCCTCCGTCACTCCGTCACCGTGTTTTCATTGTTGCGGTCAGGTCGTTTGCAGGGCTACTTTCGCACCGGAAAGCGTATCTCGATGAGACGCGCTCGAGACTCGGTAGTTGCAGCTTTGCAGTACATGTCGCAACCCGGGATGGGAGAAGTATGATCTGTGCAAGGGCTGCTTCGCTTGACTGGCATGGAGACGGGATCACTCCCTCAAGCATCTCAGAGAAAGCAACGCTTGAGGTGATCCCTTTCATCGCCTCGAACTACCGCAGGGACAAGATTTGGCTGAGACGGACAAAGCCCTCGAAACGGGAATACCAGGCAGGGATGTTTGGGGGTTCACGTCCCCAGTGTAGCCTTGGCCGCTGCCCTTGACCAACGACCGAGCAGGGAACAAGACAGGTTTGGGTCTCACAAGGGCATTGCAAGCCAAGTCGTTTTATTTCCTGGCAAAGTGCGCCTGACCCCCACAGTCATGTTCGAAGCGAGGCAGCAACTGCTTTCCTCTTGTGTTGCGTTCTTGACTCTCAGATCGTGGTGGCCATCGACAACTCTCGGAGCATGTTTCAACCTCAGATATTCCCTCGCTTCCGCCTGGCCATCTGCATGAACGAGAGTGTAACCTTGAGAAGGAAAGAGTGCGGCGTCGGCCCCAATGCGCTGCAGACGCTCTGCGTTCTGTGCCAGGCGTGTGCGGACAGATTTCTATGCAGCTTCGCTGAACCTTGCAGTCACGTCACCTGCTATATCTGTCAAGGCGTTGGCCCAACTCGAAGTGGGTGAGTATGCCGTTCTCGCTTTTGGCAGCGCCGGGTTCTAAAACCTCCCACACTTGCAGCTGCAGCTTCAGACAGGCCTTTTGAGTCCTAGTAGTCTGAAGGCAAGAGTTTGCGCCGATCGACATGTGCTCGCCAACACTCAGGCAACTCCACGCGTGCTTCTGCCTTTGGGCTCCGGGTCAGAAGCTCATGAAGTTTTGCGAGCCTGCAATGACTCAGCGTCACGTGCAGCACGGACCGGAGGCAGCCGCACGCCAACAGCTTCAACTGGACGCAAGCCGGCCCTCTGCTCCGGGAGAACTGGACTCAGAGCCTCCTGCATGTCTGGCTCCTTTCACGAGTTTTCTTTCGTCAGGTTCACCTTCGAGGAGGAATCTGTTCAGTCCCGAGCTCAGAACTACTGGGAGCTGTGAATCGCTGATGCTGATGCGATCGTTTCGAAGTTGAGGAGGCATTTTCCGAGCAGCAAAGTGTGGCGAGGTACCAGGATGTACAAGGTATATGCAAACTGCCCACAGGGATGTAGGCTCAGTTGTTGACAAAGGAAGCAAGCCCAAGGTCCGTCAACATTTCTCCCTGAGCTCTGCAATTTTTGAATCACTTAAGGAGCCACAACCGGAGCCTGGCGGACTTGATGCGTCTCAGCTCTGAGCTCTTCGACGAGCCTTCTCCCCAGACCTATCCAGCTAACCACATCCGAAGCCCAAAAAAAGTTTTGTTCGAAGTAGCAGGGGGAGGGGGGGGGGCGATTAGTCTGGAACAGCACCGGAGCCTCATTCTGAAGCATGCTCCTGCTTATGCGTCTTGCGAGCTCGGCTACTCGTAGATGCTCGTCCTTTCGACCTTCCCCACTCGGCCTCAACTCCAAACTCTAACTTGCGACATCTTGCGACGACAGGCGCAACGGACCAAATCCTGCGCGACCATTCAGCCAGTCCCTAAAGCTGTGCAGCATCTTGCAGACCATCCGCAGCGAAGTGGACTCCGCATCCAGACCGCCTTGCCTATGAAACTCGCGTGCGGAACGAGGCCAGATGAGCATCATCATCTCAGATGGCCGCTTCAACAAGAACAAAGTACGCCCATGGGTTTGGCACCCAGTCTTGCAAAGCGACCTCGAGAAGCTCCGGCCAAGGCACAATTTTGTAATAGTAGCGCTTGTGTCAGTCGCCTTGAGTGAAGCTGTCGCTGCAGAGGTTCATGCTGCGCTGGCTCGGCAGCAGCTGCCGCTGCTGATCATTGTGGATGCAGAATCTGTCCGGGACTTAGCGGCGGCACAGGCTTTGAGAGGGTCGGAGTTCGTTGCCAAGGAAACTCCGGCGGCGAACGTGCGGAACTCGGGCAAAAAAGCTTCGCCAGGAGATGTGGATGCCTCGAAGGCCTCGGGCTCCAAACGAAGCGTCTTCGACTTGCGCGCCGTGAGTTATGAGGGAGGCAACTGCCAGGCTCGGGGGGTTGCCACAAGGATGACGTCTGAGTTCCGTAGCCGGTCTGCCGCTTGCGAATGCCGAGATTTACTCCGAGATTCTGCTACTCGCTGTCTCGATTGCAGGTCGTTCCGTATTTGTCCGACTTCCCATTCCCCTACTACGTGGTCGTGCAGGACTTGCGCTCACTTGCCCATGCTGAGCTCCATCAGCCGTTCTTCATCTACCGTTTCAGGACCTGCAGACATTGCCAGCCATTCTCAGTGATGTGATGAAGCAGTGGTTCTGGGCTTAACTTATGCTGACTTGTACGATTTACACTGCTGACTTTGGGCAGCAGATCTAGATTCCAAACACCTCGATGCTTCCGTTGCTGTATACAAGATGCTCGGTTAAGACGGGAGAAGCATCTTCTGCACTTCGGTTTGCTGCTCTCCAGGTTCGAATTGGCATCACATGCCTGATGATCAGGCCTCCTCCGGCCGTGCGGGTTCGAGCGTTTTAGGGAGAGGCTTCCCCTGATGTCGCAGACCATCTCCGCAGCAGGCTTCGGGTCTGGCTTTAGCTTCAGTCTTGCAACTGGAGGGTGGGCCCAGCTCGCGAGGTGTTCCCTGGCGCGAGTGGGACGAGCAGGAGAGCCGCGACGCCGCGAGCCGACGAGTCGCTTCCCGGCCTCCAAGCGAGAGTCGAAAAGCACTCTCTGGGGCTTGCCCGGGCCCCGTTGCGGGCCTGCGGCACAGTGTGGCCAAAGATGCCGCCCGTGTGTGGATGCTGGTCCTGATGAATTGGGTTTCCACACTCTTCCGACACTTCCTTTCAGCACCAGCCGTCCTGCCGTAGAAGCTGCCAGCGGCAGCCGGCGCCTGGACAAGACGCGTGAGCCCTTTGAGCGAGCGTGCACCGGGGCTGGCTTAGGACCGCTTTGGAGTTAGCCGCTCCGCAGTCTGCTTGATTCTTGAAAATGTGCTCCCCACATTTGATTGGACATCGACCTGCGGCAGTCTATGCTCGTTGATTGTGAAGCCGTAGCAAAAGAGAAGGTCCGTGTTGGCCCTCTGTCTGACGCGCTTGTCCCTTCGTATTTGCGGCTTCTAAGCAGGAAGACCCGACAATGGACAAGTCTCCCTTTTTCAGCTGGACCCGTGTCAGGATAGATTAAGCTCAGATAGAGCTCGTTTCGACATCTGGAAGCGCAAGCCCCCCCATCACAGAGTAACACCTAGCATTTGCCAGCCGAGTGAAAAGCGGCGTTCATGGTAAGCTTGCTTTTGGAGCATAGTTACCACACCCTGTTCATGCAGATTTAATTCGCCAGCGCGCGGCAGCGCGGCCTACAGAATGTCTGATGGCGGCAGTGTCCCCGCTTCGCTAATGCCTTGATCCTAGCATTCAAGGAGTTTGAGAAATTCAGGCAAGAGGGCGCCGCTGGCACCGCCCAGGTCTGATCTGGACGCAAGCAGCGAAGCTCTGCCGGCCGAAACGTCGGTGCATGCCTTCTTTGTCCAGAGAGTTTCGCGTGTTGACTTTCTTTTGAAGCTGGCAGCCTGGCAGAGTGCAGAGGGCAGGCCTTATCTGTGCCGTGTTGTTGTCCGAACTGCTGTCCAGACTCAGGCTGCCTCGAACAGTTATGCCCTGCCCATGGCATCCAGCTCTTGCCTAAGCGATTACATTGGGAGCTTTTCGCTCACCTTTCACACAAGCATCTGCATCGAGCGTCGTTCTCCTTGCGCCATCAAGCTGCTGCTGAGGCCCGGACTCAGCCAGGGCCTGTTTTGCTTTTGCACTCTGGACACCTCAAGCCTCTGTAGATAGCTGCATCGTCTGCACCTTGCAAGTATTTGTAAGCCCAGTTGCAACATTCTGAAGCACTCTTGCCTTTCACACTCTTGAGGCGCGGCTGTCAATGGACTCTCCCGCAGACGGTCCTTTGCGTGCGACCCGGAAGATAGCATTGCTCCCGCGGGCTGAGCGGCTAAGGCTCGGTCCAATGGCACCTTTGCCTTGGATAGCAAACCTTTCTCTTAGCCCTTAAGAGCCTTAAGGCTGCAGCCTGCGAGTGTGGACATTGTCGAGCCACGTCATCCCGGCATGAACGGCTTTGATCTCAGTCTGTGCAGAGAGCAGGAAAGTCGGCTGAAAGGATGAAAGCCTGCCAGATTGTACGAGGTGCTCCGAAAGTGGCATCGTCTCCCTCACAATCGCGGTGCCGTGTCAACAAGGGGCAGGGAATTTCAACTTCTGCAGCTTCTTTCTTGGCCCGCTGGCTGCGTATCATTTGTGCCATTTAGGCGCAACTGATACAGTAAGCTCCTCCGTCTGAGTTGCATCACTACCTGCTGCCTCATGCCTCTGATCCGTGGTAGATGGTGGCAGTCAGCCAGTTAGGCAGAAGCTTCCCATGGGTCCTAGGGTCCGATGTAGTCTCGGAGTAGGGGCCGCGAGCTCAGAGCTCTGAGGATCCGCGAGGTCAAGGAGCGCCCTTCGCCGAGCGGGCCCAGGCGAAGGGGGGGGGTGGAGCGAGCTTTCAAAAGATCATCCTCACTGACCTGCCTCTTTTTCTGGCCTGAAGTCTTGGTTGGTCCTTGGTCAGTGTGGTGCCTGCCTGGTCCCCGCAAGATGTCTGCGAGATGTTCTCGCAGGCGGCGTGTCTCGGGCCTGGCACGTCCTCCTCTCGAGGGCCGGTGGCTTCAGCGCTTCGAGGCTGGGAAGATCCGTTGGCTCCGATCTTCTCCGAGCATTTCTGATGATCCTTCTGAGAAGAACAGCTGCAAGGCATGTCATGCTGCCTCGAGCGAGCCAGAGCCTCATGCTTTCAGCAAGACGTTCCACCGGTTTCACATGGACTCAAGGGGAGTTGAAGCACATTTTTCCGTTCCCACCAGGCGACCAGCAAGCGCCACGAGCAGTACTCGAGGTGCAAGCAGTCCAGGCGGACGAGAAGTCAAGCATTCGCCGATCGGAAAAAGCCTTTTGAGGCATTGCTCTCGTTGCTCTTGTTTTTCCAGGCTCCAGTCGATCAGATCCGGTGCCACATCGCATACTGAGGCAGGCAAAGTTGTACTCCAGACCGGGGAAAACGGGGATAACTGGATGCAGCCGTCCCTCGTCCTGTCCAGGGCGGGCGATGCAGCGCAGGTGCGTGATCACGTGGATTTCATGGTTGGAGCATGCAAGCGGCTAGAGCTGGGATGCTGGCAGCTTTAACCACGGAGGTAGTTTGGCAAGCAAGAACTTAAAGTCCTGAGCAAGCTTGGTTGGTCAGGACCATCAAAGGAGGCCGACTCCGTCCAAAATCACGCGTGCTGAGGCGAATCTGCAAAACCATCTGGCATGCGAGCTAGCTTGAAGGCAGACATAGGCAGACTGTAGATTCAGAGACGTGTTTTTCGATTTGGAATTACAGCTGGGCCAGGTCGCGAGTCGCAGTCGTGCAAAAGCTGACAGTTACGACAAGCTGGAAGAGGAGGCCTTGAACAGTTCGTGACAGTTCGGGGGAGCCCATGAGCTCATTGCAGTTGAAGCGATGCCATGTGTCTTGCTACAAGAGGTGCTCTCCATGATGAGTGCTTTGCAAAGGCCGTGGGAGTCCTCAGAATAGACGGGTCTCTGGAATCTATCCGGTTGGATACTCCTGCATGTGTCTTCCGTACAACAACGTGTCCTTGGCTTGCCGCATGCCTACTCCGAGGCGAGACGTCCCGCAGCTATGGGTTACAGCCTCAAGAAATCTGCCGGCAAGCTCGCGATGCGATTCATGCGGCGCCTTCAAGGATCCGTCGAAGCCTTCGGTCCCCCGGGCTGGACAAACGAATGGACGCGGCCTCGGCGTCTCAGACATGTGCACAGCAGCTTCTGTTGGTGGAACCCCTGGCCTGGAGGCCAGCCTTTCTGGACCTAAGCAGAGATAGCGAAGACCTGCGGAGACCCACGTAGTGACGTGATTTTCCAGGTCGCCTCCGATCACCTTCCCCTCGGGCAGGGCACTTAGATTCAATCGCAGTTTCGGCAAAAACAGGACCGTGAGGACACGGTACAAACCCATCCTGAATTTTAGTTGTCGTGGGAAGCTTCACACTGAAGGACCCACGTCTACGCACCGCAGATCGGGCTGCTGCTCGTCTTAGCACAGACGGAGGACACGCAGGACGCGAGGGTGACCTCTGCTTTGTGATAGTACTTGGATGTGAGCGTTTCCTCCGTAGAAGTGGCAGCACGCGCGATTGAGGAGTGAGTGTTTCCCTCTCCGCGCGTGCTCGGCAGTCTGCAGGGTGCAGCTGGCACGTTTATAACACGTTTGAAGCACGTGTGTTACTTGTGTTGTAGGCGATTTTTGATGCCCGATGTCAAGTTGCTATGCATTGCAAGTAGATGACAAGCAACTACTGCAGGTTGGCAGAAGTGCTTTCAGCTGCCTGAAGGTATCCCGTGCATGGCCGTTCTTCGCGCCAAGTACTGACGCAGAAGGCTCCCAATGCGTCGGGATTGTATTCAAAAGAGACTTGCAGTGCAAGCATACCTCAACAGGGTACTGCCGCAAGATATGTTCGTCACCAACCATGGCCCAACGGTGCGCGAGGCGGCGGCGCCGCAGCGCTCTCGCATGAAATCTGGGCCTGCACGTGCTCCGGGAGTTATATCGAATCGAAGGCTCCGTCCTCAAATGGCGGCCTTCATTCTTACAGGTACAAACAGCTTGGAGAGGACACGGCTCCCGGAGTCATCCAATCACAAGTCAGCAGGTGCCCCAGGTACTCAGCCACTGAAACTGACCGAGGATATGCAAAGAAAAGCTGAACTGAGGCAGAAAGCATGGAGGGCCTCATGCGGCTTTCCCACGCTCTTGGAGAGGCAGTCGCTCGTTGAACTAACATGATAGTGCTGCGTATCCTGGCTGAAGTGAAGATAAGACATTCTGCTAATTCCAATACAGGCTCAGCGGGCGCTGGAGCTGCAGACGGAGGTAGGGCTCAAACCTTGAGCAAACACCAGCGAGATGTAGCCGCGAAGGCATTACGCTGTCCGCAGCAGAGCGATCTGCAAATTTCCAAGGCACGTGAAGCGTGGGTGAGTCCCTCCTCCCTCCCCTCCGCTCCCTCCCCTCCCTCCCGAAGTCGCCAAGCTCGTGCAAATGGCTTCATGTTTCCAGAACAGGATTTTGAGCTGTTCGCTGGCAAGCTGCAGCGGCAGCTGGCAGAGGCCAGCAAAAGCTAGTAGTGTTTTGGTGCTGCAATTCCTGCTGCTACAGCTGTCGATGCCGTGGCCACGCAAGCAAGCAACGACCTGCACAATTAGTCTCAGGCGCAATCTACCTCCCGGGCTCTAGGAGACTACATTGCCTGAAGCTCAGCAGGTGCAAAGACCATGTCTGCACACTCTCCGGGCCAAGGCTAAACGGCCGTCACCGCGAGCCACAGAGCGGATGCCCGACGAACCACAGGCAGCGCGGCCTGAGGCGCTGGCTGTTTGCTTGCTCACTGCAGGTTCGGGGGTGGAAGGCTTAGAGCCTTTTACGAAGAAACCTTGTGTCCTGACTTAGACAACCTCAACAGGATTGTGTGAGGAAGCTATGTGCAAGAAGACGCAGCATCATCAACGTTTGATGCAGGTCAGGTAGCCGTGAGGCTGTTGGACGTTTGTGTTAGTTAAGTGTTTTGCCTGAGGTCTCGTTGTGGGGATGGAGGTCAATTAGCTCACATGGTGATTGATTATCCTCGTGCCGCCGGAACTGCACTGACCCTTCCACGGCAACAGCATTGCAGGGTAGGTCCAGTTGGTGCAAGTGCTGGTACCTTTTCTTTGCTTGGCTGCTTGTACGTATGGAAGACAGAGGCTGCCAGGTTGCAACCCCTTGTTTCTGGGCAGGAAGCGCATCAGCGACTGCTCAATGGAAACCACATCACGAGCATGCCGATTCCGGAGGAGGCTTGCGGGGCAATGCACAGGTTTTTTATGGCTGCAAGACCCGACCAGTCGTATCGCCTGGGCCTACGAGACGCTAGCTGCCGCTAGCTGTGGCGTGCAAGACATCATGTCATGCTGGCATCTGCAATAGGCAACAGGCACCCCGCGACCCCTCGCAAAAGCTTGCTTTTGCTTGTGCGAGTGAAGACATGCTTGTAATACATGCTTCGCCGAATTTACTGCCATCAGCAGGTGCAAACCACAGGGATACGCATTTCGAGATGCAAGCAAGCACAATTATCCAGCTGCGGCAATCTTCAGCATATGCATGGTATGCCTGACCATTGACGATTAGAAGCTAGCCTTGTCGTCGAAGAGCTGCGCTCGTTACAGTCAGGCCGAGGAGTGCGCCGACGAAAAGTCGCGGCTCGCTCATGTGCAGGATTACCCTGAACAAGCGTGGTGCCCAGTGAACGGATCAAGTGAGCGGGTCCTCTTCAGCACAATCGTTTTGCCTCGTGTCACGCAACTATCCCTGTAAGCTTGAGTTCAGTATTCACAAGAAACGCCACTATGTTCCGATTCCGCGAGGACATACGCAGAACGTAAGAGATCAATGGTGATAGAAATCCTCACACCTCGACTTGAAGCTGTGCTATGTAGGAATGCAGCTCGATGCATGTCCAAGTGTCTAGCCTTGTTGTCGAAGAGCTGCGCTCGTTACAGTCAGGCCGAGGAGTGCGCCGACGAAAAGTCCCGGCTCGCTCATGTGCAGGATTACCCTGAACAAGCGTGGTGCCCAGTGAACGCCTAGTTGTTGAGAGCCATCTCAAGTAAGCGGGCCTCTTCATGACAAAGTTTTTGCCTTGTGTTACACAACTATAGCCCTGTTGCAATCGGCGGATTGTCAAGTCTGTCGCAAGCTCGTTACTCATGTCATCCGATAGCCGCATGCTTGCGCTGTGCTTTCTAGACAGAGTCATAAGATCAGGGACTTTGGGCGGAAAGTAGCAAGCGCTGCTTAAAGAGTAGCCGTCCCCACGTCCAGTTTCATGCCCTGCGACCGACCAGGGTAGTGGTGGTGGTGGCGGCGGAGGCGATGTCGCCGGCGGGGACAGTGTTCGTGCCATTTCAGGCTGGGCTGGTGGTGTCGCGGGAGGTGTCAGGCTGATCCGACAAAATGTGCCAGGCTCTTGTGGTAGCGAGCTGGACCGGGTTGAGTCTATGGACAAGGTGCGAAAGTGGTGCGTTCTTCTGCGGCGCCCAACGGTGTCACTTCAAGTGGAAAGGCTGCTCCGTTAGAGTCCGCCGCTGAAGCAGAGCCGCTTGGTCAAGGCAGGCCTTGGATTGACGAGGACACGATGACACAGTGCTGACTTCGATGTGAGTCCTGTTCCAGGAAATTCTTCACCACTGCCTGAATCTCAGACTGACTTCAGTATTTCGGCCGTTGGCTGTAGATGCAGGGCCCGCACCGTTACACCTGTCAGGCCATGCCTTCGTCATCTTTAAGCACTTAGACTTAGAGTCATATCATTCAGCGAGCCATGGGCAACATCGTCACCAGCCTTCTGCAGGATGTTTTCTTCGCAGTTCGCACTGCGGAATAAGGTCTTCTCCTCCTGCCGACGAGGTCCGAAGAGAAGACGAAATGCCGGTGACCCAGACTTGGGGCAAGCGACGATGCTGTGTGTACACCGAGTTACACTCAGTATGTTGCATTTTCTGTCTCGTCTTCGTGTAAGTGTTGCCGTGCTGGTGGCCTTGGATGCAGATGGTTTTACGTGACAAGAGATCAGAATCAAATGTGTCAAGGTCTGATCATCTTTGGGAGTCGCTGCCCGAGATCTTCTGAGCCGGCGTGGGCTGGAATCCGTCTTGAAGTCGAGGTTTGTGGTGCAGGGCCAAGTCCCTGGTGACGAAACGGCAGATACTCTCAGGAAGACGGTGACGTGTTTCCCAGGCCCCTGAGTGGAGATAGGAGAGTCCAGTTACATTATGAACTTCAATTCGATAATGCATTATCTGCCATCTGCAAGGCGATGCCATGTCTCGGCTGGCTGCATGCAACGTAGCATGCGTCGGGTCCACAGCCATGCAGCTGAGAACGGACCACAGGCATGTTTGCTTGTTCTGGCTGTTGAAGCCTCCCCTGTCGAGGGCGACGTGGCGATGAAGTCAGTGCATGTGCACCTGCAACTGAGGTATGTGCCCGTGGACACCGAGTAGATCCGACAGTACCGAATCAAGACGATTTGGTGTTTCGTGGAAGCATAAGCCATGCTTGCTCATGTTTGTTGATGTTTCTCAGACACAAATTGTTGCGACGAATGTATCCACATTGTAAGTCGAGGCTTGCGATGTGCTCCTGGGGCGACCAAGGCAGAGTGCCACAGGTTTCCAACATGTCACAAGCCAGAACAGGGTGCAATCCTGACCCATCACTCAAAGAGCACAAGCTCCACCTCAATGCCAGCCTTCATTACATGTCAGTCGGGGGTTGGTGTCTTGATGTGCTGAGCGGCTTTCGTTCGTTGACACGAGGCAGTGTTGCTCTGTACGGCGTCTTTGATGGCCATGGCCCTGCTGGGCATCGCTGTGCAGCAATCGCACGAGGACGTTTACGATTTCTTACAGACAGCACAGGGAGCATGGCGAATGTCAGGATTCCTGCCAGAGCGAATTTTCGGAGATCCGGATCTTCTGGTAAACCCGCCGGAGGCTCCCACATGCCGTACAAGTTGCCCTCTGAAGACTGGTGTCGCATCCTCCTGCAACAAGGAAAGATTTTCTGCAAAAACAAGCGTGTTGTAGCGAAGAAGTTGCAGCGACCCGCAAAACCATATCAGATGCAGACGATGTGTCGCGTTTTGTTCCTTGACTTCGTGCCGATGCGAAGTCCCTCGAACGTGTGCCTGTACCCGTCATCAGGCAGGAAAGCAGGAAAACCCCGCATGATCTGCTGCAGAGGTTCTCAAATCTGCTTTTGCCGAAGCTCAGCAAGAAATGCTCAGGCTCCAATCTAAGTTAGGATTGCTGTCCGTCTGCACCAGGAAAGTGAGCAGATTTCTGGCCCGAGTGTCTGAGGCAGGTACCTACAGATGCCTACAGCAGTGGGACCACAGCCACCATCACGCTCGTTTTGCGGGGAGGCTTTTGAAGCCATCACGTGGTCACGTTGGAGCCGTGCCTGTGCCTTGGCTCTGGAAGGAGTTCAGGCCGAGCGGGACCAGTGCAGCTCCGAGCAGACCGCAGTGCATCCGCAAGAACGCCATGAGTGCTGACTGACTTTAGATGACTTGACTTGGCAGTGTGCGAAAGCGTGCGCTCTCTAAACGCCTGTGACATCAAAATCAGGTCCTCCAAGGCAGGCATCGGGCCAGGGACCACGGTGGGAAGCCCAGGAATGCTCAGGGAGCACAGCAGTTGTTGAAAGCTTTAAGGTTCTGAGTCATGCCCTTTGACGGTTTCGGACTTTGGGATTGAGAATTTTGGGGATGTTGGGCTGTGCAGCCTTGGTACAGTATGGATTGGAAGGTATTTGGTTGGGACCGGACTGTGCAGAGACCTGTCCGACATCAGCTGCCATGGCCTGTTTCACATGGTTTCACTCCTTGAGCGCACCGAGGTTCACACTGCTCATGTGGGAGACTCCCGGGCTATCCTGGTCGCCTGCTTGCACACAGCAGGGCATGGTCAGAATGCTTGTAGGTACGGGCATCGATCTTTCTTGATCGGCGCTGCGCAGATCGAGAATCAGCACAAAGCGTTAAAGCGTGACATGGGCCAAGGCACGATTATCGGATGCGGCAAAAGGTGGCAAGTGCTTCATCGCCTCAAACTCACAGCCGGCCGTTTGCTCCGCTTGATTCGCAGTGCGATCATCCGCAAAGGTCAAAGAGCTGACCAAGGATCACCGGCCTGACGATGAGGGAGAGGCGCGAGGGCTCCATGGTCCGACGACGGCGAAGCCCATCAGAAGGAGGTGTTTTCGTCGACGTTCCGAATTGGCCTCATCTTGGTCTCTAGCAGTGGTTCCCTCCCGTCTCCCTCACTCTGTCTCAGAAACCTCCTGTCCTGCGGGTACCTAAGAAGCGAGGCCCAGCGGATCAAAGATGCCGGAGGGCACATCTGCTTGGGCGGCGGCAAGCGGGCCGGGTGCTTGTGTGACGAGAAATCTAACCTAATTGGCCTGCCTGACCTTGCGCACTTAGGCGAGGGTCATTTGCGAGTCTGTGCCCGGCCATCCCGGCTTTGCGTGTCCCGGCTTTGCTAATTTTCCACGTCGGTTGGGGCAACGCTGCCCAGCCAGCCACGCGTACCAGGGTGGGATGCCGTGGAGAAGTGCTCGATAGCTTCCGGTCTCTAGGCCTCTTGCAGGGTGCCCAGCCGTAAGTCTCGACTGAGGCTGACTCGCTCGTTGGGCCTTGCCATTGGCCGTGACTGTGGCATCAGTGCTGAGCCACAGGCCGGGAAGCTTTGTTCAATCGGAAAAGCAGGCGTGGTCTCACATGTCACATCGTGTCATGACAGGTTTTTTCTCACCATTTGCCGGCTGACGCAGAAGCCCTTCTCATCTTAGGCCGGGTCAGTAAGACAGTTTTACTTGCTTGAACGAAGATGACTGACGGACAAAGTGCAAGATTATCTAAGAGACAATTTGAGGTATTTGTAGGACTGTAGGAATTCTGGCCAATTCTCTGAGTTCGCGGGCTAGCCGAAATTATATAACAAAGTTATGTCTTTGCCCCTTCATGCCTTCTCAGGAACAGACGGCTTGTTCGAGTTCTGCGGAAGCCGGGCCGGCCTGTTGCTTCCAGACGAAAGATGCCAACGTGTCTGCTTGCCCATGCTCTTGTCAGTTGTCGCGGCTCGTTTGCCAGCGCGGCTGCTTATTAAGTAACTGGTGCTGCTACGTTGTGGCAAGCGTGTTTCCGATTCAGGGCCACCGCCGCGGTACATGCTGTGTTCTGTTTCTCCATGCCAGACCGGACAGTGGCTGGACACTTGTTGAAGCATGGTGTCACAGAGCGGGCGCTGGAGGAGGCGGACTGAATGACCCAAGCCCCATAAAGCCTGCCACTTGCCCGCTAAGTCGAGCCGCTGCAGGTAGTCCATGAAGCGATGAAATTATGGTCTGCAAACTCCTCGAACAGCACAGTGGTGCGGGGCTCGACACCCATCAAGTCAAATTTGTGAGGCACAGCTGCAGCTGCCCTTGCCCTCATTCACAGACCCCCTGCTGCAGGATGATGCCACAGCCATAGCCGCCTCCCTGGGCCGTGTGCAGGGAAACAATAAATGACAGCTTCTGCTGTTTGAGTGCGGCACACCGCATGCCGGCATTCTAAGCCGACTCGTCGTTCAGCGCTGTTCAAATCCTTTCTGGGTTCAAGTCGGCTTTAGGCAGGTGGCAGCGGTTGGCGCCGGTTGTTGGGGTGTTTGTTTCCTCGGAGCCATGCAGGTGTGCCAATGTCAGCACACTGCAGGCTGTAAATGTACTCAAAGACAGCATGGATGATCCCGGGCAGTTCTTTGACTTGGTGACCATTCTGGGAGTGTTGAAACATGTGTTGGGTGCCGATGGACTCCGATAGGCTCACCCATGCTGATGGTCCTACTTAGACTTAGACTCGGTCCAGGCCAGAGGAAAAGCTGGAGTTAAATACAGGGACGATGGCTCATGGTGCAGCTGCACACTGGCTGCTACTGCCATCGCTGCCCTTCCGAGCGTACTTGGCTCAACAGGGAAACCAGCTACAGTGCTTCGCAGTTCTGCGGGCAGCCCAGACACTGCTTCTAGCTTCTAGCTGCAGAGTTCGTCGAGTTTTTGCCGGACTTGGTTGGGCGCACCATGTCGAAACAGTGATCGTATGACGGTTTGGCGGCAGCCCTGGCTTCCTTTGGTCTGGGCAAGACGTCAGCGGCCAGACTGCAATCAGGTCGTGAAGTCATCTCGTGTCCATCTCGCATCTTAGTGACGAAGCTGTCCCGACCCAGGCAGCTTCAACGCAAGGGCGGCCTATCTCAGCTCGTAGCCAAAAGGCGCTGCAACGTCGAAGAACCTCCCGAGTGCTGGCCAGTCGCACACTTAGACAATGCTTGAGAACTGACGACAGGTGCCTGGCGAGTCCTGTGGCACAGCCAAGCTCCGATGAAGGCTCCGAGTTTGGGGGGTTGATTTGCGCGTGCAAAGAGAGCTTCTTCGGGATTTCTGGCATGGTCTCATGTCCTGTTCGGGCGGCCAGCTGAACTTTTGCGATGCGAAGGCTTGCAGGCTTCACCTGTGCTGGACCTTACGACGAAGAGCGTCGTGCGAATCAGCAGAAAGTTGACAGTCGGCCAAGTGGCAGGACTCGATGTGCAATGTAGCATAGCGGAGCTGGGGGGGAGAACGGCACCTGCAGGAGCCTTGCTACAAACACAGCCTTTTTTGCAGTCGAGCAAGGGGCGGCTCATCTTGGAGGCGATGGCGTGCGAATGCCGAAGTGTGTCGCACCGCGACCGGCGACTGCTGTCACTTCATGCTGCTTTGCCTTAGTTTCTTGACTGGATTTGACTGGAAATGCAGGCCGAAAACGATGCTTCCTTGAGCGTGGCTTTGAATGCCCTGGCCTTGTGCAACAGGCAGGGAGCGGAGCACACTGCACATCGTTCGAGCCATCATCCTAAACAACCCAATCTAAACTACTCGTACCATGGCGCGGCTGGAGGCGACTATCCAAAGCTGCAGCGAAGCAGCGCATCGCCTTCGTGCCTGTGGTTCGCGTCTTCCGATACCAGGAGCCTGGCAAGGAGTCGCAACGGGGTCTGCCTATGACACAATGGTTGCTGCCTGCTGCTTCTCTTGCAACTTGCTCCAACTGATGTCTGTGTCTGCAACTTTCCAGTTTGGTGCATCTGCACACGTAGGCCGCAGTGCACCTACGCCGCGCGATGCAGCTCCTGCTACACGCCTGGGATGCTGCGAAAGTCGTGGTGGTGCGGCGGAAGATTGCACAGGCGGCTCCGGACGTTGCCGCTCGAAGAAGCATCGTGCTTGTCCATACTTCCGACAGTTCCCAACATTCTTCCGCAACCTTGAGCTGCTCTAAGGTAAGCGTGAGGGGAGATACAGATCTGAGACGCTTGAGCGGCCTGGTGCAGTCACGCTTCCAGCAATCCAGCGTCGGGATTGAGGTTTCTTGGCTAACTACGCAACGCTTCAGAGTCCAGCCGGTTGCAACAGCACGGCACGGCAAAACGAGCCTTAACCGTAATTTCCGAAGTGAAGACATGCAGGAACTTGTGGTCGTTCGGTCCATGGGGAGCCGAGCCATCGACAAAATGGTGCCTCAACTTGGTTATGATGCTAGAACCATGGATCTCCATGAATGTCGCATTTGCCGTACACTCCCCAAGATAGAGCACTGAGCCAAGTGCGTTGCGTTGCAATAGGTCAAAGCTCTGGCCGCCGCGTGGCAGCGCTGCGCACGCACTCACGAAGGCCATCTGAGCGAGGCTGGCAGGGGAAGAGAACCCGAAGCAAAACATCATAAAACATCTCTCCAATTGGTGCCGAGACGGGTTTTCCATTGGGCCGAAAGACTTGTTGCGAATCTTTGCAATGAGGAGCAAGTCAATGGCTTTGTCATTAGTGTGAGCGTCGTCATCGAAATGCAGTTAGGGATTCTGCTGGATTTGGTGTTCGGTCGGAGCAAGGACGACCCTACAAACCAGGGATTTTACTTGGCCCGCCGACAGATTTTGTTCCCGAGGCCGGCTTCCATTGTTACATCGAGCATCAGCGCACACTGAGCTGCCAGAAGCTCGTCTACAGCGGTGTTGAGTGCACGCTGCTGCCTGGATCAGAAAGAGCCGACGTTGCAGAAGAATCCAAAAGTTGCCGCGATTGCGCAGCGGTCTTTGCTGGTTCCTTCGACAATGATGCTGCAGAATGGCTTGTCATACGGAACGCAGGATCATTGCAAGTTTGTGGGCAGGTCTGTTGATGAAGCTTGTGGTGACGCAAACTGCACTCGCAGCAATCTAGATTTTCTGCTCCGCTTAGGACAGCAGCTGGTCAGCACATGCCGGCAACAGTGCCGCTTTGCATCACTCGAGAGTCCTTTGCACCCGAGCTTTTCATCAGAAGCGCAATTTGTGCAGAAGATACTCGACCCCGCTCGAGACATACACATGATTATACAACAGCTCAGTAGGCCCGTGAGCTGCAGTGCAGCCGATAAGACGCTGGCAGCACCGTGCTGAACTTAGACCTCCGAATCGACGAAATCAACATGCGTTGCAGGTCCTGTGACCACTTTGCCGCACTACTCGTGCTCGAGGTGTTTTGGCGTGTGACTGTTCGGGCGCGATGGCTGCTGTAGCGACGGTCGATGAGGACAAGGTAAGTCTTATCTGCAACGAATCGCCGTGTGAGTGATTATCGTAGCAGAATTCGGCAGTTAGACCGCGTAGAGTGCCGTGATTTTGCTGCCAACACACTTCACAGAAGCTTTCCTTGTAGTGAATGTGCAGCCATGTATCCTTGCTGCGTGGTGGCACCTTGAGGAAAAGGAGCGCGTAATGTCGCTGCCACAGCTGCAAAATCTCATGAAGAGGGACCCGGAGGTGGGGCCTTTGTCATCAAAGGTCCATGTTCGAGGATTCCTCCAGTCAACTGTTCCGATCGTCTTTGTCTCGGAGGCGTACTCAGTAGAGTTCGACCAACAGTGGTCCGTGTCCCAGACCTTCCCTCGGCATGCATGGCATGTCTGGAGTGGGCAGTGCTGTGCAAGGTCCCACTTCGATAGCCAGATGGAGATCTTCAAGCTGAAGCCACAGAAGCCCTCGAGCTCTTTTGCGGAACAGGCGCGGTTCGCCTCGCAATGCGACATGAAGGCGAACTCCCTACTCGCAGGTGATGTTCCTGGCCCATGTGGCTCCAAGCTTTCCAGACCGGGCCAAGGCGACGGGAAGATCTGTTCCAAAGTCTCATGTCGACTCCGCAATGGACCCATGCGCACCAGATGCTCGAAGGCCTTTCCAGACCTGTTGATCAGTGGTGAACCGAGTTTTCTCCCAAATCAGCGCCTGTGCGCAGTCCTGCAGAGACTTATAATACCGGCGAATCAGGTGCATTGAACGACCACTTCGAAGTCATGCACAGCAATATGCGGACAACGCTCGTGCAGGCAATCTACTGCACCTGCGTGTTGGATAGATAAGACTTAGGACTTACGATAGCAGGAACATGCAGTCATTAACACTTCTCGTTCAGGCCCTGATCCTGCTTCGCAACCGGAATCAGCCCGCCGCTCACGATCCTTTGTGTTCGTCGATCTCGGGTTTCGATTCTTATTGCCTTCCTCAGGTTTCCGTGCAGCAAGACGCTGCCGGTATACTTCAAGCTCTTCAAGTCGCAGGCGTTTCAAACTGGCATTCATCCCTATCAAGCGGGGGGGCCATCCGAAAAATTCTGACCCTTTTAGGGTATCCCATGCCACTATACCCCCTTGTAGTCTTCGTTATTGCCTTTGGGGACCATGAGCGCGCCATACTCTGCAAAACCCCTCCAAATGCTGTTGCAACCCAATGTATCATGTCCTAGTGCATCGACATGCAGGACAAAGGTTTGCGAAAAAGCATCTTCACCCACATCGTGCGCGACATTGCGCACATGAACCAAAAGTCCAAGAATCAGAAAGTCGTGCTCTCAGGCAGAAGCTGAGGGTAAGAAATTTGGTTGTGTCATGCTTCAACTGCCTCCTTGCATTTCGTGGCAGCTCTCAATGTCCAGGCTCGCACCTGTCTGTCTTGAATTATTGAGTCGGACACCTATGCCACTATGCTGCAGCGTCCTGACACTGCCGCCATTGTAACACATCTATGCGAAGTTGGGTTATCGCATTGCTTCGTTGCCACCATACAATGCCGCTCGGCTATGTTTACAGGTACTAGGTCACTATACTCCTAAATTCAGGTACCACCCGGCTTTACGATAAGTATCTGCATGTTGAATACCGCCAAATGTTTCCATATTGTGGCAGTACGACGAGGCCGTTGCGACTACTACCTAGCAGTGAACTACTACATTTTCAAACCAAAATACCAGGCGATTATCTGCCACATGAGCACGAAGGTCAACTTCGAGCTGCGTGACTTTTTCTTCGCACGGCTGAAGGAATCCGAGACCGAGGTACGTGGGCCTCTAAGGGGACTCCTTGATAAATTGTCACGGCGCAAGAGCATGTAAGAAGCCTGGTAGATGCACTCGGACAATGGTGGTAGCAGCGTTGAAGGGCACATCCCGAGTAATTATCAATGACAGAAAGGCTGCTGACAATAAAACGACCCTTGTTGTATTGTAGTTTCAGTACGTTGTTGGTACAGATATCAGTATGAATGGTATCAATCAGCGAAATGATCACAGGAATGGTAGCAATAGTAACAGGCTTCGGGTTTGGGGTTGTGGAGCTTAGTGGAGAGAAGAATCGCAACAGTGCGGCTTAGTCATATCGCGAAAAAGACACAAAGATGTGACAGTGACAGAAGTATACTGACGTAGTCTGACATACGAGGCAAATTAATCGAACTACAACGGTAGAAAACAGAATGAAGAATGGTATCACAGTGGTGCTCGCCCTGCTGGTACATAACCCGAAACCACTGTTTGCGGACAACAAGGGGCGATGCCTATCCTGTGCCTGTGCAGGTGTGCCGGCATGCGTGTGCTGTCTTCATTACCATGACACTGGGCTGCATGTGTCCGCGTCGGCCCGGCACAACAAGCTTTCCAATGGAACTGTGACTGATATACAAACCGCGCGAGATACGAAGCAGTGGACTGCTGCAATCTGGTTTCTCCTGAACTCCATTTTCGAAAAAGATTATTGGCAACTTCATTCCGATCCTTCCCACAGCTGCCCCGAACAACATCTGCAACGACTTGCTTCTTTCAGCTTGCCGCTCCTATCTTCGCATGAGAGTAAGGTACCGACAAAATGTGAGATCCTCTCAGATGCTGGCGACGCGCGAGTCTTGGCTGCTGCTTGCAGTGTCCAGATCGAGAAAATTACAGAGGTCTGGTGCGACACGCACGTGGCCAACCTCATGAGCAGGGTCCCCAGCAGGTTTGGCTCCAGGCAGTTCAGGCCAACGCTTGTTGCTGAGGTGCCGGGCTGCTGCATCCTGATTTGAAGATCGCGGCTGTGGGAACCCTGATAACGTTGCCTCGCGTGCTCCTGCACAGAACCGTCCTCCAAGGCATTGGCACACTTATTCCTCGGGAACAAGACCAAGGTGGACTGAATCGGCGGTTCGCAGCCTGGAAGCCAAACGATGAGTTTGCACCTGGCAGGGACTCGAGGGCATCCTCGACGAGAGTGACGACGAAGAAGAGGACGACAATATCAACGAGGCCCGTGGGCGGGTAAAAGCGGATCCATACTCTGCCGTGCCCTGAATTGAATTTTTGTTGCTTCCCAGATGCAGGCTGTCATGGGCATTGTTGGTGCCAAGAAGACAGGCAACAGAGTGAAGAGGCTCAAGAGGGCCAAGAAAGTGCCTCGGATGCAAACCGGCCAATCAATTGAATTGCCGTGCTGCAGGGTTTTGGCATCAGCACTGTATCGTGCTTCAGGCTGCCAAAAAAGCAGCGCCCGACTTACTCCATATCGATTTGACATCTGTGAGCTCATCCCATGTCGCTTGCCGTGCAGGCGAGAAAAAACGGCAAAAAGGACAACACAGCCGTGAGCTTCGTTGCCATTGCTGAAGACTTAGTGCATGCTGATCTGTGCATCCAGAAAATGCTAAACTGCTACAGCTGCCCTGAGGATTTACTAAATGACCCGCAAACTCTGGCCGAAAAGCTGCTGCAGCGCTTGAGCAAGGTGCGTTGCATTTTTGTCAGCGATGTAGGCGCTGGGTCCCCATGTAAGTGAAGGCGCGCGGCTTGTTCATGCCTAGCAACTTTTCGCCAGGGCGGCGAGCCCTTCCTTTTTCGACTGCTGATGCTGCACCTTGTTGCCAGGCAGTGTGTCCGGGGCAGTGCCAGGTAAACATCAAGTAGCAACAGAGTCGAGTCCAGCAGAGGGATGTCAGGAGGTGCTCACCCGAAGAGTCTAAAAGTTTGAAGCCGCGATTAGGGTGCCCCTGCCGCTAAGCCCTAAATCCGAAGCATGTGCCCCCCCCAACATTGCGAACATTGAGAGCCCAAGGCCCGGTACCTTGATCCGCTCTGCCTTGAAATATTCGATTCGAGCTTCTTCGGAAGTTCTGCATGGATCAGGTTAATCGGTCGGCATCAACTGCAGGTTCTGAACTTGTATCCGCCCCTTGGCACCATCCAATTCCTTCAAACTGGAGCACTTAGTTTGGAATTGGGCCACAGGGTCGCAGCTCGCATGCGGTGTCATGAAGATTGTTAAAGGGTCAGAAGGCAGACGTGCTTGTTAGAAGCCGGCCCCCAGACTTGCCAAGGTTCTTGCAGAAGTATTTGGCTGCTGTCTCAGCTAAGTGCAGAAACCGCGCAGGAAGAAGGTTTCGGACGGTCGGAGCATGACTCGGCCAAAGGTCCCAACACAGAAGGAGGTTACCAAAGTGATGGCTGCGTTGGTAGAGGTGCTTCAGTGCCCCAGCAACGGCCGCAGTGGAATTTTGCATCGATTGCCAGGCATCGCATCCCGCTGTGCCACCTGCCAGCCTGGCTCGTCACAACAAGCTGGTAGCACGTCGCAATGTTTTTCGGGGCATCAGCAAGTGCTTTCTGCCAGGACGACGTCCGACCGGTTATCTTGCACATAGCAGCTCCCCTACACATTTGCTTTGGGCGGCCTTTGGCAGTTTGAAGTGCAGTCCGCCCTGAGATAAGACAGGACCACGCACGTTTCGTGTCTACATGCTCTATACGTTAGAGTGGTGATCGGGATTCTGTGGCTCACCAGCCCAGATGATGCAAGACCACCAGATCTTCGGTGAGTTGGGTGATGCTGAGGATGTACATCGACCGTGCTTCAGCCTGCAAGGTTCGGTACTTCGTCACGGAGGCAAACTCTCCTGAGATCATCGAAGTTGGTGGCGAGCTTATCCTATCTGATGCGGGATGCCTGGCATGCCCCTGTCGCCTGAGGCTTGAACACGATCCGAGAGGTGTGTGCCAGGCAGGAGTCTTCCTCGTCCTTGCACCGCCATACTGCAACTTTCGCAGAATCACCAAAAGGTCAATCAACATACTGACCGAAGATGAGTTGCAACCTTAAATCCTGGATTCCTCTGGACAAGCTGTCCCTTGTGCTGTTCAACTTCTTCTTCTCGAACGGGCCAGTGGCTGCTATGTAAGGCTGGCCGATCTTTGCAGCTTCCGCAAGCACAAAAACAAAGGCCATTCCGCAACACTTGCAGATGCTGGCAGCCGCAGTGCGGCTTCGTCAAGTGCTCGACTTTACGTTGCGCCAGGAGTATCGATGGCAGCAGCTTGCCCAGCACTGTGGCAGTGGAAGTCTTGGGTATGAGAGACGATAGCCGTCTAGAGGGGACAGCAGCTGTCTCGGTTTGCCGGCAGATGGCACTGGCACTCATCATGGACTCTCGCGGAGGTGAAGAGTCTCATCAACACCTACCGTGAGCGCTGACCTTGGACGTGTGGGGCAAGGGAGATCTTCCCACTTGGAGCAGACTTCTCTTCAACGCTCGAGCCACTGTGGACCGATGCTTTGTCGATGCTGAAACAAACCAAAACAGATGAAATAGACAGGAACATCCTTATTCCTCATCGTCCGTTTTCATGTCTTGAAACACAGACTCGTTCGCTTAGCCCTGTCGTTGTAAAACTAAACGGATACTTTCCATCTCAAATGTCTGGTATCCATCGCTATATTAACGTGATCTGCATGTTGTCGTGCCGGCAGGATGGGCTGTGGCTTTCGGAAGCAAAAGACACTTGCGCTGAACAACTCAACTTAAATCGGACTCTGTATCGTTCCAGAAATCTAAACGACGGTGCACTTTGCATCAAGGATTCAGGTGACTGCCTGCTGGCGTCAAGCAGCTCTTCGTTTGTTTTCCGGCTTAAGGCTTCATCCACAGCTTCTACACCGCTCACTACGTGGTCGAGAAGCGACGATGGCCGTCAGTGTGGCCCCTGAATCTACGGCGGGCTAAATCGGATCTTGTGAAGGAGGCCTGGTTAGCATGGTTTTGGTCTGGTGCAGAACGATGCCTTTGAAGACGGCGATGTCAGCCAGATACTGGCAATCCGAATCCTTTGAGGGTATTCGATTCCTAGGCAGAGGGGAAGTGCAGACCCCGCAGTTCGGCGAGCTCCAGGCAAGAGACAGCTTTGCAATGCAAAACAGATTTTGCTCATGCTTGGCGGCTTCGAGGCATCGGAGCAGATCGAAGGGCTTGACCTCCTTGCAGCATCCAAGAAGCACAAGGCCTTTCCGACGTGCCTTGATGTGTTCCTCAACACTATGGCACAACGTGGTAGATCATCTACGTGCCGTGTCAGCACGCGCCATGGGGTTGCAGAGCACAATCCAAACTAGAGAGTCCTCCCATCGTACTGTATGCGTTGCACGAGACCGCACTGCAAGCAGCAGCTTCTAAGTTGAAAGGTCGCATGTGACAGACTTGCCGGATGGACGGAGCCGTTGGTGAACACTCGCCTGGCAGGTGGAAGATGGGACTGCTGCGGATGCGCCGCGTCCTTGAGTTGTCTATTTCAGTTGACAACGAGTTGAGCTCCCATCAATCGGAGAGCTTTGTTTTTGTCATGGCCATGACGTGCATGAGGAAAGATCTCATGACCGAGAAGGCTCGCACGGGGTACGCATACATTCATCCAGCCGGCTATCCAGTGCCTGCCTGCCCGCCAAGACTCGTGCCACACATTCACACACACAGACACATGCACACTCATGCACATACACATACGCGTACGCACAAACATGCCTGTACATACACACATGCGCACATACCTTGATTCATTCATACATACGTGCATGTATACATGCATCCGTGCATCCATGCATGCGCACATATACGTAAATACATACAAACACAGCATATATACACACACACACACACGTGCACACTTACATACATACGTACGTATGTACGTGCATGCATGCGTTCGGACCTGTACTATGACGTGATCTGAGATAGGTGCGGCGCAGGCCTCGGGGTGCATGCGCAAATTTGCCATGAGACTCGAGCGAATCCGAGAGGCAGACCCAGTATACGCTGAAACTTGTTCGCGGTGCTGTCGCGCCTGTTGCATGCAGCAATTCCGACCACGATGCTCATTTCTTGCCGAAACTGCTAGTGAGACATCGCCACAGTCATGAAACCATCAGCAAAGTCGGGAGGTCTTGAGCCCGGATGACTTCAAGCAGCTTCGAAAGCTTCGCCTGCAGAAGTCCATCGAGTGCCCTGACGACAGACCTACAGGAATTTGGAATCCTTGGGATTTGCTTCTTGATGCCGACGTCCGAAGCATCAGACTTACCTTCTGTTTGGGAGTCAACATATCCAAAACAGCATCTTCCGATTCGGCGAACCCCTGCAGGCTCCAGATGGGCCGCAAACGAAAAGCGGAGGAGTCGGTGTATTGGTAGTCGGTAGGTAGTGCTTGTCGCAGTCACGGCAATGGCCCCAGGGACAGGTGGAGTCGTACCAGCAGCGACTAGTGGCAGCTGTGTGGAATCGCGAATCTCGGAACCTGCTAGGAGATGAGCTCTTCTTCTAACTCCGGCAGTGCCACGCCTGAGTTTCGTGACAAGAGCAGATTCTGCTTTGGTTCGCAGCGGCAGCCTAGGCTTGGGGCAGGGAAGTGGTCGGGTTCAGAGTTCGGGTGGAACCAGGCGACTCCGATGCTGATGCCGACGCAGAGGAGGACGAGCGCGGGCTCACAGGCGACCAGAAGCGTGTGCGGTATTGTGCAGTGAAGTGTCCAGTTCAAGCGGCTAAGTTAATCCAGACTACGATTTCTGCAGCTGTAATGCTACGCTCCCAGACGGTGTGCCCGAGTCGGTATTGGAAAGGCCGTCTTCCGGACCAAGTTTCTGGAGACATGCTCGCTGCTGCGCCAAAAAGGGCGCCAGCACCTGAGTTCTGCTGTCGCAGGGATCTGAGCCCGCGCAGCCTCACATTGCATAGGTAAAGGTCGGCCCTGGCCTCCCTTTGAAGTGAGCACGAGGTAGGCGTGAAGTAGTGGCACGAGGTTCCATAAGCCACGGGTAAAGGGTAAGGAGTCGGAAATCTCTTCACGGCTTGACGCTATCAGCAGCCGTATTCTGCAAACGAGAGGCGGACCAAAGCAGAACGCCTTGCCAAGGTGCGTATCTCAGTAAGTCTTGCTTTGAAGCTTCTCGCTGTCTGTGCACCGAAGTAATGCCACAGCGAACAAAATTTCGCGACTCAAGTTCGGACATCCGCCTAAGCGTCCCTTGATGATCTGGGCCATCTGTTGAGCTATTAAGAAATCAAAAGTCATGGGCCGCTTGCTCTGCTACATGCGTGATCCCGGCTCGAGATCTTGCAGAAATCGCTAAATGCGCTCCGCGACGAGTGCCCACTCAACAGCAGCTTCTGAGACAACACTGTCAATCAGACACATATCCCGCTGTCAGCACACTTATTCAATTTCAATGTCAGCTTGAAATTGTCATCCCCGCAAGGCAAGTATCACAGGCCAAGCCGAAGCCGCAGAAGCAACAACTACAAGTTGCTAGTGCTTCAACACGAAAGCCACAAGCGCGGATGTTCTATCGTTTGGTCTTCATTCTGCTAGCTGCCTTCGTGCCTTGCTTGCAGCTAGCGTGCAAGCCAGTAGCTCAGTATCAGGTTGAGGCACAGAGGGCAGCTGGGTACAGAGGTTTCAAGACATGTGGTTCAAAATGGAGACAAGAACAGTTGAAGCAATGTGACATCGCATGGTGAGAGCGCTGCCGAAATCAAGCCCAAACTTTGTGGTTAGCTTTTGAACCAACAGTTGGAGCTCAGGAATCAGGCCCAGGCCGACCGAGCCTGGCCCAAGTCTCTCGGCGAAAATACGAACTGCGGCTTGTGCACTCACCCATCAGAAGCCCTGAGCAGTACAAGAGACTCCTCAGGATGCGGGTTTTGCACTCGTTTACCCTTGCTACGCAGCCCACAGTTCCGTAAGTTCGGTCTGTCAGCACCACGACGTACTTGAGTAACAGTCGCCAAACGGCCTACAAGCAAGTCTTGAAATTGTCCGTGACATTGGCTAAGGGCACTACCTTCGCCTGCAACGATGGATGTGTGATATCTTCAACATTCCTGAACGACGATCATTGTGACTGTGCCGGCTGCGAGGACGAAACCAACTGGGAGTGTTCCTTTTGCCCCTGCCCTACTAAATGCGGCCAATATACGAGCTGTCTCTCAAGCCCGGGCGGATACGGCCCGGGATACGGCGGCCCCGGATACGGTGACGGGCCAGCAGGGGATGGTGGCGGGAATCCCACGTGCAACGATGGCTGCCAGCTTGGCACCTACGACATAAACAATGGCTACTGCGATTGCGCCGACTGTGAGGACGAAGAAGATTGGACCTGCGAGCTTTGTGCCGGAGGCTGTTCTGCAACAAGCTGCGCCATGGAATTCAAATGGTGCCCATGGTTTCCAGGAATCTAAGCTGCAACCTGTTTAGGGGCTTACAGTAGGCGTTGGAGCGGCAGCTAGCATCAGTGGAGCCTGTTCGTGATCACACCGTAGTGCTGGACTTCCCTGCAAGACACCCTGCGGTGTGGACCATTGACTTCGAAGTTGATCTGCATTAAGGTGACAACTTTACTTGTGACGACGGTTGTGCTATCGACGGCACGAAGGTCAACAACGGCTTTTGCGATTGTGGGCAGTGTGAAGATGAGGTGCCCTTTGAAGAAGCCTTCCAGTTTTGCTGACTCTTGTAGTTTTGCTAGGCTTTTTGGCATGTTTTCTGTGAAGGTCTAATAGCCCTGCCTTGCTTGAGGTGCATTGGTCCTGCGAGGAGTGTGGCTGCCCTACAGCCTGCGGCGAACCCGGCAAGCCTTGTCCTGCTGCTTGGACGATGGTTCCTCAATACTTGGAAGTTTATGGGGTGCCGGGTTGTGGGTGATCAGTCCATATCGTGAAGTTCTGAGCATTGACACGCTTCATGGAGCAATTTTGCTTGCACTTCGCCGTTTGCATTGTCTTGTTCAGCAGTGTGTACATGTCGCATGTGTCAAGGATACTCTGTAGGTCAGCGCGCATGATCTGCCTGAGTCTGTGTGTGCCTGTGTGTGTGCGCGCATTTTTTGTTTGAGGGGGGCTTTGTTTGCATGCTGGACGTCGCAGCAGCCATTCTCCTGGCCACCCAGGTAAAATTCGAGTGCGCTGATGGCTGCACATTGCCAAACTCCACCAGGAACGACAACAAGTGCGACTGCACTGGGTGTGACGATGAAGATCGATGGGATTGCACGACGTGTAGCTGCCCTTCCGGCGAGCTGGATTGCGGAACAGGTTTCGGATGCGGGCCAAGAACTGGAGATCTCTTCTTCGCCTGTGAAAGATGCTGGATTCCCTTGGCACAGAGGGACGATGGGGAGTGCAACTGCGAGGAATGTGCCGCTTTATTTCTTTATTCATCGTGTTTACTGCGTTTTTGTTCCGTGGTCCTCGACCGTCTTGAACATGAATGTCGTTGCCAAGGAAGATGAAGCAAACTGGACCTGTGCCAGCTGTGGCGGCTGTCCCGACAAGTGTGGCCAGGGAGGATCTGCGGTTGTTTGCGTCCGGTGCACAGTCGAGGAGCACAATGTTCTTGTGAGTGGCTCTCACTCCTTCTGCCACTCTGTCTCTCTCTCTCTCTCTCTCCCTCGCTCTCTCTCTCTCTCTGTCTGTCTGTCTCTCTCTCTCTCCACGCATGGGTCGTGCCGTGGATCTTTACGCCTTAGGCATGGCTCCTAAAAGCACTGTTTGTAATTTCTGATCCAACTAGGCCTAGCCGATGTCGTTGCACTGTGGAGAGGTGCGCTTCCAGCTTCGATCAACTGAAACTGGCTCGAAGCCGTGACGACGAAGCAAATTCATGTACATAACTCCTGAGCCTACCACAAACAATGCCAGGGGCAGCTGTCTCGATGGAGTCCAAAGCTCAATGTCTCCCACCCCGTCAATGCTCTCAAAAGCGAAGCTAGCACATGCAGACTCGTTTTCCTTCAGCAGCGTGTTACGGCTATTCTACCGGAATGGTGTGTAGAGTGACAGCCTGGTTAAGATTTGGGCAGACTAGTTGACCCCGCCCTGGACCAAGACCACCACGACAACTACGACAACCACGACGACAACGACTACAACAACGACCACAACTACAACGACGACAACGACCACAACTACAACGACTACGACGACCACAACAACAACGACGACAACGACCACAACTACGACGACAACGACCACAACAACGACAACGACCACAACAACGACAACCACGACGACAACGACCACAACGACAACCACAACTACCACGACGACAACTACAACGACGACAACGACCACAACAACGACAACGACCACGACAACGACCCCGGTCACACGAGCAGATGTGCCTTTGGCTGCAAGCCCATTGACGTTTTGTAAGGTCGAAAGTATAGGGCTTGGCAGCCAAAGAGCTACTGACCAGCGCAGATGGGGGCGCAGGTCTTCATCACGGAGATTGCTGATCCGAGAAACAACGCCGGAGGGCGGTTTGTCGAGCTGTACTCCGTGAACGGCCAGTCTCTCACAGGTCCTCCGCTTTGGTTTCGGCATGCTTGTGTTTGTTTCTGTTGGTTCAGTTGCTTCACTATAGCTGCTAAGACTTAAGGTATGCAGTTGTCGTTGTCTGGATGCTTGTTCAATGGTAGGCCTCCGCTTGGTGCAGTGGACGAAGCCTTCTCTGCACTTCTGTATGCGTTCGTGCCAAGTTCGTCAGATGTCAAAAACACGGCGAAGCTTCAAGAGGGAATGTTGAGCTCACTGAGGAATGGAAACCTTGTGTATTCGTCCTCGTCGGCAGTGGACCTCGGAATCTTGACATCTCTCCCCTCTGGCGGCTTCCTCATTATTTGTTCTGACAAAACAAGCTTCGATTCCTTGTACTCACCCGCCACTTGCCATCATGAAGCAAGTGCAGCGGACTCCAACGGTGGCGACACCATAGGAATCATAGATGTCTCAGACAACATTATCGACATCTTTGGGATACCCGGTGAACTCGGCATCGGTACTGCGCGCGACTTCGTGGGTGGTCGCGTGGAGCGCAGGGCAGGTGTTAACTCATCCAGAGCTTCTTGGCGTGCGGCCCACTGGAACATTCAAACGGATGCAGATGCGCCGGGAAGCTTCGATCCGCACAGATGGGTTGGAGCCCCTGCGATTTCGACAGTGAAGGCCCTGTCTGAATACGCACCGTCCTGAGTGGATTGTTGTTGACATCCGTTCGATCAATGGTGCTGACGGGCTTCGGCATTACGGTGCTTTTGACTGTCGCGCCAGTGTCTGCTACTGCTGGTTCTGCGGCTGCCTTTTCTTGCGCCAGTGCCACCACTACTGCAACCACAATGACGAGGAAAAGTACCACCACTGTCAATACTACTGTTACTACGCTCGCCTGCAGGAAATCCACTACTAGTACTACGACGAATCACTACTACTGTGTGAGTGGTGGTGGTGGTGGTGGTGGTGGTGGTGGTGGTTGCGGTGGTGGTGGTGGTGGTGGTGGTGGTGGTGGTGGTGGTGGTGCCGCTACTACTAACTACTACCACCACTACTGCGCCACTGCTACTACTGTTACTGCTGCCATTGCCACTGCTGCGCTGCCCATGCTGCTGCTGTTGTTGCTGCTGCTACGGCTACTGCTAGCCCTTCCACCGCCACCGCTACTGCTCCCGCTACTCCTTCTATTCCTAGTCCTACGACCACGGCTGCTGCCACTAGTACTGCTGCGACGGCAACGAGTACTAAAACTACAGCAACAACAACAACTACGACGATGACGACGACTACTACTACTACTACTACTGCTACCGCCGCCGCCGCCGCCACCACCACCACCACCACCATAGTTGCTACCACGCCCGGCGGAATCTCGAGACTCCACCATAGCCCCGAGGAGGAGAATATCACGCCCTGCAGTGACTTCAGCACCTTCAAGCGAGTTCAAAGCCAACAAGAGCATAGGACCGTGATCGAAGTACAGCTCCACCCAACAACACCCCCAGAAATGCCGGCACCTTGGCGGGAGTGCGATTCGTGAAGTTGAAGCCTGCTAAAGTATTAGAATTTACAAAATGAGTCGGGCGTTCTCCGGGAGACTGGCCGGTGCGGGAGCAGGGGAATGGCCGTGAGTGCTGGCCGGACACGCCTCGCGGTGGCAGCAGCAGAGTAGGAGCAGGATGAGGAGCAGAAGGAGGAGGATGAGGAGGACGAGGAGGAGGAGGAGGAGGAGGAGGAGGAGGAGGAGGAGTAGTAGTAGTGATAGAAGCAGAAGCGTTGTAGATTTGGTAGTGGTAGTGGTAGCGGTATAGTAGTAGTGGTGGTAGTAGTAGTAGTAGTAGTAGCAGTAGGTAATACCAACTAATCGCACTAGTAACTAGTGAAGCGGAAGCGTGCTCAGAAGCAGAAGCAGCATCAGTAGTTTGAGCAGTAGCGCGAGCAAGAGCTGTAGAAGTAGCAGTAGCAGTAGCAGTAACCGTAGGAGTAGGATTAGTAATAGTAAAAAAAAACTATTTACGACAATCATAAGAATAGTAGCAGTGGTTTAGTAGTAGCAGTAGTAGTAGCAGTAGCAGTAGCAGTAGCAGCAGCAGCAGCAGGAGGAGTAGCAGTAGTAGTAGTAGTAGTAGTAGTAGTAGTAGTAATAGTAGTAGTAGGAGTAGCAGTAGCAGGAGTAGCAGAAGTAGCAGTAGTAGTAGTAGTAGTAGTAGTAGTAGCAGTAGCAGTAGTAGTAGTAGTAGTAGTAGCAGCAGCAGCAGCAGGAGTAGTAGTAGTAGTAGTAGTAGTAGTAGTCGTAGTAGTGTAGATGA